TTGGTTGATTGGAAAAACATTTTTACTTTCACAGTTGATTAGGGGGTTCAGTTTCTGTCATAGATGTGGATGGAAGAATCTGTGAGCAGCCATTTCTTTTTGTCCCCTTAGGTGGTGGTGGGCCCTGAACTGGGCAGACTGGAGCCAGCAAAGGCCTCAGTCTAGCACAGTCCTTTCCCTGGAGCTGGGCCAAATCCCTGTCACCATGCTGGGAGAGTGACATATCCACCCAAAACTTCCAGAGTAATAAGCAGAGGCCTTGGCTGGTGAGGGGCTAGGAACGGGTCAGTGAGGGGAAGATGTGAAGCAATTACGTGGGTCAACCAAGGTAGAATCTGTTTAGAATAGAGTCCAAGGAGCCACTGTGCTGAGGGAGGAGCCAGATGGCTCTGTGACCCTGTGGCCAGAGCAGCGATGAGGGGATGTCTCAGGAGGGAAGTGGGGCCGGGTCTGGACCTGAGGCCAGAGCAGTTGGGTGGTCCCTGAACCCAACAGCGGTGGGGGCTGTGTGGCTGCCAGAGGCTGGGGTGGGATGGATGGTGGACAGCGTTTACTGTTCCTCCAGGAAACACTTCGGTGTGTGGGGGCTGGATTGGGAAACTTGTCCATTATTCTAACTAAGGAGTGGATTACTCAAGGTTCTTCGTCAGGGGCTTTTAGCAGGTGGGATCTACTAGTCCCTTACAGAGACAGGCCATGCTGCCTCCTACCCAGCGCCCTGCCCGCCCTAACGCCCCAGCTACAGTTTTCTGAGGCGCGAGGAGGTCACTGTTCCGGGACAACGTGGTGTTTAATGGGATATTAGGACGCGGGTGGGTTTGGAGGGAAACAGGTCCGAATTCCCGTCTTTAAGGCTCCCGCTTCCTAGAGGAGCAGCTCAGAGATGCGCGAGGGGGAGGGGCGTCGCGGGACCGCTGGTGACGCACTTCCGGCCGCGCCACTGCCCTTCCGGCCGAGGCACCGTTCTCCGCCCCCGGAAGGCTGGCCTCCTGGGACCGCGGTAACCGCCCCAGGGCGCTCCGGCCACGGTGAGCGGCGGGGCCCAGGGATGGGGCACAGCGGGCGGTGGGCCGGAGGGGGATAGCGGAGCATTGGCTGCCCGCGTGCGGCCCCAGCTCCCGGCGGCCTCGGTGCTGTTCTCACGGCCCCGGGCCCGGCCCCAGCCCCAGCCCCAGCCCCGAGGAGACGCTTGAGAAGATGGAGGGAATGGACGCAGGATTGAGTGATAGATAAATGATCGGAAACAACCCCTGGTCTGGGTCTGGATACCACCTACTCTCCCCAGGCAGTCCTGCAGCTCAGAAGCTTTGTAGGGACCGTCGAATAGGAGAGGGCAAATAGCGCTAAACCTAGCGGTGGAGAGTGCCCAGACCTTGGTTATGTAGTTCATGGGGATACAGAGGCTGTTGGTTGATCTCCAAAGTTAGACTGTTAGTAATCGTTGCCTTCCTTTCTTTGCGAGGCTCAGTTGACAGATTGTATGTTACAGCAGGTATGCAGACGTCAATGTCTTCCATCAAAATTTTGCAGTCTGGCTGTTGCCAAATATTACGCAGAATTCAGGGACGGGGTCACGAAATGAGTGATGTCGGAGTCTGCCAAATGAGAAGATACTTGCAGATTGTGTGTGTGTGTATGCGCGTGTGTGCACGCAGATTTTTGTGACACTTGTGCTTATTTATTTAACCTTCTCAACAACTTATCTGTGGTGTTGAAAGAGTAGATTGAGGTACAGAGAATAGATAACTTGCTAGTAAGTGACCGAAAGCAGCAGAGATAGATCCATTGTGAATATGGATAGCAGCCTTGGTGAATATCACTTTGGCCAACTGACACATTCAAGAAGGGCTTCAGAGAAGAAAGAGTACATGTAAGTGTGGTCTTATTGGATAAATTGTGGTTTCAATTTCTTGAAAAAAGCCACCTGGCTTGCCCAGAACAAGTCAGCTAATTATTGAGGGGATGAAGAGGTGGCAGTGAGGAGAAAGCTTACAAGGTAGACGGTGAAGCCCACTCCCAATTACTTTATTCCCCCACATTTTAATATTTCTAATATCAGAATGAGCCTTTACAATCTGTACTTATACCATAATTTAGTTGGTAGTGATTTTTCATTTTCTTAGTAACACTCAGTTACTAAGACTCAGTGGCATGAAATCTGACTTGGATTCTCTGGGCCTGCAGCAGCAAAGGCAGAGAACACTGACAAAGTAGGGAAGTCAAGGTATCACTCCATGAAAGCCAGCAGAGTCCTCTCCAGTATTGCCTCTAAGAGTCCTGATGTGTTTCTGTAGCCATGTAGATTCCCAATTACCTTTACCAGGAGGAAATATTTAAAGCTTCTTTCCTTTTACCTTTCAGTACAATACCATCTAACCCCAAGTCTGGATTCAAAGAGTCTTTTAGCATCTTAAAATCACAAACACTCAGATTGTTCCACACTAGGCATTTGTGGAAACACCTGTACATTCCTTTCTCAGGAATTTACCCACCAGGGAGTAAGTAATCTGTGGTCCATGTTTTTGTATAAATAAATAAATAAATAAATAGTTTTTAAAATCCTCATCAGAGAGAGAGGGATTGGTTGCCTTGCATAACAGGCTGAGGATCAAACCTGCAACCAAGATACGTACCCTTGATGGAGCACAGGCCAATGCTCTAGCCACTGTCACACCAGCCAGGACTAAAATGATTTATTAAAGCAGCTAAGTTCATTTGTTTACATATTTCTACTTCAGTTTTCAGACTGTAAAGGCAAAGTTGAATGGTGACAGGCCATATAACCTGTTTAGCACAGGAAGACTAAAAGATGTACTTTATAGTCCTTTTCAGAAAAAGTTGGCAGTTTGACAGAAACAAACTGCTGACAGCTATGATGATTCACAGTTGGAAGGGAGTATTGTCTCCAAGCTGTCTTCTCCATAGGCCTTAGGATCAAACATCATAATAACTCAACTCCTGTTGAGTGCTCACATTGTGGCAGATTGCCATAAATGTTTTACATTTATTAAGTCATTTTGTCTAGGATTTACAGAATGTTAGACCTAGAAGGACTCATGTATATTATTTGTCACTTTTTTCAGTTAAATAGCCTATCATGTAGGCCCAGTTACATGGGCTATGAGAGAGCAAAGTTTCCTGACTTCTACTCCAAACTACTTTAATCTTACTCTGAATGGGAGGCCAATACCATATCCATTGGATGTACCTTTTGTTTTTGTTTTATGGTGAGATGTGCCATTTTCAAAAGAATGATTTCTCTGACTATAAAAGTAATGAATGCATGTTTATTTTAGGAAAAGTGAAATATGTAAGAAAGTTTAAAGGACAAAGTAAACTAACCTATTAAATGTCCTAGAGATCAGTGTGTAATCATTTGGCAAGTTTTCTTCTGTCCTTTGTGTGTGTGTTTTGTAAATATCTGTGTATTAATAATAGTTTCTCTTTATTGAATGCTTACTAATTTGGGTATATGTGTGCATATTTTTTTACTGTTTGCATCCTATTCTAATATATTGTATTTTCCCATGAACAGCCTTTAAAAACATGATTTATAATAGTTTGAAAATGTCATATTTATATGACTTGTGTTTTTTGCCTGTTTTTTACAGTTATAGTAAAAGGATGGTTGTTGTACATAAATCTTTGTCCTTCTCTCTATTTTTCACTTTTCTTCTCATTAGAAGAGTTGTTTATTTTTATAGAAATACTTTTATTTATTTTTTTTAGGAATACTTTCAAATATTGCAAAAAGATAGGCATTTAATAAAAATTTTACTATAATCTTATTCCTCAGAGATGATCATGGTTAACAGTGATACATATTGTTAGAGACGTAAGTTAGTTTTTTAAAAATATATATATATATATTTTCTACCAAGTGGAAGTACTATAATTTGCTAGGCTTCAGGGTCTCATCAATATAAAATTGTATCTCCTACAACATTGCAGAGCTCTTTTCTTTAATTTTCTTTTCTTTTCTCCTTTTTAGCAGTTAATAAAGGGATTCAGTTATTTTCCTCTCTGGAAAGTTACTTCTCTATGAGAATGTTCTAATAGTGGAATTAGTGGGTCAAACAATATAGGCATTTTCATTACATATACCCATGACTTTGAGCATCTTCTGAGATCCACTGCAAGTGTTGTATACACATAATGAGTATTCTTATCTTAGTTCATATACCCACAAAATGGTGATCACTGTGTCACAATTGCAAATGAATCTACAACTTTAAGATCTGACACATATTGCCAAATTACCTTTAGGAAGATGGTACCAGTTTACATTCCCACCGGTGATGTGTGAGAAACTTCCTTCCCCTGCACCTTTACTAGACTTAAGTTTTTTTGTTTTGTTTTGTTTTTAATATATTTTATTGATTTACAGAGAGGAAGGAAGAGGAAGAGAGAGTCAGAAACATGGATGAGAGAGAAACATCAATTAGCTGCCTCCTGCATACCCCCTACTGGGGATGTGCCTGCAACCAAGGTACATGCCCTTGACCAGAATCAAACCTGGGACCCTTCAGTCCACACGCCAGTGCTCTATCCACTGACCCAAACCGGTTAGGGCTAGACTTAAGTTTTAGCATTAAAAACATTTCAATTTAGCCTTGGCTGGTTTGGCTCATTGAATGGAGCGAAGGTTCCCAGGTTAGATCCTGGTCAAGGGCACATGCCTGGGCTGTAGGCTCCATCCCCAGTGAGGGACGAGCAGGAGGCAGCTAATCAATGATTTTCCCACATCATTGATGTTTCTATCTCTCCCTTTTCCTTCCTTTTGAAATCAATAAGAATATATTTTTTAAAAAAGATTTCATTTTAAAATAAAAATTGATTCTTTAACCTTGCTGGTTTGGCTCAGTACATAGACTGAAGTGTCTCAGGTTTGATTCTGGTCAAAGACATGTATCTTAGTTGCAGTCCTGAGAGGTCCACAGTACTAACCTGATTACGTATTTAACCAGGGACATCCTATTTTTTATGACTCTGAGCTGTCAAATATATATATATATATATATCTGTTTTCCTTGAAATCCTGCCAATTGTACTTCTCTTGTCAAGGTTATATGAAGAGAGATTTTTGGATAAGCTTTTGGATTTTTGACATTCCAAACATGAGAAACTATTACTTTTTTGAACTTTTATAAGTAAAAAAATTACTTTACAAAATGTTTTATTTAAACTGAAGCCCTTTAAAAAATATATCTTTTATTCATTTCAGAAAGGAAGGAAGAGGGAGAGATTGCCCCGACCAGGAATTGAACCATGACTTCCTTGTTCAGAGGTCAATGCACAATCGATGAGCAATCCTGGCAGGGCTGGATTAGACTAATGCATAAGCCTTATTGTGACTCCCAAATAACTTCTTATTTTATTAATTGACTTTTCATATAAATTATTGTGTAGGGCAGCAGATACATATTAATTTGAATATTCCTATCCATTTCTTATTTATTTGTATAAATAATATTCTTAATTATCAATCACTTGAGTATTTGATATAATATCATTCTGTCTAGCTTCTTAGAGAATTGACAAATGGTGTTTGTGAACTTAGAATGATAATAGCCAATCCTGATTTTTCCGATGCTGTCACATTGCTTACCTAACAAATTTTGTGTGAGTCATTAGATAGTCTCCCTAGGCAACATCTCGTTCTCACTTTTATTTACTAACAGTGATATCCCATCTCCGCCTGTTTCCCCTGTGAGCAGGGCTTCCAGTTTTTCAACCTTGAAGTGTTTTATAATTAAAGCAAGGAAAAGATTTGTGGGTGTTGAATATGCTGAACAGAGATATTGGAAAAAGATTTGTCCATGTGAGTTAGCAAGGTACAACCAATGGGAAAAGCAGCAGGGCTTTGGAAATTTTACAAGAGAAACTGAGTGAATCTCAGGTGATAAAATGACCATCTTTTTATGGTTGTTGGGGGGTAGAAATGGGGACAGCTTTTCCCCTGTACTTATTTTATCTCTTTCATTTCCAGGATTTGCCATTTTACATTCTCCCGCTATCCTCCATTTTTTAAATATAAAACATCCATATTTCCTGTCTTGCCCTAATCATTAGCTTGTTGTTGCTTGTTATTTTCCCCTTATCTCCAATGTTTCTGCTTCTCTCACTCTCTAGATGTGTGTAGCTGCCTTTTCCATGGAATTCCTAATGAATGGTGATCACTTTATCCTGATAAAAATCTCTTCTACCACTTGCAACTTTGAATTACTTGTCCCATTCACTTCTTACTGAGACCTGCAAAGTTAGGTCTCAGAACTTCAAGGGCCTTCACTTTGCCATATATAAGAGATTGATTCTGATGGTTTCTTTCAGGTTGGGTGAACAAGTATGCTCCAGAGCAGGAAGTCTCTGAAGTTGAGTCACCAGGAACAGTAGGAAACAGACTCCAAGAGGATGAACCCCCGGGATTCTACATTTGAAGAAAAACAAGCATGTGAGAGCATGAAGGAAAACTCTCCTGAAGAGGTGCCCAGGTCATGCTTTTTCCAGGAAGGAGGTTTGGGGGGAATAACTTGCATCCGAAAGGAAGCACTTCCTAAAATGATGAGCCAAGAATATAATTTTGAGAAGGGGTTACTTTTGACCTCAAGCTTTATTACTCATCTTAGGGTTTCTACAGAAGAAAGTCTACATCGGTGGAAGACAAGTAGCAAACACACCAATGAGATTTCAAACCAAAGTAAATGCTCAACCCTCTCCACTTGGAAAATGTCTTGGAAATGTAACGAGTGTGGAATAGCATTTACTCAGAGCTCATCCCTTACTCAACATCAGAGAATGCATACTAGAGAGAGACCCTATGTATGTGAGGATTGTGGGAAAGCCTTTAGTTGTAGTTCAATCCTTGTCCAGCATCAAAGAATTCACACTGGAGTGAAACCATACAGATGTGAGCAGTGTGGGCAAACATTTTGTTGTCGATCATTTCTTACTCAGCATCAAAGAATCCACACTAGAGAGAAACCTTATAAATGTAATGAATGTGGGAATTCCTTCCGCAATCAGTCACATCTCACTGAACATCAGAGAATTCACACTGGAGAGAAACCTTATAAATGTAATAGATGTGAGAAGGCATTCAATCAGAACACACACCTCATTCATCATCAGAGAATCCACACTGGAGAGAAACCTTACTCATGCAATGAATGTGGTTCTTCGTTTCGTAAACACTCAAATCTTACACAACATCAGAGAATTCACACGGGGGGAAAACCCCACAAATGTGATGAATGTGGGAAAACTTTTCAAACAAAGGCAAACCTTTCTCAGCATCAGAGAATTCATACTGGAGAGAAACCTTATAAATGTAAGGAATGTGGAAAAGCTTTTTGTCAGAGTCCATCCCTTATTAAACACCTGCGAATTCATACTGGAGAGAAACCTTATAAATGTAAAGAATGTGGCAAAGCTTTTACTCAGAGTACCCCACTCACCAAACATCAAAGAATTCACACAGGGGAGAGACCCTACAAATGCAGTGAATGTGGGAAAGCTTTCATTCAGAGCATTTGTCTTATTCGGCATCAGAGAAGTCACACTGGAGAAAAACCTTATAAATGCAAGGAATGTGGGAAGGGGTTCAATCAGAATTCCTGCCTCACACAACATATGAGAATTCACACTGGAGAGAAGCCCTATAAATGTAAAGAATGTGGGAAAGCCTTTGCTCATAGCTCATCTCTTACTGAACATCATAGAACTCACACTGGTGAGAAGCTCTTTAAATGTAGTGAGTGTGAGAAAACCTTCCGCAAGTATGCACACCTTAGTGAACATTTCAGGATTCACACTGGTGAGAAGCCTTATGAATGCATTAAATGTGGAAAATTCTTCCGACATAGTTCAGTGCTTTTCAGACATCAGAAACTTCACAGTGGTGAATGAACCTTGTATTAGGTAATGGCAGTTTCTCAAGAAATAGTGGCTAGGAATCTGGCTGAGGAGTGGGGGCAGGTATAGTTCCTGGAAGGAAGGATAAAATAGTCTTAAATACTGCCCGCATAAGAGTATTTCCAGAAATATATGTGGGGATTGGAGAATGCAGATCTATTCCAGGTGCACATCTGGGAGTACAGGGTAGAAAGGAAGTTCCTGCTAGGCACTAATGGGTTTGGCTCAGTGGATAGAGCATCGGCCTGCGGACTGAAGGGTCCCAGGTTCAATTCCAGTCAAGGGCATGTACCTTGGTTGTAGGCACATCCCCAGTAGGGGGTGTGTAGGAGGCAGCTGATCGATGTTTCTAACTCTCTATCCCTCTCCCTACTCTGTAGAAAGGAAGTTCCTGCTTTTGAGATAAATCCTTGCTGAATGCCATTCCGCTCTTCTCATGTGACTCATATCTTGAGGTGCCATTTGTTAAGTTAGTGTTTGTCTTTCCCTTACTACACTCACCTATCTTCCCAAAGTATCATATATGTTCACTCACCAGTTGGCTTAAATGCTTTTCCAAACACTGTCAATTTTGAAAGTGGCAGCATTTTGTTGTAATGCTAAGTTGCCTCCAGATTTGAGGCAGCTGTAACCATGTTACTGTATGGGGAGCTGCTCAACCTGTGGAAATGGTCCCATAAAGGGGAGACAGAAACAAGTGAAAGATGATCCATATTCATTTACCAATAAGGAGGTATGCCCCAAGAATGGGTGATCTCAACATATATGTTGGTATGAAGGCTTTTATCAGAATGAGGGAGATCTTTTCTGAAATAGGTCAAGAGAAACTTGAGTGATGTCAGTTTCTGGGAAGGGAGTCATATTTGCTGAGAAGGCCATAGGGATGAAGGCCTTCCGTCCCAGAGGAAGAGTTGCTTATCCAGGATGGAAATGGCTTGTGCTTGGCTGGTGACCATAAGAAGCCGCAGAGCAGGAAACCTGCCTAGGCCTGAGCAAGCCATCAGTGTACCACTGCCTTAGATGAGTAAACCTTTCTCTTGAGCCTATAAATTTGGCTGGGTTATTGGTTCTCAGGGAATTGGGGAGAGGAATCCACTAAGATTAACAGTGTCCAAGCCAAGAGGGACTCGGTTTGTTTGCCTTTAAGAAGGAGAAAGCATTAGTGAAGAAGGAAGACAGCTTTCCAGATGGGCTGGAGTTGTGGGATGTTGCACCAGAGCTGAGAGTGTTGGTCACTAGTTGAGAGGGCTAGGTTTCATGTAATTATGCCACTGGTGGTATAATACAGATTTGTTAGATCTCAGGTTTTTCTAATTTTATTGGGCATATCTTGTCCTGGACAGGAGTATTTAGGGAAATATTTTTCATGTGCTTCATTGGGAAAGTCTAGAGAGGATGAAGACCTCTTTTTCAAATTCCTGAAAATAAAAATATCACAGGTTACCACTGACTGATATTTTATTGAGACATAGAGTATATTTTTCTCTCATTCCCCAGTCCCTTGCAGGTTCTTTATCAAATTTATTTGACATTTAATCCATCTATTCAATCTCTTACGTATTCGTTTCCTATGGCTGTTGTAAAAATTATCACAAGCTTGGTGGCTTAGAACAGAAATGCAGCCCTGACTTGTTTGGCTCAATGGATAGAGCATCAGCCTGCAGACTGAAGGACACCAGATTCAGTTCCAGTCAAGGGCGTGTGCCTTGGTTTGCGGGCACATCCCCAGTGGGAGGTGTGTAGAAGGCAGCTGATGGGTGTATCTTTCTCATCAATATTTCTAACTCTATCCCTCTCCCTTCCTCTCTGTAAAAAAAAAATCAATGAAAAAGAACAGAAATTTGAAATCCGCTCCTTTAGGTGAAATCCGGGTGCTGGCAGGGTTGTACTCCCTCTGAAGACTTTAGGAGCTGTCCCTTCTTCCAGCTTCCTGTGATTGCTGGCATTCTTTGGCTTGTAGCTACATCATTCCAGTCTCTGCCTGTCTTCACATTGCCTTAGCTAATCTTCCTCTACCTAATGGCTTTTAGATAATCCTATCTTGAGAGACTTAACCACACAGAAGATAACATCTACAGGTTCCAGGGAGTAAGACCTATCTCTTTGGAGGCTGTCATCCAGCCCACTGCAACTTATTACTGTGGAATTGGCCAAACGGTGATTTTTTATTTCTATCACTCCTTTTCTCTCACTTATTTAATAGTTTATTTGTAGCCATAAAAAATTTTATTCTGAATTGCAAGCTATCATTTATTTTCTCTTTTAAATAGTTCCAGATCTGGCCATTGGTGATTAATGTCCTACCAGAAAGACTTATCCCTTCTTCTCCATTTATGTCCTTTTAACATGTGCCCATTATTCTTTGAGCACCATCTAACTTTTAAAAATATATATGTATTTATTTATTTCAGAGAGGAAGGGAGAATGAGAGAGAAACATCAATGAGAGAGAATCATTGATCAACTGTCCCCTGCACGCCCCCTACTGGGACTCGAGCCTACAACCTGGGCATGCACCCTTGGCCAGAATCGAACCTGGGACCCTTCAGCCCACAGGCCAATGCTTTATCGACTGAGCCAAACTGGCTAGGGCACCATCTTTTGGGCACAAGATAATTCTAGGCTTCTATCTCTGTCTCCACTCTGGAATCACACTATTAGCCTACTTGTCTAGCCCTAGTCATAAGATCCATTCATGAGGAGCAATGGGGACAGGTCACAAGGAAGATTAGGCTCTCTTCTCTGCCCCCAAACTCACCTTTTTCTCAGCAAAACAGATCCTGCAGTTAACAGAACCCACTGTTCTTAGAAAGCAGTTTACAGAAGGTGAAGCAATTTTGATAAGGCTGCTCAGCAATCTCACAGGCTACTGTATCTTGGCCTTTCATCGTAAAATGTGCTTCCTGGCTGTTAACTCTTACCACTATATTGTTAGAAATATTACCTATGGTAAAAACTTCATCAATAGAATGAAATTCAAGATTTAAGACCTTTTTAATAGTCTCTCATACTATTTGTTTAAATTTTCAATTTTCAGATTCACTAGGCAATGGCTGAGAATTTGCATTTTTAAGTTCCCAAGATGTGCTGATGCCAACAGTCTAGGATCCACACTTGAGGAACCACTGGTGTATTAAAAAACAAAAACATGTTAAGGAAACACTCTCAAACTACATTTGTAATCCTCTCAATATGCTAGGTATTGTTCTGGGTCCCGAGGATATAGTGATAAGTCAAATCCTTGCCCTCAAGATTCCAACCTTGATACTAAGACATTAAAATTTATAGTAATTAAAAGTGTGACGTTAGTACAAGAGTAGATATAGCAATGATTTGGATTAGAAAAATACTTGGGTTTATAAAGTGAATCTACATTAAAGACCGTATTACAGAATGGCTTCAGGTCTAAGTTGTACAATTTAGACACAATTGGGCTTCCTAGCCCACTCACACGAATCACTTTTGAATCTTCTTTACACTAGATCTTAAAAATGGGGAAAAGATAGATGTGGCACCAAATTCATATTATGGACGCTCTGAAATTCTTTATTCATGATGGGTGTCTGGTGAAGGATGGGATCTAGACAAGTCCCCAGTTTTGGCTGACACACAGTAACGAGGAAAATGGTTAGGCTATTAGGCATGATCTTGAAAGGCTCTCACTTTACTGTGCTCTCCTTTCCTATTCCCCCAAATGAGTAATCTCTTGTTCAGGTGGTCTTTCAAGTGAGAAAGAAACACGTGGTTCTAGGACAATTTATTCGAGAAAAGAAGTATACCAAAATAACTTCCAGAGGGAACAAAGTTTAAAATGTAAAAAATAAAAACAAAGAACAAGAGAATACAAGTGATTCTTTATCTGATAGAGGCTGAGAAACAAAGAACAACAGAAAGGATTGATAGATTACATAATTTACAAATTAGTAGTAAAAACATGACTGTACTAATGGGAAATGAACAAAAAGTTAATTGGACAAAGAAATACAAAATGGTTTGTTAAATATGAAAAACAATTTAGCCTCCCTTGTTAATCAAAGAAAGTGTCAATTAAATTTAACTATTAAACACCATTTTCAATATATCAAATTGACAAAAATGAAAAGTCTGGGTCCAGCCCATGCAGGTGCACTGTTATGGATGAGGCAAGTGGGCGCCTGTAGATGTTAAATGAATAAAATGGTAAAAACCTCTCTAGAAAGCAATTTGAAAATAAGCTTCAAAAGCTTTAAGAATATTCAAATACTTTTCACAATAGATGTAAATCAAACCATTATGTAGTATGCCTTAAACTTTTATAGTAATGTCAATTATTTCTCAATAAAACTGGACAAAGGTTCATGCTTGCCAAATCTGTCCTTTTGTATCAAAAAACCTAGTAGCTTTATTAAGCAGACTTCCATTTGTCTCTCTTTAGTTTTACCAGCTAGTCACCACCATGTTATACATCAGATCCTAATTTGTACCAAGATCATTTGTATTAGATCCTTACTTGTACAAGACCCACTTGTATCTCATAACTTGCCAGAACTGTCACAGAGCAACCCTTAGCAGGAGCTGGGAAGTATTCTTGACTATCCACATTACCATTTCCCCACCCAAAGTGGGGTTTTGCTAGATGAAGAGGCAGTAGGGGATCTGTTTAATACAAAATACTCTGTCGTTATTACTGACCTAGAAAAAACAATATAATGTAACTGAGAAATTAAAGAGACACAATACAATCACAATATAATTTCTGTTAAAAAATATAACTTACATATATACACCCCCCCAAGGGAATAAACAAAGTGTTAATAATATAGTTAATATCTACAAAGTTTGCATTTCAAGTCAAAAGGGGTATTAAAGGGTGGACATAGTTTTTTATCTTACTAAAATTTTTCCCCCTGTATTTTATAACTTTTCTAGAATGCACTTGTATTATCTTTATAATAGGAAAAAAAAGATTATTTTTAAAAATCCCATATGCTTTAAAAACTAAGTCCAAAATGTTTATACTCATTAATTTTCGTCTTCACTGTCAAAAGAAAGGAGGCTACTGTTTTTTACTTGTTTTTGTGTGTTCTTTTTAACTGAGTCCTGCTGATTTATTTCATCTTCACTTGTCTTTTTCTTTTTTGAGCTTGCTGTTAAACCTGAATATTTTTCATTCGGGGAACGCTTCACTGGTTTTCGATACATGATTCTTCCATCAGCTGAAGCTGGCTCTTCATCTGCAGTAAAAACAAAGTTGAAGATTCTTTTCCTCTTATTATATTGACTTTATTGGAGAGTCAAATGGCAAGAAAAATCCTGTACTGTATTTAAGGAAATCCTATAATCAGTTAGCCTGGTCATCTCTACTGCCTCTCGGCTCTATGGGATAAGACCTGCAGTCCCTTACTAAGTGCTTCCTGAAGTAGTCTATAATATTGCTAGTCCTTAATTTATTACAATCAGGCTGTATTGTTAACTATTTTGAAAAGTGACTGTATGGCATTCCATCATTTTCTCCTAAAGCAATGTAATAGTTATGAATAAAGAAAAAATTTATTACACAGCATACCACACGTCAGGTATTAAACAGATCTCTGTTGCTTAGTTTGTGAACCTAACCACCTATTTTTTTAAAAAGCAGAATGTTTTTCCTTAAACTTATACTTAGTCCTCATAACAACCCAATAAGGTAGGTATTGACCCATTTCACTGATGAGATAACTGAAGTTGAGGTGAAATATCGTCTTCAAGGTTACATATCTGTAAGTGTTAAAGCTAACGTTTGAAAGTAGGACTATCCTCCAAACACACCATACTATTATATAAAGTAACTTCATACTCCAGGCTCCTTAAATTGTTTGAAAAAGCAGAATCCTTTCAGACTTACCTGCTTTGGCAGCCTTTATTTCTGCTTTGATTTTCATGACATCTTCAGCTGACAGGTCTCCCTTTTTTAAAACCACCACTTGGGGCTGTTCATCTTCTTTGTCACTGTGATCACCATCTTCATCTGGGAGCTGAGGCTGGATTCTCTAGGGGAAAACACGAACATGACTTGTTGGTCCCTGACCCCAAACCCAAAACAATCACTGGAACTGCTAAAGTGAGAAGGGGAACTTCATTGACTAAATGTGTTTGGCAATAAATTTTCTACTCAGAAACCTAACCTCTCAGGCAGGGAAGAGGACTGGCTGCCAGCTACCCTGGGGTGACTATCCAATGGGATCAGTTCCCATGGCAGCAGGACCCGAGCTTGCAGTTCCCCGTGTCAGAGCCTCTGCTTCACGTGCTGCCAGGGTTCCCAGCCTGCTCAGGGCAGTGCTAACCCACTTCTGCTCTTCACCAACCCTTTCACCTCCATCTCTTCCCAAAGTGTGACAAAAAGTAAGCAGACACTTCCAAGCACAGAAAGCTTGGTAAAAGTAAAAGTAAAAGCTTTCTCTCAGCTTTGCTCATCTCTCTTCCCAACAGCTTGTGTAGAGGTCTCCTATCAGCTGTTTTCTAAATGTGTGAAATTATGGAGGAATATGAAATATTTTGTGCTTTTCTTTTTAAATTATGAAATTACTTGGGCACATCACCAGTGGAGGATATGCAGAAGGCAGCTGATCGATGTTTCTCATCAATGTTTCTTACTCTCAATCTCTCTCCCTTTCTCTCCGTAAAAAATCAACAAAATATATTTTTTTAAAAAATAAATTACTTGATAAGTCCATTCTCTTTATTTTTTTAAGTCCATTCTCTTTAATGATATCCATTCACTAATGATTCATTAGTTTTACCCATTTGTCTCTGAAAGGTTCCAAAAAATGACTACAAACAAGTAGGCAGTTAGTACTGTTAGCCAAGAAAATGGAAACGTGAAATGAGATCATTCCTGGTGTTCACTGGATTGAGAATCATTAATTCTGATGTTTTGTTTATGCAACTGACTGGAAAACAAGAGAAATCGTCTAAGGAACAATGGCAGCAACCCTTAAAACTGTTCAAAGTCACTCCTGAATTAACTCTCAAGAAGTCGAGTAAGATGATTTAGAACTCAATTATAAAATGAACTCTTTCCTTGTTTTTGTTAACAGATCACTAGGATGACGGTTATATTGCCAAACAAATAAATGATGGATTTGGTTTCACAAACACAGGAACATGGGGTATCTCTTTAAGGAAAAGTCTGCTGATTCCATAAGCCCAAATCACTGGTATTCATTGGAAAGCTTTTCCCTCCAGAGTTCTAAGATATCATTCCAAACTGTAATCTAAGATATCATTCCAAACTGTAACCATAAAGGTGTTAACTTAAAATTGAAGTGCAAAATGATATGAGTTATTACAGATGAAATGGACACAGTGAACAACAGGAGGAATATCTGTGGGAGGTCCTAGTGATGATCTCAAGCAAACAATAAAATTAGGTCTCATTTTTTGCACAGCTGAATCCGTGTCCTAACCTCATCCTCTTTGCTGTCATCACTACTTTTGGTCCTAGGGATCAGCCACTTCCTGATGATGTTATCGCTAACCAAAAATGGGTCCTTGTTGCAAATGAATAGTCTATATGGCCTCACCTCAATCAGCCCCTCAATCCCCTCTACATACATTCCATAATTCACCATCTCTACACTTTTGCCCATGCTGTACCTTCCATCCCTACCTGCTGACCTATTCATACTCAAGATTTAATCTAAATACCCCCTCCTCCCAGAAACTTGGCCTGATGACAAGCGTCGTCATTTAACCAATGTAACTTGTCACCCTCTATGTTATACGAGGCACTGTGCTAGGTGGTAGGAAAAAACAGTGATGTGAGATATTAATTTAGAGGGTTTGATTTGATAGTGAAAATACACAGGGGATCAAGTAAGTTAAATGCAAAATGATATGAGTTATTACAGATGCAATGGACACAGTGAAGAACAGAGGAGGAGTATCTGTGGGGAGCTTCAAAAACCTTCACAGAGGCAGTGACCTCTGAACGCAGAGATGAGGCAGGCAGAAGGTGTTTAAGAATATGCCATCTGGAGATGCCATCTCTTTGTCCTTTCAGAGCCTGGCATAACGCCTGGGTTTTAGCACATACTCACTGGATTGAGTCATTTCACATGAATCCGTCTGTCTCTTTTACTAAGCTCTAAGGGACTTGAGGGTTAGTCTTAGTGCAAGTGCTAGACACAAAGTGCCAAGAAGTTATTGCTCCACATATCCACTAAGCATAATGGTCTCTTCCCGTCAGGTAGGGCAGGACTTGGTGTGAACCAGGTAGGGGTGAAGCCTGGGAGGGCTCAAAAGTTGATTCCCACGATTTCATCCCTAAATTATTCAGATCCTAAAATATTCAGATGTTGCTTTTGATATATTTATAAACAACAAAGCATAGGAATACATTCCTCCAAAAATGTTCCAGACTCCAGGCCTAAGACATCAGGCCTTCTGACCCAGTGGCCTCCGTTTATCTGGAAAACAGGACGGCACTACCATCCACCGTGCTAACTTTTGAGTTTGGGGATAAGCGAGCGAGACAGGAGAGGCAGGAAAGGGATCTTTCTTAACCATCCACCGAGGACGAGGCGCTTTACCTGCGTCAAGTCACTTTCGAGAACGGAGCAGGCACTCTGAAAACGACAGAGAGGTTCCTGGGCACAGGGGGCTGCAGTCGTTTGACCAGCATGGGGTCCGGGGCCCACTCAGATGGAGGGCCGGGCGCGGGTGCGAGGAGTGACCGGTCAGTGCCTGGACTCTAAGAATAAGCAGCAGCCGGAAGTGGCGGGCGGGCCGCGTTTCCGCGCCGCGACTGGCGCGGGCTCACCTTGGTCTCTACGGTGGGCCCTTCCCGGTAGCCGACCTGTTCCTTGAAGCGGGCCAGGAAGGCCGGCTCGGCGGGCCGCACGTAAGACACCTGGTTCCGCTTGCTCATGGCCGCTCCGGGGAAACAGCGGCGCCCTGGGACGGTCCGGAGTCTGCGCAGAGGCGACGGCGCACATCTGTGACGTCACACGTCCCCGCCTCCTGCGTGCGGCCGGCAACATGGCGACGTAGGTGTTTACGTCAACGTCTTCCCTGGGCGCCAAATTCAAACCCGCGGACATCTTGAACGAGCGGAATCCGGGTTCGCTGCGCGCCCGGAGCCGGGGGGACCCCTGCATCGGTCTCGGGGTTCAGAGGAGAGGGCGCCATGGCGCCCGGCTCCAAATGTAAGTATGGCGCCCGCTCCGCTGCCCCGTCCCCGCCCCCAAACACAGCGGGGAGAGGACGCCGCCCCTGGGGTCCGGCTGAACGGCGGGAGGCCTTTGGCATCGCTGTCCCTCAGAGACCCTGAAGGAATGGCCTTTCCCTCTCGTCTGTGCGGGGGACGGGCGCGGTGCACGCTGCGGGCCCGCACGGTGCTGGGCCCCGGGGACGGTGTCCGCTTGGAGCGGGGTCCGCTCTGCCGTCCTCACTCCGGTTCCGTGGCTGGGCCCTTCCTGTGTGCCACCCGGGCTGCCTCTCTCGGGACCCCGGCCCGAGGGCCGGTCCTGCTGTCACCACCTTCTGCATATTTGCACGCGGCTCGCCTTATCCAAGCTGCAGGCGCCTCAAGCGCGGCTTTCTCCCCCGAGGGCCCGCTATAGACTCTCTTAGATAGGAGACTCCTAAAGCACAACTCAGCAGTGCCTGCATCCCCACAGTCCCTACAGTCTCCTCATGGAGACCCCTCCAATTTCTCCTTTTTCTCATGGAGAGCAGCGCTGTCATCTTTACTTTCCATAAACCCTTTAATTGTCGCTAATTTCTTGGTCCTTTAGCTGTTCCCTGTGCACTACACGCTCCACCGCTTACCTTGCCTGGTCCCTTTAAGTGTTGGTTTTTGGAGCTGATTTTGAGCTGATCTGATGCATCGCAGTGAGTGGTATGAATAGCAATGAGGAGAAGCCTAGGGAGATGGAAGGAATTGTGAACTTTTAGTGTGTGAGCCTTCCAACAACAAAGCTTCTAGCTGTCAATAGTAATGCTCTCCTGATGTGTTTGCTGTTTCATTAACCTTTGAGGTCAGTTATAACACTACCTGAAAACCTCCTTATGCTCTCTTGTTCATCTAAAATATGTTTTATTTATTTTGTACAGAGAGGAAGGGAGAGAGAGAATTAGAAACATCAATGAGAGAGAGTCATGGATCAGCTGCCTCTTGCACACCCCCTACTGGGGTTTGCCCGCAACTAAGGTACATGCCCTTGGCTGGAATCGAACCCGGGACCCTTCAGTCCCCAAGCCGACGCTCTATCCATTGAGCCAAACCGGTCTCGGCTCTCTAGTCCATCTAAAAATGTTCCTTTTCCTCCACAATTTTTAAAACATTTTTTTATAAACACGTTTTTATTGATTTCAGAGAGGAAGGGAGAGGGAGTGAGAGACTGGGGGGAGAGAATCACTGCACAGCTGCCTCCTGCCCTGCGGGACCCCCACTGGGGATCCAGCTGGCAACCCCAGCGTGTGTCCTGACCAGGAATGGAACCATGACCTGGTTCATAGTTAATGCTTAACCACTGAGCCACACCGGCAGGGCTGTTCCGCTACTTTGATTATTCAGGGGACATTAGCACACCACTTGGTACGTTATTGGACCAAAATGTTTTATAATGCTGTCTGCACAGCCGCAGCATTTGTTCAGAACATCTGGACTCAAGCAAGAGAATTGATGCCTGTGGCACATTAGTGCAAAGTGGTGTACAAATGTCTATTAAAGGACTCTGCCTTGTCTTTGTACATCGCTTTCTGGAAGTGATGGGAGCAAGGGTATTCGCAGTGCCCCTTTGTAATGCTGGGGATGTCCATGGGGAATTCTCCCCCTCCTTTAAGTTTGTTAGTAAAGCTGAGGTTGATGACATCCCATCGATGCACCTCTCGCATTTTCAGCAGCCCAGAGACCGGGAGCATGAAGTGGGAGCGAAGGGGCGGAGAGAGGCCACGCAGTGCTCTCTGCAGCCTTGACCTTTTCGCTGTGGAGGTTTTTCCTGGGACCGGGGAGAGAAATGCAGTGCGCACTCCTGGCTGACCAGAAGAACCTCCCCTAGAGCTTAACTAATCACGTGGTCCCTAAGGAAAAGTCAGCCAGTGGCTGTGATGAGGAAAGAAAAGGTGGGAAAACAAACGGAGGGGCAAGTCATTTGTTTGAGATGGAAAGATCAGTGGCAGAGCCATGTCTTCACTCCACACCTTTATGGTGAAAGTATTGGGTCGGCAGCTAAGTAATTGCGGATTTTTAAAAGAAAATCAAAGACAATTTTTTCATGGAACTAAATAACTTTATTCTGTAATGTATTGCCCATTTTGATCAATGACCTTTTGCCATCTTTCAGGCAGCATCATAATCCCACGTTCAAAAAACTTCTGGTTTTTATTAGCAAAAAACTGAATCAGGTACGATTTGACATCATCATCATTATTGAAATTTTTACCATTCAAGGAGTTTTGTAAAGATCGAAACAAAAAGTAATCAGATGGTGCAAGGTCAGGACTATATGGTGGATGTGGCAAAACATCCCAACCAAGCTCCATTAATTTTTGCCGAGTGACCAAAGATGTGTGTGGCCTTGCAGTGTCATGATGGAATACAACACCTTTTCGATTTGTCAATTCGGGCCGCTTTTCTTCAACTGCATTGTTTAATTTCGTTAGTTGTTCAATGTAGACATCAGAATTGATCGTTCGGTTGGGTGGTAAGAGTTCAAAGTAGACAATTCCTTTGTAATCCCACCAAACTGATAACAAAACCTTCTTTTGATGAATATCAGCTTTTGATGTTGGTTGAGTTGGTTCACCTGGCCTGCTCCACGATCTTTTCCGCTTGATATTGTTGTAAACAACCCATTTTCCTCGCCAGTTATCAGTCGTTTTAAAAATGGATCATTTTCATTACGTTTCTCTAGCAAATCGCAGCTGCTAATGCGTTGCGTTAACTGTGATTCTTTCAGTTCGTGAGGAACCCATGTATCGAGTTTTTGAACATAGCCAAGTTGTTTTAAGTGATTTTCAATGCATGTATGTGATACATGAAGCTTCTCTGCAATCTCACGTGTTGTACTGTGACAGTCCGAATTGATTATTGCTTTGATTAGGGCGTCATCAACTTCAACTGGACGACCAGAGCGTTTTTCATCTTTGAGTGAAAAATCACCAGAACGAAATTTGGCAAACCAATTTTGACACTGCCGTTCTTTTAAGGCTTCATCACCATAAACAGCACATAACTTTTTATGAGCTTGCGATGCGTTTTTCCCTTTGCGGAAATAAAAAAGCAAAATATGACGAAAATGTTCCTTTTGATTTTCCATTTTTCAACGAACGCCAAACGAAAACTACAAAACAGATCAAAAAACTTTTTCTACTGATTAACAGCTGAATAGCCAACTATCAAATAACAAAATGTGTTTTACATTTGTACTACGTCTGCAAACCTAAAAATTCAACTGAAGCCATATATGTGTGAAACCCGCACTTACTTAGCTGCCGACCCAATATTACATATGTCCCCCCTCTTTTCCCATTGACACCCCTGCCTCCTGCCCCAGGCCTCCACCACCCTCTTGTCTGTGTCCAAATTCTTTGGTTTATCTCTTCCCGCTTTCCCATATCTTAGGATATATTCCTAGAAGTGGGATCACTAGGTCAAATAGCAGTTCCATATTTAATTTTTTGAGGAATCTCCATACTGTTTTCTATAATGGCTACCCCAGCCTGCATTCCCACCAGCAGTGTTCTAGGGTCCCCTTTTCTCCACATCCTTTCCAGCATTTGTCATTTATTGGTTTGTTGATGGCAACCATTCTCACAGGTGTGAGTTGATACCCCAATGTCGTTTTAATTTGCATCTCTCTGATGATCAGTGACTGCGAATTTTTTCATATGTGTCTTGGCCATCTGTATGTCTGCTTAGGAGAAGTGTCTATTTAGGTCCTTTGCCCATTTTTTAATTGGGTTATTTGTCTTCCTTTTGTTAAGTTGTATGAGCTATATATATATATATATATATATATATATATATATATATATATATATATATATATTTTTTTTTTTTTCCAGTTTTTTATTTCAAGAAAAACTATTTTTTTAAATATATTTTATTGATTTTTAAAGAGAGGAAGGGAGAGGGATAGAGAGTCAGAAACATTGATGAGAGAGAAACATCGATCAGCTGCCTCCTGCACACTCCCCACTGGGTATGTGCCAGCAACCAAGGTGGAATCGAACATGGGACCTTTGAGTTCGCAGGCCGATGTTCTATCCACTGAGCCAAACCGGTTAGGGCAAGAAAAACTATTTTAAATATAATAATGTTACATGCAATAAACCTTAATATTTCAAGAAAAGTGATTTTAAATTATATTTTGGATATTAACTTTTTATCAGATGTATCATTGCCAAATATGTTCTCCTGTACAGTGGGCTCTCTTTTCATTTTGTTGATTTCTTTTGCTGTGCAGAAGCTTTTTATTTTGATGTAATCCCATCTGTTTATTTTCTGCTTAGTTTCCTTTGCTGTAGGAGATGTATTTGTATACATATATTGCATTGCACCTTTAAATACTTTTAATGACTTTTTATCTTTTTTTTCTAGCGGAGTTGCGCAGTATGACAAATTGTCAGTCTAACCAGCCAAGGTAAGGAAAAATCTTGTGAATGAGATTGGGGAGGTAGTTTTCTTTCTTTCTTTTTTTTTTTTTTTTTTTTTTTAAATATATTTTATTGATTTTACACAGGGAGGAATTGAGAGGGACAGAGTTAGAAACGTCGATGAGAGAGAAACATCGACCAGCTGCCTCTTGCACACCCCCTACTGGGGATGTGCCCGCAACCAAGGTACATGCCCTTGACCGGAATCGAACCCGGGACCCTTCAGTCCGCAGGCCGACGCTCTATCCACTGAGCCAAACCGGTCCCGGCTGGGGAGGTAGTTTTCTTAAAATAACAATGTAGCATAGTAAAGGATACTTGAAACAAAGGGTATTTGAGAATTCGGCTTGGTCCTTGTTTACCTGGAAATCTGGGAGAAATCACATCTCCCCATCACGGCCTTCTCACCTTCCAGGCTTCTAAGGTGTTATAGCTTCTAAGAAGGAAACTAGAGACAAGCAGTGCTTGGAGCTCCTTGCAATCAACTCCCTTGGAGTTGGTTTCAAGTAAAGGCTTGAGAAGATGGCTGTCCTGAAGCAAATCAGTAAAGGGAGTGGGTCATGTGGGACTCTTAAAAGCGGTCCCTGTAAACGGGGTAAATCTTGGGCTTGGTTGGGAACCTCTCAGTATAGAGGCATTAGAGGCAATGTGAGCCTCAGATCCATTTTCAGTTTTCTTCAGTAAACTCAGCTGCCACATGTTTTGTCTTTAGTAATGAAGGTGATGCCATCAAAGTTTTCGTGCGAATTCGTCCACCTACAGAGGGCTCTGGCTCAGCTGATGGAGAGCAAAACTTGTGCTTAAGTGTGCTCTCCTCTACGGCTCTCCGGCTGCACTCCAACCCCGAGCCCAGGACCTTCACTTTTGACCATGTTGCCGGCATGGACACCACTCAGGTAATGATCATTTTGGAAATGTAACTTTCCTTTTGGAAAATATAAGATTCTGTTCTTTGTGAGGATTTTGTTTCTGGTCTATTTAATTTGATAGATCTCAGATAAGGAAGCTCGGACAGTCCATAAATATTTAAAATTTAATTTTGTTAAATGCTTTTTCTTCCTTCATTAAACTTTGTATCAGAATGGCAAGTCTGCTTCACTGTTTCTCTCCATCCGGTAAAGATGAACTTTTCAGAGCCACTTGGCTGATTGATAAGTATTGTTGATCTGCCCAATTTAAGGAGAGGTCTTAGCCAGCCCTGGCAGCTTGAGCAAAAATATCATAGACTGGATGGCCTAAGTAAAAAATATTGGTTTCTAACAGTTCCTGGAAGTTGGGGAGTCCAAGATATCGAGGCCAAGAGATCCTGTGTTTGGTGAGGACTCACTTCCTGGCTTGTAGACACCTGCCTTCTCACTGTCCTCACTGGTGGAGAGGTGGAGGGGCAGGGGAGAGTAAAGGAGAGAGAAAGACCTAATTACCTCTCAAAGGCCCATCTCCATCACACTGGGGATTAAGGTTCCAACATTCGCATTTTTAGATTGACTTTAGAAAGAGGGATTGGGAGTAGAAGGGGGTAGAACATTGATAGGAGAAAAAAATATCTATCAGTTTGTCTCCTGGACACACCCAACCCAGGACTGAACCTGCAACCTAAGTATGTGCCCTGACCAGGACTCAGTGTGAAACCTTTCAGTGTATAGGATGGTGCTCCAACTTATGAGCCACACCAGACGGGACTAAGCACACAGTCTTTGTTGGTTTGTTTTAGAATGCAGCTTAAGAAAAATGCTTTTATTTTTATGAAATGTTAACATGTTTGGTTGTAGGAGTCTGTGTTTTCAACTGTGGCCAAAGGCATTGTGGAATCTTGCATGAGCGGATATAATGGCACCATCTTTGCATAGTAAGTAGCTGACTGTTGTGTATAAGGACACCAGGGTACAATAACAAGTGCTTCTGTTAATTTCCTATGGCTGATGTAACAATTTACCACCAACTTAGTGGTGAAACAGCACAAATCGATTATCTCACAGTTCTCAGGTCATGAGTCTAGCACAGCTTCACTGAGCTAAAATAGAGGTGGCAGCAGGGCTATGTTCCTTTCTGGAAGCTCCAGGGGAGAATCCATATTCTTCACTTGACAGGCCACTCACATTACTTGGCTTACAGCTCCCTTTTTCTTTTCTTTCTTTCTTTTTTTTAAAAAAAATATACTTTATTGATTTTTTACAGAGAGAAAGGGAGAGAGATAGTTAGAAACATTGATGTGAGACATCAATTAGCTGCCTCCTGCACACCCCCTACTGGGCATGTGCCCACAATCAAGGTACATGCCCTTGACCGGAATCGAACCTGGGACCTCTCAGTCCTCAGGCTGACGCTCTATCCACTGAGCCAAACTGGTTTCGGCAAATACTTTATTTTTAAATTAAACATTTCAGTATCTTAAAGGAAGAATTTAGGGAAGGAATTACTGCATTATTTAAAATGGCAAAAATCGGAAACACAAGTCCAGTTTGTTCTGGTTAAATAAGTTGTGATACGTCGAAGAAGACTAATATTATACACCTAAAGAACATGAGGTAGATCTCTATTAACTCAGGAAAATATCTGAGGTAAAATTTAGGGTGGGGGGAAACAGTGCAGAGCAACCTTTAGAACTTCATTCCAATGTTGTAAATAAAACCTACATGAAAGCCCCGATGGCTGTGTTTGTATAAGCCAGACCACAGTGGTTAGCTCTCCGTGGTAAAATAGAGGAGAAAGAAAATGGTCATTCACACTTACCTAATGTAATTCAAATAAAAAAGAAAATCAGTTCTTCATGGGAAAATTCATACATGAGTACACCATATTAATGTAGGAGGTGGTCTTCTAAATTCCATGTGTAAAATAATATCTGATATTCCTTTTACAGTGGACAGACTGGCTCAGGGAAAACGTTTACTATGATGGGTAAGTAAATTAGTGATGAACATTGGCTGGCTTAGTCTCCTTCTGTGATGAAAGCACCTAGCCATTTTGGGAAAGCATAATTTCTATACATACATGATGTTGACATCATAAAATTAGGAATAATTAGTCTATGAGCCTTTGGCTAGTGTATATAGGTCAGCTCATTATTTCCCAGGCTTCTGTCAGATGGCCATTCCCATGAAAGCAAAGTCAATGTTTGTAGCTCTATTCCCAGCTCAATGCCTAGCACAAGTAGGTGCTTATAAACCATCTTTAAATGAAGCTTACTGACTTTCTATATGTATATGACTGTATAACCCAGGGGTCTTCAAACTACGGCCCGCGGGCCACATGCGGCCCGCAGAGGAGTCTGATTCGGCCCGCCAGGTTTTTTGGGCAGTGAGCGCAGCCAAGGTGTTACAGTAGGAATTAGTATTGGGTCGGCAACTAAGTAATTGCGGGTTTTAAAAAGAAAATCAAAGACAATTTTTTCATGGAATTGATTAACAGCTGAATAGCCAACTATCAAATAACAAATTGTGTTTTACATTTGTACTACGTCTGCAAACCTAAAAATTCAACTGAAGCCATATATGTGTGATACCCGCAATTACTTAGTTGCCTACCAAATAGTTCATATAGTCCGGCCCTCCAGCTCTCTGAGGGACCGTGATCTGGCCCCCACTTTAAAAAGTTTGAGGACCCCTGGTATAACCACTACATAGATCCAGATTCCTATTCAGCAACTATCACTACCCCATCCCCTGAATGTGTACTCTATTAACTCAGACTTCTGTCATCATTAGTTTTGCTTGTTTTGGAACTTTTACAATGAAACTTTGCTGTATGCACTCTTATGCCTGGCTTCTTTCAGCATCCTTTCAAGCAAATCCCCAGTGTGGGGTGGGCAGAAGGCAGCTGATCAATGATTCTCATCATTGATGTTTCTATTTCTCTTTCCCTCTCCCTTCCTCTGTAACAGCAATCAGTTTATTTATATATACTATTCACACATACATATGTATATATTTAAAAGTATGCTGAATGTCTTTGTATTATTTCACAGGAAAATGTTATAAAGTTACCTGCAAACTCTAATATTATTTGTGCTCGTTGTACATTTACTTGCATTTTTCTGCCTCTATGATATATATTTTTAAGATATACTTTACAAGGACTGTTTCAAATATTCCAGGTGTAGCACACCAAGATAATGATATTATTAAAAATTATTTCTGAATCTTTCTTGCATATAACAGTCTTTTGTTAGTTCTTTTAGTTTCTAAGGCATATTAGAGATCTTTTCTAGCTATGTTTTTCCCCCAGTATATGCAGCTATAGTTTGAAATAGTATTCTGTAAAGTCCTGCTATTTACATATTCGCTCACGTCTTCCTCTTTCCCCAATGTTAACAGCATAGAGAGGAGTACTCTACATTTTTCTTACTTAATAGAAATCTTATGAAATATTTCTACAGTATCTTTCTTACCAGCTGGGCTTTTACTGCCTAATTTAAAAAATACCAGCTAGCTCAATTGGTGTGGCTTAATGATTGAGTATCAACCTATGAACCAGGAAGTCATTGTTCAATTCCAGGTCAGGGTACATGCTCCGGTTGTGGGCTCAATCCCCATAGGGGGGAATGCAGAAGGCAGAATATAGATGAGTCTCCTCACCCCTCCCTCTCTCTTCCTCTTTGAAGTCAATAAAAATATATTTTAAAAAAATACCAGCTAATGCTAATTTTTAATAATAGCCTTTGAGATAGTTAATGCCATTATTATCCCCATTTTATAGTTAACAACTCCGGAAAAGGAATAATTAGTCTAAAAACCGATGGCTAGTGTATATAGGTCAGCTCATGAGACCCATTGTAATTTGTAACATGTAAAGTACATTTGTTTGGTATTTCTGCTAATTTTGGTACCTGGCAGGAGTGAAAATTACAAGCTTGGTTTTTAGATGGTTTTCTAAATTTATTAAACAACTATTTTTTAAACTTGGTTAGTAGTTATTGTGGGCCTTCCTTACAGTAGATCAATGGGTAGGTTTTATTACTGGATCTCTCATAAACCCAAATTTTAATTATTTGGAAATTGATTATATAATGTGTCAACTTGTTTCTGTGTAAATAAATAGCCTTTGTGTTGTCATTTTGAAGAACTCTTATAATGTGAACAAAAATGAACAGCTATGTATTTTTCCATTTTTTAGGACCATCTGAATCTGATAATTTTTCTCATAACCTGAGAGGAGTAATCCCACGAAGTTTTGAATATTTGTTTTCCTTAATTGATCGTGAAAAAGATAAGGTAAAACACTGTAACAATATAGCAATTCTATTTTGAGAAGTTAGCTACTATCATGATACATAGAGTTGGTGTATTTCACAGTTTGTACAGGTAGTGTGGTATTAAAAAACTGTTGATTCTTAAGATAAAATTAAAGGATTCTGAGTTTTATTTTAAAAAGTTTTTAGTTTATAAAATATGCATCATCCGTGGACCCAGATTGCTGGTTTAAAAGAAGGAAGAATGCAGTGCTTCTTAGGCTCTTAGATTTTGAAAGAGGAAGTGTAAAGAAAATCTGAACTGAGGAAACCGAGGTTCAATAAGCTCTGTCCCTTACCTGTTCCTAGGCTCACAGTTGCTTTTAGGTGTTCCTAAATCCTCATGACATCCAATGTTACTTCCATTGCAGCACATGTGATCTCCTTGCTCACATGTGGTTTGGCTCCATCATCCTGGGATGTGGGTTTCCCTCTATTGGTTCCCAGATTGGGCCATTCTCATGATGTGTTCTTTAGCTTAGTGATTTCCAGGCGTAACAGCCATTAGTGTTCAATGTTTTAAGGAGTCTGATATGTAACATCGGTTTGCTATTTTTTCCCTAGGCACTACAGTTAGACACACACATTGCATGTCAGCAAAATGTTTAGTGCCATGCATTTCTGTGGTTGAAAATTCTATAGAGAGGCTTTTAAAATATTTTTTGTCTTTTAAAGGATGTAACACTGCTTCAAGTAAAACTTTGTGAGGAAGTCACAGATAAAATGATAATTAAATTGCCGCCCTAGCCGGTTTGACTCAGTGAGTAGAGTGTCGGCCTGTGGACTGAAGGGTCCCGGATTCAATTACGGCCAAGGGCACATGCCTGGGTTGTGGGCTCGATCATTAGTGCAGGAGACAGCCAGTGAATGATTCATCATTGATTTTTTATCTCTCCCTTTCCCTTCCTTTCTGAAATCAATAAAAATACATTTTAAAAAAATGAAATTGGCCAACTGGTCTGCTCAATTCCCATTTCCCTGTCCTGATTTTCAGCACCTCTGGAACGGTTCCTGGGACAGTGATGCTGCTGTAAAATATAGTAATATGTTGAAACTAGTTACCTAGGTTTTTTAAGCTAACGCTTAGGTATCTTTTATGGTGTAAAGGATAAGATTGTAGAAATTTTACACTTGTGAAGCGAGTGAAAGATTAATGCTCATGAAAGATAGGGATGATGCATAAAAATAATATATCTAAACCAGGCTTCTCTTTTACAGGCTGGAGCTGGGAAGAGTTTCCTTTGTAAGTGTTCCTTTATTGAAATCTACAACGAGCAGATCTATGACCTACTGGACTCTGCTTCCGCTGGACTGTACTTAAGGGAGCACATCAAGAAGGGCGTTTTTGTTGTGGGTGCGGTGGAGCAGGTGGTGACCTCAGCAGCTGAAGCCTATCAGGTACCTGACATTGAACTTTGTGATCCTTCGACAGCGTAGCATGCTGTGAAATGCACCGTGATCGCAACAAAAGCAAAAATTGAGCTACTAAACATATTTTGAAGAGGCATAACAATGTTCATGAGAGGAAAAGAAAACAGAATATGACAGTGTTTATACTCCCCTTAGTTAAAATAGAACTTTGTGACTGTTGATTTTGCATTATTTTGGTGCCATTCATTCCAACCAGTCATTCCTAAAACCATACTGGATGACATGGGGACATTTCATAGAGTCTGTATTTCTTTAGTGGTTCCTCCTGGGCTTTGCTCCTTTGAGGAGCTACTGGGATCTCTGCTCCCCAAAGCAGCTGTACATATGATGACCTTACTACTCAAAATATAGTTCTCAGACTGTGAGTATTACCTGGGAGCTTGTTACAAGAATCTAAGGCCCTACCTCACACCTATGAAATCGGAATCTGAGTCTTAACAAGATCCCAAGGGATTAGTATGTGCATTATAGGTTGAGGTGTTCTGCCTTATGGGGTAAGACCCATAATCCCATTTTATAAATAGGGGATTGAGCTGTGAAAAGGTTGGACTGGCCCCATGCCAGACAACTAGTGAGTAATAGAACCAAGGATTGACCTCATGTTCATCTGATTCCAGAGTCTCAAACTGAATGTTCATGTGTCCTCCTTGCCATAGGGAATAGGAAGAGAGAACAAATACTTAGTGAACCCAACATGGTGACAAAAGTGGGGGTAATGACAGGGTGATACCCAGCATCTAGAAGGGATCAGGAATCTGGAGAAGGCACTGCATATAAAAAGACTAGAAATATGCACTTATAAAAGATATGCAAATTGACTTGACCTTCGCCATACCCATAAGCCAATCAGGAGTGTGTATGCAAATTAACCCAACAAAAATGGCAGGTTAATTTGCATGTGCAGGTGTGGAATGGCCAGACACCTGCTATGAGGGGGGGGGGGGGGCGGAGGGAGCTATAGGAGCAGTGCTCTAGCGCGAAGTGAGGACTTGCAGGCACCTGGGCGGCTTGGAGTGAAGCCAGGAAAGGCAGGCCTATTCTGGCATGAATCTTTGTGTAACAGGCCTCTAGTATAATGTAAATTTATAGTAGGCATTGTCAGGTTGGGGGGAAATGCCCATGGCTGTTCAGCTGTTTGGCCAGCAGGAAGCTATAACTCGTAAGTTGAAATGCCCTCAGCTGTTTGGTAACAGGCAATAATATATACAGAGCTTCAGGTTTAGGGAAATGCTTTCGGCCATTCAAATAGGCAATAATATGTATCTTTAACCCTTGCTGAAGGCCGAAGGTCCACCAACCTTTTGATGAACTTCTTGCATTTATGACCTGCTGGAATTAGCCTCCAGCATGGGGGCATGAAGGTCATGTTGAGGTTCATCTTGTCTAGTTTTCTCATAGTCTAGGGAAAGGAAGGGTTTAGACTTTAGAGGGATTTTGAATTGCATTCAGTTAACGCAAATAGAGAATGTTCTAGATCTTTTGCCTCTGATTCCTTTTATTCTCTTTCCATAACACTGAGGGGACAAAAAGGAAAATACCTTGCATATAATCCTTGATGGACCAGTTTTTTTTTTCCTCACTACTTATTGTTTTTCTAATGATGTTAGTGATATTGTGACCACTTGGAACTTGGGGTGATCTGTTTCTTTTCGCCCAGGTGTTGACTGGAGGATGGAGAAACAGGCGTGTGGCCTCAACATCAATGAACAGAGAATCCTCGAGGTCTCATGCAGTCTTCACGATTACAGTAGAGTCAATGGAGAAAAGCAGTGAGACTGTAAATATACGAACCTCCCTGCTCAATATGGTGGACTTAGCAGGATCCGAAAGGCAAAGAGACACCCATACAGAAGGGGTGAGATTGAAGGTAAGAATGAAATTATGGTCTTCAGTTGAACTGGTGTGTGAATTCTCATAGAAATCAATACCCAGCTAAGGGTTGTGAGGGCTACAAAGGAATAAGAAGTTGTAAAAGATACAACATTTTTGTTGTAGGACAGTAAACATAGGTGGGACGAGTTTGTCAGCACCACGGGTATTTGAATTCGTTCCAGGAGGCCGCAGGGACCAGAGAAAGCAGGGTGTGGCAGGCACTGCTTAGAGCACATGTGTCAAACACAAGGCCCGCGGGCCAAATCCGTCCCGCCAGGCCTTGCAATGTGGCCCGCACCGCGCTGTCATCACTGCACTCCGCTGCGTTTCCATCACAATGACAGTTTATGACTGTTCAGTAAACCATTCGGCCCGCGATTTAGGCTGGATTTTAGATTTTGGCCCCTTCTCTGATTGAGTTCGACACCCCTAGCTTAGAGGAAGCATGGGGAAGCAGCAGCTCATGAGTTGTGTTCTCAGAGGGGTCAGGATCTGGGCAGGGAGAAAGGAACAGGGATACGTGCCACATGGGGACGTCTTAAGGGTTATTGCAGACAAAAAGCGATTTGGGCCGAAACTGGTTTGGCTCAGTGGTAGAGCGTCGGTCTGCGGACTGAAGGTTCCTGGGTTCGATTCCGGTCAAGGGCATGTACCTTGGTTGCGGGCACATCCCCGGTAGGGGGTGTGCAAGAAGCAACTGGTTGATGTTTCTCTCTCATCGACGTTTCTAGCTCTCTATCTCTCTCCCTTCCTCTCTGTAAAAAAGCAATAAAATATATATTTTTTTAAAAAGCGATTTGGCATTTCAGCATAGGTCAATGGATGGGCTGGGTTGGCGGTTTAAGGCGGCATAGATCATTGAGGATGAGTTCCTGACCAAGTTTTCTCTCAGCTCTCCAAACACAGAAAAAGTTTGAGTGATTTCATGCAGAAAGCCTGTTCTATAAAAGTGTTCTGGAACTGCCCACTTCATAAGGAGAAAGAGCAACTGTGTTTTTTCATACTTCAGGGGTTCAGGACCTAGGCCTAGGCCAACTGTTTAGCCTTCCCTATACATTAATTTAAAACCGTTACAGTGATAAGGTGGCATTGATTGTCTTTCCTTCACATGATTTTTGTGTTTGAATACTAAAATCGCTGTGTGTGTCAAATAGGAAAAGGTTAGCAGATAGTTGAGGACATCTTTTTGCTAAAAAGTTAAGTTATCCTTCTTGTTCCTGACTAGTCTTTCCATTCAAAGTTGTCGCCCTGCTAGGTGTATGTTAATTCACAATGCTGAAAGGAAACCAGTGCGCCTGAACTTCTGTCTTCTTTTCGGTGCCTTAGGAAGCTGGTAACATAAATCGATCGCTGAGCTGCCTGGGCCAAGTGATTACAGCCCTCGTGGATGTGGGAAATGGAAAACAGAGACATATCTGCTACAGAGACTCCAAGCTCACCTTCTTGCTCCGGGTAAAGTACATCACTGGGCTCCGGGCGCTTCCTTTGGCTGTGTGCGCTTGGCTGAGGGTGGGATATTTTCTCAGCCTTGGTGGTCAGAGTGTACATTTTCACTGCTTAAAAAAGATCTTATTGTTTCTTCCCTGAAAATGTGTACTTTCATATCATGAAACAGGATTCCCTCGGAGGTAATGCCAGGACAGCCATAATCGCCAATGTTCATCCTGGATCCAGGTGTTTTGGGGAAACACTATCAACGCTGAATTTTGCTCAAAGGGCCAAGCTGATTAAAAATAAGGTAAAATGCTGAGTACAATGACGTAATTTAGAAAAATACTTATGCTTGCAGTATCTCACTTTTGTAGCTTTTTATGTCAGTAGAAGCTTAACTCTAAGCAAGATTTCTACTTCATCTTTCCTAGCCTTCCTTACTGCTCATGTAATTTGAGATCTAGATTGGGTCTTATATGGTTGCTATCATTTACCTATTTTTTTCTTAAGAGAAGGCAACGTTTTACCTACGTAATTAGGATTGGAGACTGAATTTATGTACCTAAACCATGCTAGCAGACCTGTGTGTGCTGGTGGGTGGTGATAGGCATTCACCCTGAAAATAATTGGATGATGTTGACACCTTCTCTTTCACTTTGCCTGTAACTGCAAGGATTCTCCTTTTTTTCTTTTATACAAGAAGCTCCCTTCATATTCATGCACACCAGTGGTCAGAACTCCTGTAAAGGACCAGGTGGCAAACATTTAGTCTTCCTGGACTGTGTGGCCTCTTGTCCCAACGACTGACCTCTGCCTTGGTAGAGAGAAAGCAGCCGTAGATAGTATGTCAGCACGTGGGCCTGGCTGTGCTCCAGTACAGCTTTCCACAACAGGAAGCAGACTGTATGTGGCCCCAACTTCTGGTGCAGACTCAAAAGACCCAGGATTTCCCACTCGTTTGGAGGGGTGGGAGCCTCTTTGATTCCAAAGAACAGAACGGTAGTGCCTGAAATGGGCCGATTGATTTCTAGTCTTTCAAAGGAGAAATTGATCGTTCTTATCCCCAAAGAAGACTCCTTGAGTATATTATCTTGGTAAGAATGTTGCCTCTTTTCCCTGAGTAAATCAGGAGAGCGCAGTCTTAGTCATTCGTTCATTTTATTGAATTATGACCCCCTTGTGAGACATCTATAATATGAAAAGAAGTCATGAGAGCTTCCTGACCCTAGAAGCTCTTGGGACTTACTAGAAGCTTTAAGAGAGTAGAGGACCGCGGGATTAGTTAGGATTATGAGGTCACTGATGTAACAGTGATGTCAGAATTACAGGAGTGTCTTATAATGAGCTGGCCTTAATAATCAGAAGCAACTAACAATGGCTTCTTAACACATGAAACAACAAAGCCAGAAGCCTTACAGTAGTTACTCTCAATGGTAAGTCACTGCAGAGCAGTGGCTGGGATATTTGCGACTGGTTTAGGGTGAGCTAGTCAGATCTCTTCCCTGGGGCTTTTCCTTCGCTGGGGAATCGGGGCTTTCCCAATCGGATCCCTGTCGTCACTCCCTGTAGCGTGCCATGACGGGGGATGGTCACAGACATTGCGGCGTTTTCTCTTCTCCACGGGGCAGGCGGTCTGCTCGGGTCTCAGGATGAAGGCAGTGTGAGATGAACATACCCAGATCCCAGGGCTGACCCAGCCCAATAGGGCCCAGGGCTAGTCAGCAGAACTGAGGCCTAAGGGGAGCAGAAGGAAGGAGTGAGGAGGAGGGAGGAGGCTCTGCTGTAGAGGAGAGGGAGAGGAGAGGATGCTTCCTCCCAGTGCAGCACACTCGTCCGGGTGTGAGGCAGAATCACTGCAAATCTTACACATATAAACACAGACTGTACAACTCCCAAACTGTTCTTTTATTAATTGATTTTAGAGGGGGAGAGAGGAACATTGGTTTGTTTCTTACGTATGCTCTCATTGGTTGATTCATATATGTGCCCTGATGGAGCGTGAAACCCGCAACTTTGGTGTATCGGGAAAATAACCCACTGAGCTACCTGGCCAAGACCTCAGCATGTTCTTTTAATGCTTTCCAAACATTCTTGAACAGGCGGTGGTAAATGAGGACACCCAAGGCAATGTGAGCCAGCTCCAAGCTGAAGTGAAGAGGCTCAAAGAACAGCTGGCCCAGCTCACTGTAGGGCAGATACTACCAGAAAGCTCTCTGACCAGAGGTAAGGTGGGCACAGTGTTCCTTATCCTGAGGAAGGAAGACCATGTGGACATTAGTGTTGGAACCCCCAATGACTTTCTACACAAGTGTATGTTTACTTCACCTACGTAGGAACACGGTACTTTGAAACCAGAGACCGCTTCCATGGGTACTGAGTTCTGTGAGATATGTGGGAAGAGGGAGTGGAAGTAATTTTGAATTTTAAAACTGCTAAAAAGACACTAATTTCATTTTGATCCATTCCTAAGATTCGGCTATATCATATGTTATCTGTATATGTTTACTAAATTGGGTGAGAGAGATTTTTCTTCAAAGTATAGCTGATATGTGGACTGGGTTCATTTAAAACCCATCATCTGTTGATAATAGTTTGATTCTTTTAGACTAATTGAGAGCAGGTAGTCAAAGGCTGTTTTAGCTCATCTCGCTGTCTTAAAATGTGATAAACATTTTCCCCCTTTCGCTTTCTCACCGGGACAACTACAGAGAGAGATGAGACTGATTACATGAAGTATTTCAAAGAGGCAATGCTGTTCTTCAAGAAGTCTGAACAGGAGAAGAAGGTAGGAAACAATCCTACCGGGTGAAGCGGGGTGCAAGATACTTGAGGCTTCGCTGTGTGGTTGATGCCTTTCTGAGTGGAGTAAATGCCGACAGCAAGTAAAAAAAGGAAGGCTGTGAGAAATCTCATTTGCCTTTGAGATCAAACGGGAACGTAATGTGTGTTGCTCAGTTTGTGAAAATTAGGGAAGGCGGATTATTTTTCATGTTTAACCAAATTATGAATTTCTTAAGTTTCTGGCAGAAAAAGTGACCCAGTTAGAAGACCTCACCCTCAAAAAAGAGAGATTTATTCAGTCTAATAAAATGATTGTGAAATTCCGAGAGGATCAAATCATGCGCCTGGAGAAACTGCACAAGGAAGGGCGGGGGAGTTTTCTGCCAGAGGAGCAGGACCGCCTGCTGTGGGAATTAAGGGATGAGATTCAGACTCTGCGAGAACAGGTGAGTCCTGACATCTGCAGTATTTCTGAATGTAAAGAAAGTTCAAGGCAAATCAAAATTTGTCACCACATTCTTGTAATAAATACAGCGAACGGTGTTTCAAATGAATTAACTTGACGGTATGATTGCACAATCTCGGCCCCTTTTTCCCCCATTTTTTTTTAATAATTTATTTATTTATTTATTTTTAATATATTTTATACAGAGAGGAAGGGAGAGGGAGAGAGAGCTAGAAACATCGATGAGAGAGAAACATCGACCAGCTGCCTCTTGCACACCCCCTACCGGGGATGTGGCCACAACCAATGTACATGCCCTTGACCAGAATCGAACCCGGGACCTTTCAGTCCGCAGACCGACGCTGAGCCAAACGTTTCGGCTTTCCCCCATTTTCTAAAATAATAAAACCTGAAGGGAAAAGCTCTTGACCCAAGTCAGATTCGCCCCACGGCGCACTGGTGGTTATCTGAAGCTGCAGTCTTTGCAGTTCAGCTTTTCAGGTTTCTTTTGTTTTTGCTTTTCCTTTTGCCTGGGAAGCATGGGTAGTTAATACAGACCCTTCTTTAAAAATCAAAGATAATTGGTTTCCAGCTTTGTGTATCTTTCCAGGGGTTTTATGCCTATTCAAACCAACACAGATATTTTCACTTTTCTCCTTTTTTGTGCAAAATGCAGCTCACCATGCACACTGTTCCGCACCTTGCCTTTTTCACATAGTGCATCTTGGAGGTCACTCAGACCTGGTCAGTAGTTTCGTTATTCTTTGCTTTGTATAATGAATATGAGTAAGCTCCTTTGCATGAAAAATTTGCCATGATGTACACCCTATGCTTATTTCCTAGGGGCCTGGCTGAAAGTTTCAAGGGTGCAGACCTAACCCGAGAACACAGAGTTGTAGGACACGCACACATTCACTCCGGGATCACAGGTGCCACGTTGCTTCCCACGGTGGTCGCAGCAGGCTACCACCAGCAGTTCATACTGTTTTCTACCAGCTTTTCAGAAAGACTAGTTCATTAAGGACATGTTTGTACAAACATAAGTCTGCAATCCTTTTTGTCTAGTTTTTTAAAAATATATTTTTATTGACTTCAAAGAGGAAGGGAGAGGGAGGGAGAGAGAGAAGCATCAGTGGTGAGAGAATCATTGATCGGCTGCCTCCTGCATGCCCCCTCACTGGGGACCAAGCCCGCAACCTGGGCATGTGCCCTTGACCGGAATGGAACCCGGAGCCCCTCAGTTTGCAGGCCGATGCTCTATCCACTGAGCCAAACCAGCTAGGGCTAAGTCTGTAATCCTTCTGTGTCATACAGATTGAGCACCACCCCAGAGTTGCCAAATATGCTATGGAAAATCACTCCCTCAGGGAGGAGAACAGAAGACTGAGATTATTAGAGTCTGTGAGAAGAGCCCAAGAGGTGGATGCGCAGAACGTGGCAAAGCTAGAGAAAGCTTTCCTACAAATATCTGGCACAGAGAAAAACGACAAAAGTAAGAAGTGACTGTTGTATACATGTCTTGTTGGTGTGGGGGCTGTTTTAAAGGGCTTTTATATTGCCTTTAGACCTGGTGTGCTAATTTCTCGTATACATACTATTGATATTTCTTTTACGTTAATCAAAAGTCATTTTCTAACCTTTATCTCAAAAATCACAGAGTAGTAAATTAGGTAGGATAGTAGATGTAGCAAGGAACCACCCACTATATATTTTTGTTTTTGTTTTTAATTTATTGATTGGGAGAGGGGAGATAAACATCAATTTGTTCCACCTTTTTATGCATTGATTGGTCAATTCTTGTATGTGCCCTGAGCAGGGATCAAACCCACAACTTTGGCATATGGGGGCAATGCTCTAACCAACTGAGCTACCCAGCCAGGGCAAGAGATATCTTTGTTTTATCTATAAAAGATTGATTGGATATTATGTTTAATTTTTATGAAATAGAGCTTTTCTGTTTTAACTATTTGAAATGACAAATGTTTAAGCACAATATGGATTAGTATAGAATTGAAATGTTTACTTGCCTGATTACAGACCCTATGGTGAGAGATATCTCATGATCAGACTCAGCAGAGTTTTGGTCCTGGTGTCATGGTTGCTGGTCATGCTTGCTAGTGTGCATTCTGTTAGTTATATATTATTCCCACAAGTTTACTTTTATTTTTGTAAATTCTCACCCGAGGATATTTTTCCATTGATTTTAAAGAGAGTGGAAGTAAGAGGGAAAGACAGAGAAATATTGATGTGAGAGAAACACATTGATGGGTTGCTTCGTGCATGACCAAGAATTGAACCAGTAAACTCTTGGTTCATGGTTCAACACTCAACTGCTGGGCCATCCTGCTGGGCTATTTCCACACATTTACTTTACTTTTGTGAAGGTGATTTATTTAGCAATACCTTTTATTTATAGGTGTGGCAGCTATTGGTACTCGTACTCTGGAATTTGGTAGGACGGTCTGTGGTTGCTCCATTTTAAAGTGAATAGTTTTATGGTCTTTGATTATACCCTGTCGCAGTCTTTGTTTCTGTTAAGGTTGAAATTGAGAACGTTTTGATTGTATCATTCTGCACTCATAAAGAAGCGTGTTTTCTTTTTTTCCAAAATGACCTTTCCCAAGCCTTCTTCCATTCTTTTTATGACTTCATAAGAGAATAAAATTCTCAGTATTTGGGTTATGGAGAGGCTAAGATTTTAGATGCTATAAAAATCAGGTTTTCTGTATTATTTCAACTATTTCTCCCTTTAATGCCCTCTATTTTGTTGGCCATTTTTACCTCAATCCATACTGTGGCCTAGTACCTTTGAAAGATAATAATGGTAATTTCTGGACCTCACCATCTTCAAAACAGAAACCACCGTCTCAAGAACTGTTACATGGTATTTCCCCACTGAAAGTCAACATTTCCAGTCTTCTAAGAATCCCTGAAAATTGACCTTTTCTTTCTGTTTGGTGATACCAAGTTCTTTCATCTTGCTGCCTTTGCTATTTGTTTCCTTTCCTAAAATTAATTGACTGTTAACGTTAGGCGCTTGTACTAATTCCTGCCAGACTCCCCAGCGATGCCTCTCCCTCCAGCATTATGTGGGTTGTACTTCAGTCCTTGCTGGCTCTGCTTCTTGTCTTAAAGCTGCCCCGTCCCATCCTGGGCTTCTCAGCTTCTCAAAAAAACCTCTAATACTCTTGGCCATACTGTGTTGTGTCTTATGTTTCCTGTTGAGTTATACGCTCTTGTATTTTAGGGTCCATCTTCCAGCCCATTTCTCATTTTTTCCTCCTTGTGCTTCAAAATGGATATATGGCAGAGAACTTAGAAAATGTTTTCTACTATTTTTGTCTTTCAAAAACCAAGTTGTTTCCTTATTATCAGGTCAGCAAGGATTCTCTCCTAAAGTTGCAAAAGAGCCATGCTCATTAGCAAACTCTGAGAAGCTAAAAGCACAACTCCTGCAAATGCAGACAGAACTGAATAACTCAAAGCAAGAGTATGAAGAATTCAAAGAACTAACGAGGTGAAGTATAGATACACATTCATGCTTGCCTATTTTCATATCTTTTAGTGTTGATTTGTTTGAGGGTTTGACATTGACCATTTATTTAATTGAGCATTTTACTTTAACAGTTCTTATAGAGCAACTAACTTGTTTTGACATGAGGGAAAAGGGCTGTTTCTAGTTTTGTTTTTACTTGTTTAGTAAATTGAGGTATAATTGACATATATGAATTTTTTAATGTTGAGATGAGTGCCTATTGAATTTATATAGTAAAATGTATATTTTGCCACCACATTTAAATCACTGTTGTTTTGAATGAAATCTGGATTTTTTTTAAAAAATATATTTTATTGATTTTTTACAGAGAGGAAGGGTGAGGAATAGAGAGCCAGAAACATCGATGAGAGAGAAACATCGACCAGCTGCCTCCTGCATAACCCCTACTGGGGATGTGCCCACAATCAGGGTACATGCCTTTGACTGGAATCGAACCTGGGAACCTTCAGTCTGTAGGCCAAAGCTCTATCCACTAAGCCACACCAGCCAGGGCTGAAATCTGGATTTTTAAAATTCAGATGTGTTACTTATTCTTTCTAGTTGCTTTTTGCATTAAAAAAAAAATCCATATTATAATTGAGATTAACCTTGTTATAAAATATAAAGAAATTTTAAAAAATAACATCACATATAGAACCATCATGGGTTGTTTAAGATTTTTAACCCTTTGCACTCTGCTGTCCCCTCTCAGGGGACATCGGAATTCTAGCATATCACTCGGATGTCCCCTCTCAGGGGGGACATTGCAGTTTATTAGTGATTACGGGGAATTGAGTTAATTCAACGCACGTGTCCGCCGCAAAGTAGCGTCGAGTAGCTGGTAGCCAATGTCCAGAATGGTTCGGAGTGCAAAGGGTTAAAGAATAGATATTGCTCTTGTATTTATTTTTTAAAAGATGTTTTTATTGATTTTTAGAGAGAATGGAAGGGAGAGGGAGAGAGAAACATTGATGTGAAACAATATTGATTGGCTGCCTCCTGCATGCCCCCTACCTACTGGGGATCGAGCCCACCACCTAAAGAACCGGCCATTGAACTAAGAACCTTGCATTGCACAGGATAAAGACTCCCAGTGAACTGAGCCACTCCGGCCAGGGCCGTTTGGGCTTTTGAATTGGTGCTCTGCCATTTACTAGTTGAACACCTTAAGCAGTAATTAATCTCTGAGCTGTATTTCAACCGATTGGAAAATGAAGGTAATAATCTAAGAATATCTCTGATTTAAAGAGAGAACAATGAAGTTATGTGAAAGTATAAACTATAAAGTACTCTACAAATGTATGACGTTACTTATTACCTAAAATACTCAATTTCATAATATCTATTAGGAGAAGGCAGCTAGAATTAGAATCAGAGCTCCAGTCTTTGCAAAAAGCGAACCTTAATCTCGAAAACCTTTTGGAAGCAACAAAAGCCTGCAAGCGGCAAGAAGTTTCCCAGCTGAATAAAATTCATGCTGAAACCCTGAAGGTAGGTATTCTGAAGCACTGCTTCAGCCTGCAGTCCCGCTGTCTCGCTGTGTTAGTAATGGCGTCGGCACAGATTATCTCCCTGCAGGCAGGTAACCCGGTGTTCTGAGGAGGGGTGAGGAAAGAATGCACCACGGAGGACTCCCAAGAGACCTGAAAATAAACAAACAAAGGAAAGTTCTTGTTTTGGTTTCCTAATCTAATTGCTTTTTAGGATTTTTGTTTGTTTGTTTTTAAATATATTTTCATCGATTCCAGAGAGGAAGGGAGAGAGAAAGAAACATCAGTGATGAGAGACAACCATTGATTGGCTGCCTTCTGCCTGTCCCCTGCTAGGGACCGAGCCCACCACCAGGCATGTGCCCTTGACCGGAACAGAACAAAGTGTCAGTCTGGTAGATCTTGGTAAATGGCAGCTGTTGCTACAATATAATGTAACATGTGCTCAAGGCTTGCAGTGGAAAAACAGAAATCCTAAAGACAAAGACCACAAAGGACCAGGGGTAACAATGTGGAAAACCAGGAAAACAGGAATGGTTTCCCTCTTAATGACCATAGCCTTCATTAAAAAAAAGAAAAGAAAAGAAAAAACTGAGATGGAGGAGCAAGAAGAAAACTTGAGGGAAGCAAAAGGTTAAGAAAGTGCTGCTACTCTTGATTTTAGCTTTTTGTACCAACTTAAGATTAAAACAAAACAATGTTCCTCATACATCCTACACTTGACAATAAAGAGATATGTATCTAATGAAGTTATTTATTTGTTTGAATAGGTAACTCACGTGACTGAAATTTTGAAAGGTACAAAGGGTATATAGTGACGATTCTCTTTCCGTCTGCTGTCCTTCCTCTACAAATGTATGACATTATTTATTACATAAGATCCTTTGTGAGGCGATCAGTGTCACCAAGTCTTTGCTTTTCGTTTTCTTTCTTTTTCATATTTTATACAAGCAGCATATAATACACATCATTCTACTTTGATTTTTTTTAACATAATGATATTTTAAGGTTTGTCCCATATCTGAAGGGGACAAAATAATGTTCCTTTTTGTTTTTGTTTGTCTTGGTGTTTGTTTGTTTGTTTTGGCAGCTGCAATAATATAATGTTATATTATGATTTATTTAACCTGGAAAATGCTATTTTTTCTTATACAGGTCGAATTTTTTTGTTTGCTTTTTAAAAGTTGTGGTCTTTAAAATCTGTAGGAAATGATTTTAAAATACTTGCAGAATATCGCCAGATGTTGTATGATGTGTGTCAGTAGCCCCTTAGCACAGGGCACTTGCAGAGCGAGAAGCATTGCCACTCCATCCGGCTTCTTCCATTCACAGCTGAGCTGATGGGGAGGAGGGGATTAAAAACTTTGCCAAGAAGAGCATAGCAATTCAGATCTTCTGTTGTTTGTTTTTAGTTTATTTTTAATTATATTGGTACTTTGTGAATAGTTTGTTCTTGATTAAAGTAAATATATATCTATGCAAATTTAGGTTAAAATTCCTACTTACCGACCGCCAGCAATGGCCGGTAAAAAAATAAAAAAATAAATAAATAAATAAATAAATAAATAAATAAAATAAAAAAAAATTCCTACTGAGCACCACCACCAATGGGTCTAATCTAGTCCTTCACTCCCCATCCCCAGGGCTAATTTGTTAATCAGTTTGGGAATCCTTTTTCTTAATAGTTTTGCATAGTAAATATACATGCTCTGAGAAAGATATGTAGAGTTATTTCATAGGTTTTTGTTGTGCTTTGCATTTAAAAGTAAATGGATTATTCTACATATGTTATTCTGCAGTGGGCCCCCCCCCCCCCCCCTCGGGGATATAACTTGGGACTTTCCATGTTAACTACCGTGTTTCCCCGAAAATAAGACCTAGCGCATGGAAAGATAAGACATCCCCTGAAAATAAGACCTAGCGCAACTTTGGGAGGAAAAATTAATATAAGACACTGTCTTATTTTCGGGGAAACAGGGTCGTACTTAGGACTTTACCTTGTTTTAAACCTGGGCCTCCATGTAAACAAACCCCTGGCTTGTTTAGGTGGCTTGAGTGCAGGTGTCCTCTGGGCAGGGCTGTGAGGGAGAAGTCCCAGCCCTGAGTCAGACCTGCTGTATTGCCCCCTCCAGCCCTGCGCCCTGTGCCTGCCCAGGAAGGTGGGGAGCTGGCATTGTCCTGCGTAGAACGGGCACTGTCAGCTCTTTAATGGTTGACAGTCCGGTGGGTGAAAAATGGTATCTAGTTAAGGTTTTAATTTTTATTCCCCTCCTTTCTGGTGGGGTCACACCTCTTCCTGTGTTCATTGGCCGTTTGCCCTTTTCTATGAAAAAAAGAGCCCATTTTCCCACTACTTGATTTGTAGTTTTTATGAGTTAATCTTGTTTCTTATACTTAATGCCAATATTTTTTGCCATCATGTTCCCTGCCTTTCATCTTCACATGTGATGCTTTTGTCATACAGAAATTTTAAAAATTTGATACACAGTTTATTGATTCTTTATCTGTGTGACTTATTCATTTTTAAAGGCCCAGACAATGTCAAAACCATGAGTATATTCTACTTTTACTACTTTAATAATTTTCTTTTTATGTTGAACTATTTAATGCATCTGCTAATTTTAGGTTTTTTTAATATATATATTTTTTTATTGATATAGAGGAAGGGAGTGGGAGAGAGAGATAGAAACATCAATGATGAGAATCATTGATTGGCTGCCTCTAGCACAAACCCTACTAGGTATTGACCCTGCAACCTGGGCATGTGCCTTTGACCGGAATCGAACCTAGGACCTTTCAGTCCGCAGGCCAACGCTCTCTCCACTGAGCCAAACCTGCTTGGGCTGCTGTTTTATTTTTGAGTGATATGGGATAGGGATTTAACTTTGTTAATAGTCTATGTTTTTTCACTAATTTGAACTTTACACATATAAATCATTCTATTTCCTAACTTTGTGTTTTCTTCCAATGATCTATTTGACTTCATATGCTAAGAATACACTTTTTAAACAACGATAGCCTTATAATATATTTTTATATTGGCCAGGTAAGTGTTCCCAATTTGTTCACCTTTTGTCTTCTTACACATTTATTTGTATGAAGTTTGGAATCTGCCTATCAAGTTTCATTTTTAGAATTTTGCTTAAGTCTGCATTAAATTGATAGATTATTTGTGTCTACTTGGGCATTTCTGTGCAAACTGCTGCTGTAGAGCCTAAGACCATCAGAAAACAAAAATATATACATTACGATTCATTAACAGGAGCAAAATTACAGTTATGAAGTAGCAACAAAAATAATTTTATGTTTGGGAGTCATCACAACATGTGGAACTGTATTAAAGGGTTGTAGCATTAAAAAGGTTGAGAACCACTGCTTTAAGGGATCCTTTTTCTTTCCTTTCATGAATAGAATTTCAAGTTTATCTTCTCTGTTTACACAATTATTTTTTTCATGTGTGCTAATGTTCTTTTCCATAATCACTTTTTGCTGCAGATTATAACTACACCAACCAAGGTTTATCAAATTTGGCCTCGACCAGGATCAAAATTAAGCCCTGAAACAGGGAGCTTGGGATCTCCATACACTCAGAATTCTAGCAAATTAGATAATGATATCTTAAATGAGCCAATTCCACCTGAGATGAATGAACAAGCTTTTGAAGCCATTTCTGAAGAGCTTAGGATGGTACAGGTAATGTTTAGTTTTAGAAAAAATAAACAATGAGACATTCATTTAAACACATTCCTTTATCATTTTAACTATAATTTTCAATGTGCAAAAACTCTTTACTACCTTCTTAAGTATGGGTGGGTAAAGACCCCTGGCTTAGAAAACAGACTGTTGTTATTCTTTTAATTCACTGCAATGTTTAGCAAGTGACCCAATCCTACTTACTGAAAACCTCTTGGAAATGTGCCAGAACTTTCTCAACTGAGTTAGACATGTCTACAGTAATGATTTTTCATACTCATATTTGACAAAATAAACTTCATAATGAAAATCATCAAAACTCACATTATAGTGTGTCCCTGAAGTCACAATCACTTTGAGCCTTCCTGATACTCTGAGCCAATAAACTAACTAGTTTGTTCAGCTAGTTTGAGTTGGATTTACAGCGTGTGCTGGTTTCCAGGCCAACCATAACGAAACAAATCTACCTGACTTTTTAACTATAATTTTCAATGTTCAAAACTGTTTACTGTCTTCTTAAGTATGGGTTAGAAACCTGACTGTTCTTTTTCTTTTCATTCACTGCAGTGTTTAGCAAGTCATTTTCCAATGTCTTGTGGCTTTGGTTCTCTTATATGTAGAGAGACCAGTTTGCCACTAGATTCAGATTCCAAACTGATTTGTTTATATGGCACAGTGCTGTATCTGCTAAAGAAAGTTAAAATAGTTGAAAGAATCATATTTTAGATGACATTTTAGACCACTTTTGGTATATTTGAAATAACATAAAATTTGTTTATCTCAGAATTCTGGTGATTTCATTATGTTTTTAAGTTTTTCCACTGTCAAGTAAAACTTAGAGTGAGCCAGACCACCCCAGATTTCAAAATTTGCCCTTTCCTAGCATGGAGGCCTTTCTGGTGAAGTCACTCTATGTAGCTCCACGAAATCTCAGAAATCTCAAGCTGGTTCTGTGGCTTAATCCTCAATTTTAATTTAACCACTTCTTTTCCTATGTGTTTCAAATTATCTACTTTAACGGACCACAAGTGTAATTTTGAATTTATCCCTTTTGATGGCTTTCAATATGAAGTTTATTTTGTCAAATATGCGTATGAGAAATCATTACTGTAATCTTTTGAAATTGTTTTCTGGTTCCAAACTGGCCTTTGATACCTTTGTCCATATAAGGTTTTGAATTTTTTTTTTTTTTAAATATATTTTATTGATTTTATACAGAGAGGAAGGGAGAGAGATAGAGAGTTAGAAACATCGATGAGAGAGAGTCATCGATCAGCTGCCTCTTGCACACTCCCCACTGGGGATATGCCCGCAACCAAGGTACATGCCCTTGACTGGAATCGAACCCGGGACCCTTCAGTCCCCAAGCCGACGCTCTATCCATTGAGCCAAACCAGTCCCGGCTGAATTTTGTTTTTTAACACAGAAGAAATGGTGGATTAAGATTTTCATTAAAAGACTCTTTGACAGCCGGAGTTTCTGTGTTGCAGGAGCAAATGAGTACCCTCCAGGTCAAGTTGGATGAAGAGGAGCATAAAAACCTGAAGCTTCAGCAGCGCATTGACAAACTGGAGCATCATTCTACACAGATGCAGGAGGTGAGACCAGAGTGCGGCCTCAGAAATGTGGGAATCAGAGTCTCACAGGAAGAATCGGACTCACAAAGCCCCAGTCAAGACTGATTTGAGTTGTTTTCTCTACTTTGTTGCTTCGCATACTGCTCTGATAAGGAGACACACACACACACACACATACACACACACAGCTCTGGCCCTCTTCGTCTGCAGGGCCCCTGGATCTCTTTCTGTATGCCCAGTGGGATGATGGTTCAGGTGCCTGCAGGGATCCTTTCCTTTGTTGGGCATCCTCACTGTAATTGAAGGGAACAGGCCAATTTCCTTCTGGTCAGAGACTTTAAAACAATTTAAAAACAAGGTAATTGTTTGGAGTATGTCTCATCATGCCACTATGCCTTTTCCAGTAAATTGATTTCTTTCCCTCAGCTTTTCTCATCAGAGAGAATGGATTGGACCAAACAGCAGCAAGAGCATCTCTCACAATTGAGTGCCCTTGAAAAGCAGCTTCGGGACACTCAGACTAAGAATGACTGTAAGTGTGGCCAGCTGGGAGCTTTCTAATCTGAATACTAGAACTCAGTACCTTTCTATTCATATCATAAATCTTTTTTTAATATATTTTTATTGATTTCAGAGAGAGATAGAAACATAATGATGAGAGAGTTATTGATCAGCTGCCTCCTGCACACCCCACACTGGGGATCAAGTCCGCAACTCTGACATGTGCACTGACCTGAATCAAACCCTGATGTCCTCGTTCCTGTGTTGATACTCAATCCCTGAGCCACACTGGCCGGCTGGGCTTTTTAAGTTTTAATGCTGATTTGAAAATGAATTGTCTTGAATTTATAAGATGAATAATATTTTTTATTAACCATTTATTTTTTTCACTTACGGATGTGAACAATGTTTTAATAGTGATGAAATAAAGCGTAAATCATATGTTGTCATATATTCATAGATGTGGGAGTATCATTTGATTCCCAGTTTGTTGTTTTCAGTTTACGTCTCCTTTTATTAAAGTATTTGCAGTATTTTGTAATAATGTCAAACAAAAACAGCCATTCAGTTTTTTTTTTACCTAAGAAGTTACCTAATTTTACTTCCAATTGCAGTTCCCTTAGAAGACCAGACATGCCGAAGCCGGTTTGGCTCAGTGGTAGAGCGTCGGTCTGCGGATTGAAAGGTCCCAGGTTCGATTCCGGTCAAGGGCATGTACATTGGTTGTGGGCACATCCCCAGTAGGGGGTGTGCAGGAGGCAGCTAATCTATGTTTCTCTCTCATCGACATTTCTAGCTCTCTATCTCTCTCCCTTCCTCTCTGTAAAAAATCAATAAAATATATTTAAAAAAAAAAAGAAGAAGAAGAAGACCAGACATGTTTAACTCATTTGAGAACGTTCTGGCACATTTCCAAGAGTTTTTCAATAAGTAGGATTAGGTCACTTAAAATATGTTAAATATCTTGATTTTTTTTTTCTTATAATATAAAAAATTTTGATGCACATTTTAAATGTCAAAAATAAGTGAAGGGACAGACAGATGTTAATTCTTCCTTTGTTTGGTAGAAATATACCAAAAAACCATAAACAAAGGAGAGGGTGAAAATAGAAACTTTTTCTAGGTATCTACCACTTACCAGTAGCTGTTCAACACCAACCTTTTTTTACTGATTGTGTGAAACTAACTATTACATTTGCCTACTTTGTAAAAAATTATGTGTAGAGAAGCCTGTTGAGGATTTGTTTTGTTTGTCTTTCAGTTTTGAAAAGTGAGGTCCATGACCTGCGAGTAGTGCTTCATTCAGCCGACAAGGAGCTGTCTTCGGTGAAGATGGAGTACGGTTCATACAAAGAGGCTCAGGAGCAGGAACTCAGTAGCCTTTCTGAAAAACACGTGCATGTCCAGCTCCAGCTGGACAATGTCAGGTAGAGTTGTTTTATTATGATTGGCCTGGAACCCAGGGCTCCTTGAAGTGCACATGCTGTAAATCCAACTCAAACCAGTTGAATAAACTAAACGTTAATTGATTGGTTCAGAGTATTGGGAAGGCTCAGAAGTGAATGTGTTTCACACAGTGTTGTCACGTTGCATTTTTCTGTCTCTTCTGCTTTTCATCTCTCCCTCTTCAGACCCTGCTCTGCTTCCTTCTGCTTTACCCTCATTCTATCCTGTTGAGGGCCTTTCTCTGTGTGTCCGGGAACAGATGGCCTCACTGCTCCATACTCTGTTTCCTACATTAACAACTGTGAGGGAATCCTCTGTCTCAGCCACTGCCTGTCAATCCCAGGGAGAATTGGAATTGGTCTTTCTTGAGTCATCTGCTTACCTTTGGACCAGTCACTTAGGTGAGGGTGTGAGCTCATATTGCCCAAAGAAGGTGATGTGTCTATTCCAGAGGGAAAGGTATGCTCTTGTGAGAAGAAGAGGCAGGACAAGGGAGACCAAATCAAATCGGTAGTTGTCACAACTGTCCAAATTAACTCCCAGGGGCTGGCTGGTTATTCAAGTGCTGAGAGCCTAGAAACAAAGCAATCTAGGATGTGAATTGTTTGTTTTCATTGGTGTGTTTTTTTCCTTGCTAATCTCATTCTTTTCTAAAACATGTCTCCTGGGTCTATGGCAGTAATTTAATAATGGACATTTTGAATGTGATGCTGTGAGGGTGATATGAGTGTGACCACTCAATCTAGAAACCTTCTAATAGACAACCTTGAATTTAATTTTTACAGAAGTTGCAAAGTTAAAATCTGTAGCTCTTGAGTGTTTTCTGAACATATGACAAGGAGTTAAAATAGAAGAAAAAAACGAGATCTGCAGGCCAAATCAACTCTAGACATGTTTTCATTGGGCCTAGCCAATTAGGTTTTTAAAAATATTAGCAGAGTGTTTTTTAAAATGAGAAATTTCTTATAAAAATCCATATTTCAGCATCCTCTTAAAAACCAGACAGTTTGGTGGCCTGGGGCCCACATTACTCCATGGTGGCTAGCAGCTGCCCTGGGAGTCCCTTCTTCCCTCTAGAGGGCACTACGGAGTCAGCACAACCTCTACCACCCTGCACTGTTTCCCCAATGCTAGGGCTGCCAGTGGAGGCCATTTATCCTCGGGTGCACCATTATTTCTTCTCACTCCTGGCATTTGTTTTTAACACTGGGATCACTGTCTGATCTTGGCTGTCTCATAAACTAATCACTCCACTAATATTATTGGATCTTCATTTCCTCATGTTTACATGTCAGAGTTGAACTAGATCTAAAATGTTAAGAATCCACTATATTTGGCTACATGTGTATGTGTCTTTAAACTAGAGGCCCGATGCACAAAATTCATGCAAGAGTAGGCCTTCCTTCCCCCAGCTGCTGGCACCGGCTTCCCTCTGGCACCTGGGACCCAGGCTTCCTTTGCAGCCCCAGCTTCGTCTGGAAGGACATCTGGTCTAATTAGCATATTATGCTTTAATTATTACAGATTATGTATTAAAAATGTCAAGTTCTTCCTTGCTTTTTAAATTGGACATAAATTAGTTGTTCCGAATGCCTCAGGTTTAACACTGAGTACATCACTCACTGGGCTGCTTAAGCTTGCTCATGGCACCTTCCCTACATGAAACAGCACAACCTTGCTATGTGTTTCTGGAATTAATTTGCCTGCTTTATTATACAAAGAATTTTGTATAATATATTTTGTATAATAATTTTGTATAATATTGTAAATACATATCTTCCCTCTCCCTACCTTCTATTGTCTATACACCTATCTTTAGCAACTGATTTTTACCACTTTGCAATTTGCTGCTTCTGCTCTGCTTTCAGTTAGTAAAGCAGGTAGATCCTTGTCTAATAACCTGTATGTAAAAGCAGGGGGGGCCTGTGGGTCAGGTTCATTGTTTACCTCTACTTGGCTGAGCTCTGGATGTTTGGGTGTGTTCCCACTATGTCAGGGAGCAGAATCAGAGGATGAAACCCAAAAAAAGCAATCCTATATAATAAAAGGCTAATAAACAAATTGTCATCTTGACCGTGAGTGTAACCAGGGGATGGAGTCAGCTGGTCAACCGCCTGCAGCCTCTCCCCCAGGCCAGCCCAGCCCGATGGGCCCCAATCGTGGGTCTGACCCCACCCGTGCACAAATTTGTGCACCGGGCCTCTAGTAAATAATAGTCATGTGAATGAAAAGATAGTTCTCGCCAAGGAGTTTACACTACACTCTTGCTCAGATTGCAACCACGTTTCCCATCTTGAAAAATCTTTGTAGAGTTTGGAGACCATCTGATGAATGGAGTGGAACTATCAACTAAATTAAATTAATGGCCAGTCCCTAGGTTCTGTGAGGGTTAGGTCTGGACCTCCTAAAGGAGGAATAAGGTGGCTCCAGGCTAACTCTCTTTTCCATCTCTGTGCTGTGGTTGAATCTGTCTGGTGTTTGTGTGCATCATGGATATTTTACACACGTCTTTGAGCCTTACACCAGTCGAAGCTTGTGTAAATTGGGAAAGATCTGTAGCTGGGATAAGTTGAACTGCAGATACTCTGAACAAATTAATTTGTATTCACCATTGTAAAAATGTTTTCCTGATAAAGATTAGAGAATGAAAAGCTTCTTGAGAGCAAAGCCTGTCTGCAGGATGCCTATGAAAACTTACAAGAAGTAATGAAGTTTGAAATTGACCAACTTTCAAAAAAGCTCCATAGCTGCAAAAAAGAAAATGAGGCTCTGAAATCGGATATGAATGTAAGTGAAGGGTATTGATGATTCCTGACTTTGTCCTGGACATGTGACTGCTCACTGGAGCTCAGGGCAAGCACTGTTTAAACCTCTTCCTAAAGAAGGCACTTGGTGTGTTTGTTGACTCCGAGTGGCTAGTAACAGTAACAAATCTAATGTCACGTTGTCTTTTAGAATTTGATGGAGCTTTTTGAGACAGAAAAAGAACGCAATAACAAATTATTATTACAATTTGAAGAAGATAAAGAAAACAGTTCTAAGTGAGTGCTATTTATATTTTCCATTATTTAACTAGAATGTCATTTATTACCGCATTCTTTGTCTTGTTTTTCTTAATTGAAAATGCCCTGTATTTTTTCTAAAGCATTCCCAAAATGAATATCATGTTTTTGTATAAATGGCTATGTAGAGAAACTTAATTTTTAGAACATTCAATACTTTTAAATGAATAGTAGTGATCAGAACTTGGGGCTTTTTGTTAATAAATCACAGTATTTATTATTGGAAGGTGGGGATTGATTTTCATTTCTGTCTGTACTACTTTCTTCATCCTCTTTTTTTTCTCCTGGTACTTTAATATGAATGCTACTGTCTTTCTTCCCTTTCTCTCCAAGTTCTTTTCTTTGATGATCTCTGTCAGTCCCTTGGCCTCAGCCAATCCGATAATTATTACTCTAATGAGAAGAATCTGTATTTGTTTATTCAGCAGCTGCTTATAGAGTTCTTATTATGAGACAGAGTCTCTTCTAGGCCCTGCTATACAGTGATGAAAACATCTAGTGGATCCGCACATCTGGTTGGGAAACAGTAACATTTAGTCATTCATTTACACATTCAGTGATATCCACAAGCCAGTCTCGATTCTGGCAAACGCCATGCAAAGATAAGACAGAACAAAATGTACCCATCCTCATGAATTTTATATTCTAGTGCAGAGAGTTGGGTAATAAACAGATACTAGATGTTATATGTTATGTTTGGGGGTCTCAAAGTACTTCGAAAAAAATAATCTGTTGTATAAAAATGGGCTTTCATTCAATAATTGTTGAAGAGATAGGTTCAAATTTCTGATTTGTACTGGAATATAACTCCTAACACCAAGTTTATGCCTAATAATGTTTAGTTGCATTGCAGTGAACCTCCTGTACAAATAGAGTCATTTCCTGTATTCGTTGCGTGAAGTCATTGTAAAAGAACTCTTCTCTTCCAGAGAAATCTTAGATGTTCTTGAGGCTGTGCGTCAGGAGAAACAGAAGGAGATGGTCAAGTGTGAGCAGCAGGTAAGTGTCTTGACTCTGACTCTAAAATTGGAGCTTTGTCATTTTTCCTGATGTCGAAAGAGTGTCTTGGCTTTCCTATGTTGAAAATTGGTAATAAAAAGATGGAGTGTTTGATTGCTTGTATTATTTCTGAACTCAATTTTTCTAACTCCCAGATGACCATTATAATAATTTTTTAGTGGCCTCCTGATAGAGACCACAAAATCATTGTCTTTTAACCCAAGTCATTGTTTTTCAAGTAATACTCCTGTGCACTATTTATACGAAAAGCAGCTTTTAAGTTTAAAAAAAAATTTTTTTTGTTTTATCACTGATTTTATAGAGAAAGGAAGAAAAAGAGGAACATTGATTTGTTGTCCCCTTACTGTGTATACATTGGTTGATTGTTACATGTGCCCTGGCTGAGGATTGAACCCATAGCCTTGGTAGTATTGGGAAAGTGCTCTAACCAACTGAGTCACCTGGCCAGGGCTTCAACTTTTAGAAAATATATGTGTGGTTAACTGTGTGATTTAATTCTTTTTCTAAAAAGATTTATTTCCCCCACAGATGGCAAAAGTACAGAAACTGGAAGAGAGTTTATGTGCTACTGAGAAAATCATCAGTTCTCTGGAGAAGTCTAGAGATGCTGACAAGGTGGGAGGCGGTTGAAGCTACATCCCTCTGTATTTTCTTCATAAATGTTGCTTTAACCTTCCAGGCTCCTGCTGGCAAGGTGGCTGGTAGCTAGCATTTCTGTACGACCTGTGCCTTGTGTATCTTCCATGGTTACTAGAGAATGAGATATTTTATTTAAGTTAATTTTCCATATAACTTCAAGTGCAAACTGTTCTGTTTCTCTTGATGGCAGTTTCTAAAACACATCCTGTCCCTTTTAACTGTTAGCGTGGCCCTTTCTTTTTGATTATCAGTCCATGATACAAATTCTGAAATCCCCATAGTAAACATAATATGTATGTCCAAGTAGAAAATTAGTTATAAATTCCTTATGTGTCTACTGTTATTCATAACACCAAAACAAGCGATTAAATAAGATGGTATGAGACCCATTATAGTATACATTGAGAACATTAGTGATGTCATGTGACATATATTCTCAAATGAAACTGACTTCTGTTGTCATTAGGAAAGATAAACAGCCTGTCATTTAAAAATGACCTCCTTAATGTCACTGGGTGTGAAGGTACCGTTTCTGTCCTCGTCAGGAAGTTGTCGCTGACCTCATGAGCCAGATCCAGGAGCTGAGGACGTCGGTTCGTGAGAAAACAGAAACCATAGACAGCCTGAAGCAAGAGCTGAAGGACATCAATGTACGTCCCGTCGCCGGCAGTGGGTTAATTTGAGCTTGAGACTCATCATTGATTCCTCAGGAGGTTAACAGATGCTCGCTCACAGGAAAGAGATTCTGTGGGCACATAGGTTTGGAAACTGGTTACAGCTCAACAGGATCTGCATTTGCAGAACCCGCAGAGCCTTGAAATGCTCATGTGCAGTGTGAGTGTGTCTAAGTTGAACAGTGGAGCTTGCCTCTTCCCTTGGGTCATGGTGAGGGTTTTGGTCAATGTTCCCCCCTCCTCTGCCCCACACGGAGTTTGCTTCCCTCCACCTTTATTTCTGACGCAGACTCCTGATAATGATGCCAGATCAGATGATTTTTCACTGATACCTGTGGACTTTTCACTCCTTTTGCCATCCATGCATTTATTCTTCCGTTCCTTAATTCAGCAAGTATTGGTTGAATTCATTGTGTTAATATGGTCTTCACCTTCGAACTTGAACTCATGCTGAAATTATTTTAATCTAAAAAAACAAATCATAAAGCAGACAGCTCTTGTATCATAACCTTCTTTTCTGCAGTGTAAATACAACTCCGCTTTGGTTGACAAAGAAGATGGCACAGTGTTGATTAAGAGACAGGAAGGGGAGATTCTGGATCTGAAAGAAACCCTGAGGCTGAGGATAATCTCTGAAGATATAGAGGTAATGTTAACACATCATGACCTTTTTTTCTTTATGATTTGTCAATATGTATATGTGTATATGGAGGTTATTAGTAGAATAAATAGGGGATTTTTTTTAAATGAGTAAGACATAATTAGAGTCATTTTCCTCAGGGTAGTTAGGCATTAAGAGACATGAGTAACATTTTTACATTTTATCTATTGTAGTTGATTTATTTTCATTTATTTGTGCTAACACCATAGTAAGTTCCTCTAACTGACCCTGGGGTGAGGGTAAGAGAGAGTAGAGTACAGTTAAATTTCAATTGGGTAACTATATAAATTTACTGTGATATTGATCTCTAGGCCTGTTTATTAATATTATAATAACTGCTTGGTTTGTCTTGGAATGGATTACCACACAAGCAAAAAATAAAATAAAATAAAGTTCTCATTTAAAACTCTCTTAACCTTTTAAAAATCCTTATTGGAGAACCACAATTAAAAAATTCTGCTTTTGTGGGAATTTTCTCCGACTAGAGGGATATGCTCTGCGAAGACCTGGCTCATGCTTCTGAGCAGCTGAACAAGCTCACCGAGGCCTCGAAGAAGCACTCGGCGCTCCTGCAGTCCGCCCAGGAGGAGCTGAGCAGGAAGGAGGCCCAGATTCAGGAGCTTCAGCGTGAGGTGACTGCAGGGGGAGGTGCCGCTCCGGGTGGGGCCTGGGGAGAGGCTGTGTGTTGTTGAGGTCCCTGCCTTGGCTAACTGGACGCTGAGGTGGTTGGCAGCTGCTCTGTGGGTTCAGATTTGCTTGGCTGTCTTACTGCCTACCTTCAACCCTTGACACGGGCCAGCAAGTTCTAGCCGTGGTTAGAACTTGGTTATGGCTGATTGTCATCCTTTTTTGGCTACTGCTGCTTATATTTTGTATTTTTCCTCAAATGACTCTTTGATCATTTATGAAACCTAAAAACATAGTGTTGTTGTTCTTTAAGTATAACTAAATTTATGAGAGAAAGGGAGATGAGAGCATTATAGTAGTAACTAAGATATACAGACACACAAATGGCAGTCCCAGAGTTGACAACTTATCATTTAAAAAATTTCTGTGTTGTGTGTGTTTTTTTTTTAATATATTACTGCTTTTCAAATTATTAATCTACCGCCCTCCCCCCAAAAAATGTAAAAAGCCTATTTCCCACATACCTTGCGGAGATTAGCTGTTCTAATTGGACCTTGGATCCCATTATTTTCTAACTTGTAACCTTATACCTGTTGATTTTCCCAGTTAAACCTAAAGAAAGAGGAAGTAGAACAGAAGAAGAATGAATACAACTTCAAAATGAGGCAACTGGAGCATGTGATGGGTTCTGCTGCCGAGTTTCCCCAGGTGCTTGTCAGAGAAAGTGGATTCTGGAGGAACAAGGTTTTGTGAGTGATTCCAGTTTGGGAGTCACTGAGACCACCGCTTTGTCTTCATAGAAAAAGATGTTCACTAACACCCTTTCTGCTTTTTACTTGATAAAAGGGTACCCCTGTTTTACATGTTTTAGTTAGACAGGATTTAGAATAACAAGCTAACTAGCCTATTTTTTACATGCCTGGCATGTACATTTAATATGAAATCTTTATAACATACTTAATCAGGTGTTTGGATGGAATTTCATTTTGTTTTAGAGTCCTAAAACACCACCTCATTTTCAAACACATTTGGCAAAACTCCTGGAAACACAAGAACAAGAGATAGAAGATGGACGAGCCTCTAAGATTTCTTTGCAACACCTTGTAACAAAGCTAGATGAAGACAGAGAAATCAAAAATGCTGAAATCCTCAGAATGAAGGTAACTGGGTAATAGTTTCCGTTAGCTTTGATGTTTTTAACTAAATAGTGTCTTTCATGGTTCCTGAGAATACAAAATTCAAAGGCACAGAACTTAAGGTCAGCAGAATAGTCTTCCTCTCACCTGACTCCAAGTTACTCGTCTGCTGTTCTGGAGGCTCCCGATGTAGCTGGTTCCTTACTGGTTTTTTGGAGCTTTCTGTGCGGCTGTAACCGTGTCTGAACATTGTCTCCCTGCCCTTCGGTTTTGATATGATGATGTCATCGCACAGGCTGCACCAACTACTCATCACAGTGCTGTCTGACTTTAGATTTTTGCCATTTTGGTAGCTAAAGCATGTTATCTCGTGGTTTTAAGTTTGTATTTTTCTTGTTAGTAGGATTGAACACCTTGTGTTTTTCTTTTTCTTTTTTTTAAATATATTTTATTGATTTTTTACAGAGAGGAAGGGAGAGGGAGAGAGAGTTAGAAACATCGAAGAGAGAGACACAGATCAGCTGCCTCCTGTACATCCCTTAATGGGGATGTGCCCACAACCAAGGTACATGCCCTTGACCGGAATCGAACCCGGGAACTTTCAGTCCGCAGCCGATGCTCTATCCACTGAACCAAACCGGCCAAGGCACCTTGTGTTTTTCTGTTTCTGTTATTTCTGTCATACCATTTTTCTATTGTCAAGCTTTTTCTTATTGGTTTGGGGCATTCTTTATGTATTATAGAGATAGCTTTTGTCTATGATAGTTGAAACAAGGAAAGGCTTCAGATAGAAGAAGCAACAGGAGAGAGCCCGGGTGGGGCTGCTGTAGCTCACTGGAGAGTCAGAGGAAAGGGGCCTCGGGAACAGGCCCAGGGCGTTAGTTGGGGATGAGTGTCCCTGTCCCATTGCTCCCCCGTTTCAAGTCTGTGGTCCCTTAGAGTTTAGGTGATGCATCCCAGTGGGGAAAAGGCGTGGGCGTGCTCCAATTAAGTATTTAAATAGAGTCTATCTAGTAAATAGAATCAAATAGAACATTGGCCAAAGTATAGAATTTCTTGTCTTTTCTTAAGGAATTTTAATGAGTCAGTGATACTGATCAGAGACTATGTTTAAGATACTGGGTATGAGCCTGCATCCAGTTCAGGCCCCCAAGAGCTTGTCACAGTCAACTTTTCATCCACTGTCATCCAAGGAAGTGCTGTGTGCGCAGAAGTTTAAGAGCGAAGTGCCCGTCTCAGTCATGGCCCGGGAGAGCAAAATAGTGCTTATGATCATGCGTTTTCTGAAAAGGAATTTCATGTGTTATTAGGAGCAGTTGAGCGAAATGGAAAACCTACGCTTGGAAGGTGAGCAGTTGAGAGAGAAAAACTGGCTCCTGCAAGGCCAGCTGGATGATATTAAAAGACAAAAGGACAGCAGGTGAGAAAGGGCCACCAGGACTCTGAGCCAGTCACGGCCTGCCGGGCAGAGTTAAATAAAGGACGTTGGAATACACGCTGGTTTCCCATCAGTTGCTTTTTTTTTTTATTTTTTATTTTTTTAAATCTCTTTTTCAATTCCAATTAACATTCGATATTATATTAATTTCAGTGATTAGACATTATGTAATTATTAAGTCATCATCCCAATGAACCTCGTACCCAAGCGTCACCATGCATTACTTATTACAATACAATTGGCTGTATTCCCTATGCTGTACTTTATATCCCAGTGACTATTCTGTAACTGCCATTTGGTACTTCTTAATCCCATCCCCTTTTTCACCCATCTTCCCAACCTCCCTCCCATCTGACAATTGTCGGAATGTTCGCTATCTATGAGTCTGTTTCTGTTCTGCTTGTTGGTATTTATTGCCATTTTATGTTCCTATTCGTGATGTTTTGCTGCATGACTCGTAGTTCCCGGAAAGCTCCTGAGCAGCAGCTCTCCAGAAAAGCCTTCCCGTGGGTTTGGGTGTCTCTGGGTTTGTGTGTTTTGGCTTCAGCTTAGGCAGGTTTCTCACTTTATTTGCTGATGGCACAGTGTCACGGGCAACCACACCCAGGCTGTATCCTGTCTCTAACACTTGAAAGTCATATGACTTTGGACACATTTTGGAGCCTGTTAGTGCCTCAGTTTCATTAGCAATAAAAGGAAGAAAATGTTAGCTCTCTCAGGGTCTTAGAGCCCTAAAAGAATGTGCATAAAGAACTTGGCAGAGGGCAGTCTCGGTCAGTGGGAGTAAGTAAGTACACAGGTAGCATTGTGATCCTGCCTGTTGTCCACTCTGAGTGGAAGACTGGAGATGGGGTGGCCCGTAAAGGTGTGCAGCAAGTGGAAGTCAATCAAAGGAGAATCCACCTTTCCAGGTTAGGGGTATCTGCTGTTCCTACTGTTTTTAGGTCTTTCCCAGCTGCCTTCCCGCTCCTGCAGCTCCCCAGCCTGTCCGCAGGCAGCCTGAGCTGCACTGTCCAAAACCTAAATGAGACAACAGATATTTGAGGTATTGAAACAGTCATAACTACGTTTCAGTCAATGACAGGCCGCCTCCTGCACGCCCCCTACTGGAGATCACGCCTGCAACCCAGGCATGTGCTGGAATCGAACCTGGGGCTCTTCAGTCCGCAGGCTGATGCTCTATCCACTGAGCCAAGCCAGCAAAGGCACAGAGGAGTTTTTCATGAAGAAATTCATGTCTAGTACTCAGGGAGTCCGCTTCCTGGTGTTGGCATGTACGGGCAGCCGGTGTCTCGGCAATTGCCAGCCGGGCTGTGAGATCTGATCAAAGGGGCCCGAGGAACCCTTCCCACCCCTGCGAGGCCCCTCCCAGCTGGTCACAGCCGGACGGACTCCTGGCCTGCCCTTCTCCTCAGCCCCCTTTTGCTCACATGTGATCTTCAGATGATACTGCTCTTGACCAAATTCCTACTTTATTTTACTGTCAGCCAAGCCTTGGTTAGCTGTCTCAGCCCTGCTCCCCTCACTTCTGTGGGAGGAGTCTGAGTTCTGGGGAAGGTGCCCCGGGTCGTCATTATGTCGGTCACATTTGTCAAGTGTGCTCACTGGACTTCACCACCGAGGTGGCTTTTCTTTGCACAGCTTGGCATTGTTGTGTCTCACGGACAGGAAGTGATACTGGCTCTACCTGACATTGTTTCCCTATCCTCCCTTCCTGCTCTGCAGCGAACAGAACCACCCAGACATCCAGCAGCTGAAGAACGAACAAGAGGAACTTATCAAAGAAAGACTTGCTAAAGTAGGATTTTTTATTATATTTTTTTAATCGTTTAAATATGACATATGTCTCCTTTTTCCCCATTGACACCCCCCCCCCCCCCACCCCCCCCTCCCCCACCATCAATCTCATGCCCCCAGGACAAGCCCCACCGCCCCAGTGTCTCTGACCATTGGTCATGCTAATATACATGCACACAGGTCCTTCGGTTGATCTCTAAATGCCCCTCACTCCCCTGCCTTCTCTCTGAGGTTGGATGGTCTGTTCAGTGTTACCTTGTAGGATTTTTTTTTTTTTACATAATAGATGTTATTGTCTGAGAGGTGCTTTTATTGTTAGTATTCATGGTTATATATTGAAGATGCCATTTACTATTGAAATTTCTGTCTTTTCCCTATTCCCACTGTTAAGTTTGACATTCACCATCAGTATTTAGACATAACTGAAAATTAAGAGATGGTTTCGTTTTTATGTCTTAGATGGTAATAAACCTGCTGCTCAGCACACTCATACAGTTAACCATTTGGAAGCAGGATTGAGTGCCTGTTTGACAGGGCATGACGTCTTATAAGTAGATGCCCCCTTATGTGTGTGTAGCTTGGATTATAGAGAAGAATGTTGGTTTAATTGATTTTGTTACCGTGAGTGGGAGAGTGGGTTGTTTACTTAATTACTTAATTAATTAATTAATTTTTAAATACTATATTTTATTGATTTTGTACAGAGAGGGAGGGAGAGAGATAGAGAGTTAGAAACATCGATGAGAGAGAGTCATAGATCAGCTGCCTCTTGCACACCCCCTACCGGGGATATGCCCGCAACCAAGGCACATGCCCTTGACCGGAATCGAACCAAACCAGGACCCGTCAGTCCCCAAGCCGACGCTCTGTTCATTGAGGCAAACCAGTTTTGGCGGGTTGTTTACTTTAAATCTATCTTTTTTAGCAATGTTAAGAACTTAAGCCATCTTTTTCTTTCTTTTTTTTTAATTCTGTAGAATAAGTTAGTTGAAGAAATGTTGAAAATGAAAGCAGAGTAAGTACACTGTTTTGTAATTCAAGTTTTTGTTAGCCTTTCTTTACTCTTCTCTAAGGGAAGAAATACTCATAGCCACAAGGTAAGTAACTCCTTTCTTTCTGAAGTGAACTTGAGATGTTTACAAAACTGTCTTCCTAAATACCTCTTGCTAAAGGGTTTTTTTCAGGAAGTCATTCCAAAAATCACCTTAAAAAAATAAGTGCCAGGAAGAGCTTAGCTTTCCTGAAGGAATTGATTGGTTTTCTCTTCATGGACTCACTGAGAACAACATAACCAATCAGCTTTCCCCTTTCACTTCTGGTTTCCTCTGATTTAAAACCTCAAGGCCCTTTGAGAACCTAGATCAATGCTCTGATTTCTTCTGATCTAGGGTGTATTTATTGATTCATAAGTAAAATGAAATGAAGTAAAAAATGATTTATTTCCCTGGTCAGTGTAGCTCAGTTGGTTGGGCATTGTCCCATGCACCGAAAGGTTACTGGTTTGATTCCCAGTCAGGGCACATGCCTGGATTGCAAGGCTCCATCCCCCCTTAGGGAGCATGCAGGAGGCAGCCAGTCAATATTTTGCTCTCACATTGATGTTTCTTCCCCTCCTCCCTTCCCTCTCCCTCTAAAAATAAATACAAATTAATTTTTTAAAATATATTTTATTGATTTTTTTAAAGAGAGGAAGAGAGAGGGACAGAGAGTTAGAAACATCGATGAGAGAGAAACATTGATCAGCTGCCTCTTGCACACTCCCCACTGGGGATGTGCCCGCAACCAAGGTACATGCCCTTGACTGGAATCGAACCTGGGACCCTTGAGTCCTCAGGCTGACGCTCTATCCACTGAGCCAATCCGGTTTCGGCAAAATTAAAAATTTTTATTCATATACTTTTAATATTAACTTATTCTTTGATGAACAAGATATACTGTATTTTATATTCAAAATAAGTGAGCTGGTTGGTATTAACAAATAATAAAACAGAAAGATATTGTATTCTCTGAATAGAGACTCGTCATCAGAAACTGAGGCCCTCAAACATTTCACTTGTTGTACCTCAAAAAAGAATCTGAAATATCATGTACCCTCTTGCTCATTTTTGGAGTTGACTTAATGTTAAAATTGTAAGTTTAAGTTGTTGCAAAAAATTAAAGTTCCAAATTACAGGCAAATGTCCGGGATGTTGCAGGGTGGTTCCAGACAATCACAGTAAAGTGAGTTGTAGTCTTTTTGCTGGTGGCGTGTCTTGCCTTCAATTTTTAGAAATCACAGCATCTGTGACGTGCAGGAAAGCAGAGAGAGGCCTGTACTAAAAACAGTGACCTTCAGAAAGAAAACTGCTGTGGTGTTCTTGCAAATAAGTATTCAACTTATTTGCTACTTTCCATCATTTAAAAATATATAAACAAATTCCTAAATCTAAAATTTTAAATGGTTCCTTTTTTGAATTTGAGTTTCTACTCTATACCCATGCTAATTTAATATATTGTTTGGAAGTGGTTTTGCTGATTACTCTATCATTTAAATTAGCAATGAAAATATATACAGATTGAGATTTAATTTATAGAAGTTTCTTGTATTTTTATGTCTCTAAGAGTTGTATTTCTTCTGGATTGAATTTTCATTATAATTACTATTAACACAGTATCCTAAATTTATTGTAAGATTTTATAAATAATCACTAAACCTAGTAAAAATGGTTTGAGGATTTTTCCAAAAATTAAAGTCTTGGTTAAAACAACAACAAAAGCGTACCTGCAGGTCGTCCTGTGCTGTGGAGGGGGCAGCGATTAGCATTACTTTCAAACCAGCACCCTGGGCTCGGGGTGGGGGTGGGGGGACATCCACATCTCCTCCATTGCTGTTGTAGTTACGTTTCTTTGGAATATCAAAACGGGCTCTTCATTGTTACAGCCTAGAAGAAGTCCAGAGCGCCCTGCAGAGCAAAGAGACAAACTACCTCAGGATGACCGAGGAAGTGGAACGAACCAGAACGTTGGAGTCTAAAGCGTTCCAAGAGAAGGAACAGCTGAGGTCAAAGCTGGAAGAATTCTATGAAGAAAGGGAGAGGACACTCCAGGTGCGTGTGCGTGTGCGTGTGCGTGTGCGTGTGTGTGTGTGTGTGTGGTCCTGTGCCTGGGCCGCGTGAATCCACACGACCAACCAGAGTGAGACTCTGGTCTGGGAGGTGTCCTGTGGGTCAGACCTGCTGTCGCACAGAAGCTTTCTGTGTGTCTGTCTCCTGTGCGCTCTCGGGCATGGAGTGATGTTACTTTTTAAAAAACGAGCAGCAGCTCACTGTCTCCTCCCGGGTTGACTGCTGCAGGAGATGGAGATGTTGAGGAAGCAGGTGGAGTTTCTCGCTGAGGAAAATGGCAAGTTGCTGGGTCACCAGAACCCAAACCAGAAGATCCACTATGTGGTGCGGCTGAAGAGGGAGAACGTCCGGCTCGCTGAGGTAGCTGTTCCGAATGACCTGCCTGTTGTTTAAATGGTTGCTTAATTAACATTTAATTTAATGATCAAATCACTTACCTGCTTTCTTTAGGGAACTTCCTGAAAATCAAAACAATTCATTCCTTGCTATTCTAAGGATAATTCAGTCATTTTTCATATACATCACATTTCTGTTTAACATTGAGAAGTTTACAAATTTAAAAATTGTAGTTTTAACTTGAAATGTAAATTTAATGAATGCCAAGTATAACTCCTCTTGTAAGATTTAGATCCTTAATTTTTTTTCTTTTCCTATTTAAAAAAAATTACCAGGAAACGGAAAAATTGCGTGCTGAAAATGTATTTTTAAGAGAAATGAAAAAGAGTTTCTGATGAGCATCTGCGCCCGTCCACGTCTGCTGGCCGTCTGCCATCCGCTGTGTGAGGGACAATCCGCTGCAGGGCTCAACCCACTGTGAACTCCCAGAAACCCTTTTCCTCTTCAAATAAAGTCTGTCACTGATGGTTCTCGTGGGTGCTGGTCAGGCCCCGTGTCCCTGATCTCCTGAATCTTGCGTCAGAAGCTCCCACAATAGTCAGTGTCCCCAAAACTTGCAGTGGGGGTCATGGCTGATCGTGCAGTGTGTGTACATAGCAAACTTGTTAATAGAGTTTATTTTTATATTCCTACTTGAAGAATTCTCATGCACATTTTTATGACTGCAAACATTTTTCAAAATGTAAATCTTTTTCAAATAAACAGTTCAGTAAGGAAGCTCGTGTGGTTCATTCTCGTGGTCATGCAACGTAAACTCAATGTGCACCCATTATATGCCAGGCACTGGTCACTTCTGAACAAGGCAAACAAACCCCTGCCCTCTCGGGACTTCTGTGCATCAGCACTTGGCGCCTTTTGATAGCAAATAACATTCCATTGCTTGGATGTGCCATGCTTTATTCATTCGCCATTTCAAGGACATTTGAACTCTTTGTAGTTTGGGAATGTGATGAGGAATGCTGCCATAAATCCAAGTGTAAGTGTTGGTGTGGATCTACATTTCTTACCTCTTGAGTAGACACCGGGAGTAGGATTGCTAGGTCGCGTGGTAAGCGTGTGTTTAACTTTGTAAGACATTGCCTGCTTTCCAAATGCACTGTGGCTGCCCGTTTCCTGTTCCCACCAGCTGTGTGCTCCAGTCTCTCCACGTCTACACCAACCTGGGCACGCGGGGTTTGCACTCTGACCATCCTGATGGGTGTGTACTGGCATACACTTCCAGCTCCCTAACGACTGGTGACATTGAACATTTACATATTACCGAAATAGGACTCGGCAATAAAAAAGATAGACACATGGATAAACCTTTAAAAAATGCTGAGTGAAAAGCCAGGCTTAAAAGACCACAGCGTGTGTGATTCCATATAAGTGAAATGTCCAGAAAAGGCAACATCTTTGTGGTAGAAAGCACATGATTGGTTGCCTGGGGGTGGAAATGACCCAGTGGGCACAAGGGAACTTTTTGATATGGTGGAAGTGTTTTAAAACTGGGTTAATTTAATGGTTTGTAAATCATACTTCAGTAAAGCTAAAAAAACAAAACAAAACCCATAAATCTAATTCATAGTTGAACTCCTGTCTCTGGCTCTAGTAAATCCCTAGAGCCAGAGACAGGAGAGGAGCTCAGTGGGAGGTGGGAGAAGGTGCAGGATTGGGTCTTGTTACCTGTGAGTTCCCGAAGGCTGCTGCATCACATCACAAACTGGGCGGCTTCAAACAACAAACCTATGCTCCCACCGTCTGGAGGCTGGAAGTCCAAAATCAGGGCAGTGCTAACGCGGCCTCTGAGGGCTCCGTGGAGTGTGTTCTCTGCGTCTCGGTGTGGTGGTGCCACCAGTGCTTGGTGTTCTTGGCTTGTATATTGCATCACTCCAATCTCAGCCACTGTGGTCACATGGCATTCTCTCCGATGTCTCTGGTTCTTCTAATGACATTATTTAGATGAGGGCTCACCCTAATGACCTCATCTTGATTTGATTACGTCTGTAGTGACCCAGTTCCAAATAAGGTCACATTCACAGGTGCTAAGGGGTCAAGACTTTAACATACCTTTTGGGGGAACACAATTCAGCCCATAACATTCCTCATAGCAAAGAAAGAGATAAAGCCTTATCGCGAGGGACAGGGAGTTAGAACTGAGATTTCTGCAACACCCACTGAGTGCTGGGATTATAGTCATCCTGGCAAACATCATTGACTGACTGCCTCTTATACATCCCCTACTGGAGACTGAGCTCAAAACCCAGCTGTCGAACCTATGACTTCCTGGTTCATACATTGGTGGACGCTCAACTACAGTCACACTGGCTGTGCTGAATCATGTTTTTTTTTTTAAAAAAAAAAAGATATATTTTTATTGACTTTAGAGAGGGAGGGAGAGAGAAACATCAATGATGACAGAGAACCACTGATTGGCTGCCTTCTGCATGCCCGCCCACTGGGGATTGAGCCCGCAACCCAGGCTTGTGCCCTTGACCAGAATCGCACCTGGGACCCTTCAGTCCGCAGGCCAACGCTCTATCCACTGAGCCAAACTGGCTAGGGCTGAGTCATGTTTTTTGAAAGTCCCATACTTATATGTAAACTTTTAAAACGTGTGCTATATGTAAAACTAAATACGCATAGAGAAAAGGTACTCTATAACATGATTTTCCTGGAGAGTCCTTCACACATTTCAACACTTTATTTTCAAAGAAATACGACTTCTTAAAGGAAAATGTTTTAAACATCTTTCAGTGCACAGGAAATTAGAAGGAATGTTAATCCTGATTGTCTTGTCTGAGTGGAGTGACTGTGAATGACATCTTTTCTAAATTTCCTGCAATGAGCAGTGTACATCCATCTGGCCCCAAACCCTCCCCTGAGCCGGCTTCTTGCTGAATCTGGCGGTCTCTAGCGCCCTCTGCGGAAGCATCTCTCCATTTTGCGTTCATCAGTTTGGAGAGAGCAGGTGAATCTGATTTTGATTCAGTGGGGGCGGGGCCGGGCCTGGGATTCGACATTTTTAATAAGTGATCCATGGGAAGTGGACGCCGCACACACCCAGTGGCAGGGCTAGCTGCGAATTCTACAACGCCGGGACCACCGAGTGGGCCTCAGGCATGGGTTAGGCGCGCTCGGATAAACCTAAACCTACCGCTAGAGGGCGCCCTGCGCCCGAGGGGGCCGCTGGGGCTCGGGCCTGGCGGCCCCGCCCTCAGGGCCCCGCCCCTCAGGGCCCCGCCCCTGCGAGGTTCTTGAAGGACTCGAATTGGGCTCCTCACTTACGTGACGCTGCGTCACGTGAGGCCACCGTCCAATCACGGCGCGCGCTCGGCCCGCCCCTGGCTGACACCGCGTGCGCGGGCACCCTGGCGGGGGCACCATGGCCACCTACCCCGACACCCCCGCGGCGTTGCCCCCGCACCTCCAGGCCGGGGCGATGCGGCGCCGTTTCTGGGGCGTCTTCAACTGCCTGTGTGCCGGCGTGTTCGGGGCCCTGGCCGCCGCCTCCGCCAAGCTGGCCTTCGGCAGCAAGGTGGAGCCCGGGGCGCGGCCGGCGGGCGGGCGGCGGCGGAGGGGCGCTGCGGGCTCCGGGTAGGCGGGGGCGCGGGGCGCCGCTTCACCCTCGTGGATCGGCCCGGCCCGGGCCGCAGCGGGCACCGCGCCCCTGGGGCGGCGAGCGCCCTGCGCCCCGCGCGTGGGCGGTGAGACCCGCCGGGGAAGACGCCCACCTCCTCCATCACTCTGCCTCTCATGTTAAGCGCCTTGTGCCCGAACGTTTCTCTCCGCCGGACTCGTTGGAGGTGGGAAGCCTGCTGCCCGTCCCTTTGCTCCGTGATTAACGGGGGTGCTGGCCGCTCTCCCCTGCTGCCGGGAAATGGGGGGCTTCGGAGACGCTCTGGACTTCCCCAGTGTTGACATCTTTTGAACTGCCTCCCCATGTCTGCTGACGGCTACCTCTTGGCTTCGCCCATCCCGAATCTGCAGCCCTGCGTTAGAACCTGACCTGGACCGGGGGCAGGTTGATTCTGAAGATTTCAGCCTATTTAGGGCGAATCCAGTGGGAGCTGCCAGGCTTAAGGGGTGCAGTTCTTGGCGTAAGCAGTCCAAAATGAGATGAGTGCCTCTAGGAGGCAGGAGGCTTTCAGCTCTTTCCAATTGTGCCATAGGCTTTCATAACCTTTTAAAATTATATATATATATATATTTCATTGATTTTTTTTTTTACAGAAAGGGAGGGAGAGGGACAGAATTAGAAACATCGATGAGAGAGAGACATCGACCAGCTGCCTCCTGCACACCTTCTATTGGGGATGTGCTGGCAACCAAGGTACATGCCCTTGACAAGAATCGAACCTGGGACCTTTCAGTCTGCAAATGATGCTCTATCCACTGAGCCACAGGCTGCCACTGGCATGTACAGCGCTTTTGTACAGTATACAAAGAAACCCTTTCCCCAAGACGCTATATATTCAGCTGCTGGAAAGCTGTTAGAAATGAGTGTGGGGCTTAAGCAGGCAAGTTGCTACCTTGAAACCAAGCAAGGGGGTCTGCATAGCCTTAGTGCAGGTGGTTTGTATTCTCTCAAGGCTGTTGCCTTTTAGAAAAAGACAAAATGGCCAGCTCTCCACGCGATGCCTGGGATCCCAGTCCAATGGTGATGGTGTAGGTGGTTTTCCGTGGGCGGGGCTGTGTCCTGGTTAAGATGGCGGAGCCGCACCGCTGGGTTGGAATCCTGGCAGCTCCTGTCAGCTGTGGCACTGAGGCAAGTTACTTAATGCCTCAGGTTCTTTATCTGTGAAATGAAGCTAAGGAGTAAAGGAGAATGCACTTAAAGTACTTAGTGCAGGGCAGGCACAGAGGAAAGCTCCAGGATGCCCAGTGGGACCCGCCTGAGTGGGACGTAGCTGGCACAGAAGGGGAGACACGTCTAGCTTGTGCGTTACCTGAGCCTGGGCAGTGAGGGCTCTGTCCCTGGGGCACCCCTGCTACAGACCACACAGTAACGACTGGCCCTCGGGGCCTGGACTTCCAGCAGTGGCCACTGCAGGCCGACCGAAGACCTGGTGCTCTGAGGAAATGCTGGTGATGGATTAGCATTTTCTGCCAAGGCCACGTGGCCGATAAGATAGCCAAAAAGCGTCACCTCTGAATCTGTGTCCGCCGTCCAGGGGAGGTGCTGCCCGCGGAGGGCAGAGCCCACAGGGAAGCTGAGGATCCCCTGGGCTGCGGTGGGGTGTCAGGAGGGGCCCTGGGGGTGCTGCGAGGGGCGCTGCTGGGTGCCGGGCGGGCTGGGCCCGGCTGCCGTGACACCTCCTCCTGCAGGCGCACGTGATCACCTGTGCCTCGGGCATCTTGGTGACGGCGACCGCCAACTCTCTGATGTGGACCTTCTTCAGCCGCGGCCTCAGTTTCTCCGTGTCCTCCGCCACTGCGTCTGTCACCGTGACTTTTTCGAACATCCTCAGCTCGGTGAGCAGCCTGCGGGTCCGGTGCCCCCACCTCAAACTTGGGTTCTGGGTGGGTTATCCTGGGGCAGCCCTGCTTCCCCACCCAGAAGCAAGGTCGGGACCCAAAGCAGAGGTTGGGCTGTGGCTGTTCCTCTCCACTCGCAAACGGAGGAATTCTCCCGTTCAGTGGGGACCACGTCCAGCGGTCCAGCCAGCCTGCCTGCCGCTCGCCCTCGTCCTGGTCTGCCCACTGTCGGGACTGCACTGTCCAGCATGAGATGCCAGGGTCTGGGTTCCTCTCTCTGGTGGCCTGGGGTCAGCAGGTGCGGGGGGAGGCAGGAGGCTGGCTCAGGCGCCAGCTGTGCACCGGCCTCGCTGTGGTCTCGGCTGGCTTGTGCACTTCGCCGGGGTGCAGTGCGGTGAGCTAGGTTCCCTCCTCACCTCTGTAGGTGAGACCAAAATGAGTCGAGTGACCTCACGGCAGTGGTTTGAGCCCAAGACTTGGGGCTCTAGACCTTTCCTTCCCCCCCCCCCCCGGGGGCAGTCAGCTCCCCGGGGCGAGGCTGTGCCCAGCTGCCGGGCTGGGCCACGGGCACGTGTCTCCGGCCTCACAGCCGTCTGTCCCGCAGGCCGCCCTGGGCTTTGTGTTGTACGGAGAGAGCCAGGAGGCGCTGTGGTGGGGCGGCGTGCTCCTCCTCCTCTGCGGACTCATCCTCGTCCACAGGAAGGACCTTCCGCGCAAGCAGCAGTAGAGGCATTGGCCGGTGGCCAGCTGGAGAGACAGCGATGGCGGCTCAGGCTCCCTGGCGTGTGGTGGCTGCTTCCCAGGGCGATCGGGGTGCAGCCTCGGACCGTCAGCCAGAGGGAGCTGCCGCCGAGGGCAGCAGGCCTGTGACCCAGCATCTGGCTGCCTGGTGCTCCGATCCTCGTCTCCCGGCCCACCCGGGGGCCCAGCGGGAGCTGGACTGGAACCAGCTGTCACCGTAGCCTGGTGGCCCACGTCAACGTGACACGCTGGGGACTGGTGGGACTTGGACAACTTGGTGTCGATGCGTCGGGCTGGCGGTGCCATATCACAGGGGGAGGAAGACTGGATTAATGCTTTCTTGTACGTTAAAGCTCCCAGGTGTGGAATCCTAATTCCTTCCCACACTCATTTTTCTTCCCCGAGTATCTGGAGTCGGAGGGAGCAGCCAGGACGAGCTGCAGCGCCTGGAGTGGTTCTAGCCCTCACCTCGCCCGGCCTGGCCCGGCTGCGGGCACAGCTCCTTCTGACGTCCCTGGCCGCGCCCTCTGGTCAGGGAGGACCTCAGAGACAAGCTTGAGCTCGCTTTGGGGACCCAGTGTTATTTTACTGGTTAGGGTACAAAACTGGCCCAGAGGCTCTCACCCCCACTTCACTTTGGGCCCCTCTGCCTTTGGTCCCGTTTCCCAGGCTCCTGTGACTTGGGTATCTCACGCTGTGACTGTGACTCTCGTTGCTGCCCACACGCCCGTGTGTGGCCGAAGTGACCCTCACCTGCTCCAGTTCCTGGGGCTCCCTGGGGTCTGAGCCCTCGGCTCCCCTGAAGCGGACCACTGGCCCAGGTTCCTCCCGCTTTCCCGCGGGACCAGAAGGCTGGGGGGAGGGGGCCATGTCCAGGCGGTCCCCCCTCCGTGCCCGCAGCGCCTTCACTGCCCTCCAGTTCTCACTGCCGACAGGGCCTTTCTCTCTGTCCACGGCTCCTGCTTCCTGGGACCTGGCCCTCGCCGCCTCTCCCCGGCTCCTCTCCTGCCGCCTCCTTAATGCCCAGGTTGAGCCAGGCACTCCTGTGTTGAGAAGTCAGGGAGACGGGTGAGCAGACAGCGGTGAGGTAGGATAACCAGGCAAGTGTGGTGTCCCCAGGCATCACTCCAGAAAAGCAACGACCGCCCAGGCTGTTGCTGAGGGTTGAGGGAGGGGAGGACGGAGAGAGGCTGCCATTGGACTGGGGCAGGAGAGCGATGGCAGGGGCGGCTTGGAGGAGGGTGGGCCACAGCCTGAGCAGATCAGGTTCTGAGGGAATGGAGGTCCTCCACTGATGCCGGAAAAGTTCAACCCCGTTCCTGGTAAAAACACTTGGCAAACTCAGAGTAGAAGGAAACGGAGTATGACCAAGGCCGCCCCAGTGAGTGTCATCCCTGAGGCCAGGAACAGACAGGTGCCCGCTTTCACCACTCCCCCTGGTGTGACTGCAGTTCTCACCAGCGCACTTAGTCAGGAAAGAGAAAGGACGAAGTATGCTATCTGCTCAGAGAGGACAGATCTTCTAGGCAGTGGGCGCTAAAGGAACGGGTGCCCCATTCCTCAGAAGCCTGGGGGCCCAGGGGAGGGAGGCCCCGAGTCGTCCTGGCAGGAGGCGCCTCCCTGTGCGGCTGCAAGCTGTTCCTCTGTCCTCACACTTGCTCAGAGGATCCATGTGCTTCAATTAAACGGATGCTCCAAGGACGGTGCCCTGGGTCTGAGTTCTTTCTCAGCCTCTTATGCTGGGGCAGGTGGGCATGTGGGGAGCCATCCAGGGACCCCCTCTCCGAGGAATTGGGCTTTATTGGGGGCCTGTTCAGGACACTCGGCCCCTCCTGACGGTATACACCTGGCAGAGGCATGTGTGTGGGTTGAGGCTTATTTTGTGTGTAATTTACATGACATTCAGGGGTGGTGGGCTGGCTTCTAAATTTAAAAACCTTTGCCCTACTCCAATGATCGGCAAACTCAGTCAACAGAGCCAGACATCAGCAGTACGACGACTGAAATTTCTCTTCAGAGCCACATTTTTTAAACTTAAACTTCTAATGCACTTCTTCAAAACAGACTCTCCCAGGCCGTGGTATTTTGTGGAAGAGCCACATGTGGCTCTCGAGCCGCAGTTTCCCGGCCACGGCCCCAGCAGCTTGGTTTGGCTCGGGTTGGAGCACCGGGCCTGCAGATGGGACGGCTGTGAGTTGGGTTCAGGTGGGGGGCATGTGCCTCAGTTGTGGCTCCATCCTCAGCCCCGGTCGGGGCGCTTGTGGGAGGCAACCAGTCAATGTGTGTCTCTCCACAGCAATGCTTCTCTGTCTCTCCCCGTCCCTCTCTCTCTAAAACTCGATGGGGAAAGTATCCTTGGGTGGGGGGTCAAAACGCTTCCCTCCTGTCCCTAAGGCACAGAGGGCAGTAGGCGCTCAGGAAGCACTCACTGCAGATACCACCCCCGGGCGGGGGGGGGACCCCGAGGGAAGGGTGTGGGTGTGGTTGGTCTCCCCACATGCGGCCGCGCCTGCCTCCTTGCTCCGGCTGGGGAAATGGGAGAAAGGCTTCGCGGTGACCGTGCGGGAGGACGCCACCCTGGGCCCCGGCTGGGACTCCTGCTGAAGGTGGGAGACCAGCCACCGAGGTCACACGGAGCGTTTTATTTAAGAGAAAGGCGAGTGCGTGCGCCTCCCTCCCCGCAGGCCCCTGACTTGTTTTGACATCGGCTGCAGTGCTTCCTGTGCGGCCAGGCGGGAGGTGCTGCTGTGGAGCCAACAGAGGACGAGGCTGGTGACAGGGCGCTGGGGGTGACGGCGCTGGGGGGAGGCCTGGGGTGGAGATGGGCCCGGGAGGGGGGGGGCTCTGGGCTGCGGGGTCCCGCTGCTCTCAGCCAGGCCGCTGAGGCGGCGCAGGTCCAGCCCACTGAGCGGGTGTGTCTCGGGCCCGGGTTTACACTCACCTCAGACCTCCCCCCTGAGCTCAGCAGAGACCAGCAAGCCCCTTCCCTTCCTCTAACCTCCAGCCCTCCTCCTCCCCGGTGGGGTCTCTGGGTTAGAGTATCGGGCTGTGCCGGGCCCGCCTCCGATCCAAGTGCTGGCATCACGGGCAGTGCCCCAGAACAGAGCCCAGGCTGGGCATGGGGGACCCCCCTCTTGTGCTAAACAGGGACCCGAACCCCTCTGTCCAGAAGGTACTTCCCCAACAGCCTGTGAGATGGGGTCCCCTGCGCAGGCTTCAGCCTTCAAATGGGCAACCAGGTCCCAGCCTCGTGGTGGTGGTGGTGGTGGTGGTGGTGGTGGTGGTGGTGGTGTGTCTGTCTTCCTGGGTCATCACCGTGCCGGCCTGTGCTACCCCCCACCCCTCAGGAGCAGGAGGGGCGCGATCTCGGGAGAAATGGCCCAAATTCACACGCACACTGGCGATGTCAGCTCTGCGCATGTTGGTTAGCCTCCCTCCGGAGGGAGAGGAAAGCTGGTCCCGGGAGGTGGAGTGGGCCGGGGAGGGTCAGTGGCCACGGGGCGGCGCTGAGGGGTGCTGCTGTCATACGGGCTGGGCGCGTGTCCATCGGCACATCCCCCGCGGGCAGCGGGCACCCCGCCAGGGCTGGATCCTGGTCCCGTCCGGGGCCCTGGGCCGCCCTTCCTCCGCCCCAGCCTCACGGCCCAGGCGGCAGGCCCCTCCGAGAGAAGACATCCCCACGGAAGCCAGAGGCACGTTCTTGCTGCCCTGGGCCCCGTCCACAGCCCCCTTTGCCGGGCGAGGCTGGAGGAGGCTGGCTGGAGAACGGCTCCTGGCTCCCTCACTGGATACTCTCAGACCAACTCAGAGGAAGACTCTTGTTCTCTTGTCCCTGGTCCCCGACCCCCGACCTGGCCCCACGCGGGGAGGGAAGGAGGGTGGAGGATGGCAGGGCCGGGGGCGGGCACGGCGGGGGCAGGGTGCGCCGTGTCAGGAGCCCTGATGGCAGGTGTCAGCCCCGCAGCAGCCTCAGTTGTCCGTCATCTCCGCGGAGTCCTCGTCCTTCCTCTCCTCCGACTGCTCCTCCACCTGGTCCTCCGACTGCTCCTCGGTCGTCGACTCCATGTTGTCCGATGACACCAGCTGCCGCACCCAGCCCTCGTCCCGGAGCGCGGGCTGGCACGGCCCGGAGAGGGGGTTGAACCAGTTCGGGGAGAAGCTGCCCCCGAAGGTCTCTGTGACGGCCTTCCAGGTGCCCCGGCGCTCCCTGGGCTGCTGCTTCCGCTTGAGGCGCTCGATGCCCTGGGGAGACAGTGGGGTCAGCAGGGCGTGAGGCTCCTCGAGGCTAGGGGGGTGCAGGGGCACAGCAAGCAGGGCACCGGAGCTCAGCTTCCCACCCCCCCCGCCCCTCCCTCCGCCTCCTGCCACAGGTGCGGGTGCCAGCCTGCAGGCCGGGGCCTGGCTAAGGAGGGCCAGCTGTGCGCAGGGCCAGGCTCGGATTGGCCGGGAGGAACCAGGCTCCGCAAGCACGTGAGCCCGGCACCTGTCCTGGGCCCGCTATAAAGGGGCCACTCCCCCCCTCCTCCCCACTGCGGCAGGCAGAAGGCGCAGCAAACTCTGCATGAAGATGGCGGGATGAATTGGGGGGAGGAGGGTGCGTAGGGGACAAATGGCATGAGCTGAGGAAGCCGAGGTGCACGCCAGCGAGCATGCAGCGGGCAGCAGGGTGCATGGGGCACTGGGAGGCAGAGGCTGGTGGCCGCCTGCTTCCCCGCAGCCTCTCCCAAGCTGCCCACTCACCTGCCTCTGGGTGTGGGCTGCGGGCAGCCCGCAGGCCGCAGACAGGGTGTTGGGACAGGCAGGAGCCCGGAGAGCCAAAGGCGCCGCCGGGCCAGCCCCCAGGCCCACACCCTCACAGCGTCCGCCCGTGGGCCTCTGCCTTCCCATCTCTTCGGGAAGCCAGGGGGTTTGTGCGGTTTGGCGGGCGTGGGCCCGGCACATGCCCGGCTTGTGGGCTCCACCCCGGTGGGGGGTGGCTGATGTTTCTCTCTCTCCCTCTCCCTTCCTCTCTCTCTAAAAATCCACTTAAAAATATTTTTTAAAGTATCTCCTCGTAAGATACTAATTACAAAAGGGCAAACCAACTTGACAGTCGGAACACGAGATTCCACCCTAACCGAGTGGAAGTTAGCGTCACCCACGAGACCCCGCTCCTGTGCCTGTGGGTGGCCCCCCGGCCGCGCTGCTCCCGCCAGCGCAGCCTAATCACGGGAAACACGGGGGGAGGCTGTTCTCGGGACACGGGGCTGAGAAAACGTTTTAGAAGCAGCTAGGAGTAGTGGCTGTACAACGTCACACAAATCCTCAGTGGCAGGGTCAGACTTTAAAATGGCTAAATTTGTTGTATGAAGCTCACTTCAGAAAAATCGAACAACCTTCAACAACGAATCTGACGACCAAAAACCATCAAGCTTAGGACAAAGACGAGAACTCGCATGGACAGGAGGAGACATGACAGACGATGCCATGTGGCACTGGGACAGAAAGGGTATTAGTGGGACAAATGGAGAAATCTGAACAGAGATGCAGATTAGCATTGCATCTGCACATTTTTATATTGTTATATAAAATGTTTACATTGGAAAGACTGAGTGGAGGGTAATAAGAGCTCTCTACTTTATTAACCACTTTTTTTTTTTTTTATAAGACTGAAATTATTTCACAAAGTTAAAATCTGAGACCAAGATTTATGCAATGCCATTTTGGACATTGACATAATAATGCAGGTTGGAAACAATGGAAATGTCTAATTGAGGCGGTTACGTTAACCGCCGTGTCTTTATTTTATAGCCAGTGTTTGCCAAAGTGTGGTACGCGTACCCCCAGGGGTACGGGAAGAGTTTGGTGGGGGTACGCTTCAAGCCGTGTACTCTGAAGCTATACGGTTATTAAACACGGAGTTCATGTGTTTGTGGGGAGCGGCTAGAGTTTGGACAGGTTTAAGCCTGGGACTAATGAGAGGGCACAGTTCTCTCGTGGCCACATGCAAGTCCCAGCCTGGAGGGCAGAGCCTCCCAGCACAGTGATAGCCAACGGCTGTGGTTGTCAGCGTGAACCTGTGGTCGGAACACGTGGCCCCACGCGCCTGAGTGATACAGGCCGCAGGTAAACAAAGCTTGGTCAGGTGCACGTAATTGAGTAGGATCAAAACCCATGAGAATGTTGTAAACATCTTGACCATGCCCTTACTTTGCCTTATGGCAGTGTTTCCCAAACTTTTGCCATATGTGTACCCCTTCTATAATTTTCGTCACGCTGAGTACCCCTTGTACTCATGAGAACGTAGAATTAGGCGCAGCTAAGCACGGTGCAGTGCATGTCCCCACCAAAGTCCGGTGCAACGCGTACCCCCACCAAACCCTTCCCGGATCGCTGGGGGTATGCGTACCACACTTTGGGAAACACTGCCTATGGCACTGGCTATAAAATAAGGACACGGCTTGTAGTCCATGGCGGTCGCTAGCTCCATCATAGAGGCTCTCCATCAGAGAGAGCGTCCCACTAAGACCCAGCTTCCATTCTCTCGTCTGTCTTTTCTCCATCCTTCACCGCCCCCTCTCAGGGTCACAGACCCTGGCTGAACTGGCGTGGCACATAAGGCGCCCTGGGGCTGAGTGTGCCAAGGCAGTGCCGGCTCTCCACACGTGTTCATGGGGCACTGGGAGGGCCTGTGCCATGGTGACCAGGGGAGAAAGCAGAGGGCACAGGACACGGCCACGGAGCCTGAGGTTCCCTTGGGGGGGGGGGGGAAACTTAGACAACTTTATTCAGATGTATTTATTTCTGGGGGCTTCCCACACTCCTGGTTACCACCAATGCACAGGTATTGGTACTCCTTTAACCAGAACAAAAGCAGCTGTTTCACAAAATGGACCTTACTGAGTCTCCAGGTCTTCACGTGGGACAGGAGCACAGGATGCCGCGGGGCCCGTGAACTGGCTCCCCTCCCCCTGCCCCGGGCCAGTCCTCCCTGCTCAGCAGCCCTGGCAGTGGCCACCTGAGGTGACCTGCTTCGGGGACCTGCACTCCTTTCCTGGATGAGGTTCAGGTGTTTAAACCACGACTGCGGGGCGCTGGGCTGACCGGGCTGCAGAGGGGCCGCCGGGAAATGACTGGCTGGCTGGGCTCACCCAGAACCCATTTCCTCCCAGCGAGGAGGCGGGCTCCCTACTGCACTTGGCGGGTGGGCAGACAGGCCGAGAGGCCACGACCGAGGCCAAAGCTCGTCTGCGGGTCTCCCACCAGGACCGGAGTCTTCCTTCTCTGCCCAAGTGGGTTTCATCCTCCTGCAAACACTCGCTCTGCCGGTGCTGATCTCAGGCAGAGAAAAGCCGGGAGGGCACGAAGCACAAGCCCCCAGGCTACTGGCTTCCATTCCACGAGCCTGGAGAATATTCCAGGCAGACCCGCCAGGTGAAGCGCCTCAGTTAAGCAGACAAGCCTGCAAGGAGCGTATCACTCCTGAGTCTGGAGAGAAATTCCAAGTCGATGCCGAAAAGGCCTGAGGGCCTGGACCTCCAGGTTCGGGAGGAGCCCCTGGGTTCCTTCCTCCGGGAAGGGCTCCACTGGGAGTTTTGTGTGGTTTAGAGGGTCCTGAAGGCACCGTTCTGCAGCCGCAGGTGCGCAGAGGGAGCAGCCAGACCCCTCAGGCTCCCGCAGCGAACCCGGGACCAAGGCGCCAAGGAAGCCCCCGCCCGCACATGCTCTAGGACTCAGCTGAGACTCGTGGAGATCAGCACGTCCTCTGCTCCACGCCACCAGGTGTAGGAAGTCAGCCACCGCAGCCGCACACGTGTCTCTCGGAGGCCAGAGGACTCCCTTCCCCGGGGCTTTCATGCAGGAAATACTTGTCTGTTGTAACCCAGCAAACATCCCGTTTCACAGAGCAATACTTGTAACAAGCAATGCATTTAAAAAAAAAAGTTTCTTTACAAAAATGCTGTTGCAAAACGATAAGCTCACAGATGAAGAGCTGTGAGCTGGTTCAAAAGGCGCAGCTCTAACCCTTGACCTTTACTCGGGCCAACGATGCGTCAGGCACGGCACTAACCCTCACATCCAGTCCTCACATCAGCCCTGAGATTAGGAGCGTCCTCCTGATTTTATAGAAAAGTGAGGCGGACGAAAGTCACTGCACAAGGTCCCACAGGATGTACGGGAGCAGGGGTTTGATGCAGCCGGAGCCAGGGTCCCGAGACCGCCCCAGACCCCCCGACCCCGGTGCAGGGTGCAGGCTCCCTCTGTCCGGCCGGTCTCTGCGAGCTTTCCTCGGCAAAGCTTTGCATAACCCCCTGCATCCGTCCGCAGGCCAGGCGGCACCCGGGGCCACTCTGCTTTGCTTGGGAACCACACGGCCGATCAGGGCCTTCCTGCGGCAGAAGGTGGGGAAACGAAGCCTTACTCTGGGAGAGCAGGCTGGCCAGGAGCTTGTCTTTCACTGAATGCCTTCCCCGGGGAGATGCTCAGCTCAGACATGTACTTCAGATCCGAGAAAAGAGCCCGTGGCTGTGAGGTCCCGGGAAGAGACCAGTGGCCAGGACCTGTGCCTGCCCAGGCTTGCAGCCACCACTCCGACTTGGCGAAGCCTGGCTCCATTCTTTCCCCTCGTTCTTCTAGATGGTTCTCCACCCCAAGGACCCTGGGCTCAGTGTGGTTTGCAACTTCGGGCCACACTGATTACGTGACTGCCTTCCAACACTCGCACTGTCTGTCCCTCAGCATCCATTTGCGGGGAGGCCGCAGGCTGAGGGGGGCGCCTCCGGGGCACAGCACTGGGGACCAGGCCTCAGCGCATCAGCCACCTGCAGAGACCGGGAAGCCAGGTGGTTCTCAGACCGGAGTGGGGCAGGATCGCCGCGGGGCTGTTGAAATGCGATTGTGAGGCCCAGAGTGGGGCCTGAGAACAGGTGTGGGCGGTGCTGCCTGGGTGCCTCACCAGGACTCGGGAGGAATCCCAGCAAAAGTCTCACCACATTTCTTTGGCATTTAAAGGCCCCTCAGAGGTTGGGACCCCTCACCCCTTTACTGGCTGGCTCCCCTTTAGGCTGATGCATTGAAATGAGAACTTGAAACCCATTTGCCCAACCAGGGTGCGACCCCCTCCCCACGGCCTGGGGTTGGTGATGCCCACATCACACAGGTGGCCACAAATGTTTCTCAATGGGCCTCATTTGAGAGATTCTGCATCAGGAAGGTGACCTTAACTTTCTAAGCAGCCTCGCCTGAACGAGCAAAGGCCGTTAACAAGGCGTCTCATTCTGGGTTCTTCTAAGAAAGTGCAACGGAGACGCAATGCTTATGACTGACAGAATTGGCGCGTGCCCGCACCCGCCTTGCGTGCACGAGTCACCATGCAAATCTGCAGGTTTGCATTGGGTCTGTTTGCTATGCACGGAGTCACCTAACTCAGCTCTCCACGTCGTCTTCCTCTGTCTTTTTCACTCCTCTCCGGAGGCCGTTTGGAAAGACTGGGGCTGAACCGGCCCGTTTCCTGTGCGCGCCCTTCAGGGCTGTCCCAACTCCTGTGCTGAGGCCGAAAGCTGGGCCACTTAACCCCACACTTCTTCCCGCCTCGGCGTGGGGAGCAGGGCTATAAACTAGATCTAAAACAGCCTCAGCCGTGACTGCCGTGCCGGCAGCAGCCAGCCCAGCTCGCCGGCTCAGGGGCGCAGACTTCGGTTAACCTCGAAGGGATGAGTCCTGAGAGCACACACCAGCACTGTGTGTGGACCTTGTCAGCGATTCCCTCTGGCTTTTGGGGGGTGGGCAAGGTCGGGGTTTCCCCCCAGAAGCAGGCAGCACACATGACCTTTTCCATCGCCACTGAGCGCCAATGGGCACAGGGCTTTGGCTGCGGAAAGCCAGAGAGGCTGAGAACAAGCTTGCACACAGGGGTCCTAGTGCCCTTAAAAACATGCAAGGCCTCATCCACGGGGGAGCATAAATAATGTCCTTAGGAGCAATGAAAACCCCGACCAGCCGGACCAGTCACCGGCGCTGGCCACGGTGACTCTGGGCGAGAGCAGAGCTCAAATCAACCACAACAGGTTTTGGAAAACGTTTATTGCATTTGGTTTCCAGGTGGAAGCACTGACAGGACTGAAAGAGGCTTGTTCCCCTTCTCTGACAAACCACCTGGCCAGATCCAGTCTGCTCCCCAAGACCAGACTCAATAACCCTCAACCCTCCCCCACCCCAAGCAAGAGCTAAAAAGGAGGCTTGTGGCAACTGCTTAAAAAACAAATCCATGTGTGAGAATCCAGACGACCAGTATTCGATTCCTGCTAGTGTCCGGTTGGCCGGCGCAGTCTCCTCACCAGGCTGTTCTCTCGCAGACGGAACCGGGAGCTCCCGGGCAGGCTGCCCGCCGGCACCTGGCTCAGGCTGCCTGTGACTCCAGGGACTGCGTGGCCACCTGCCAGCCCTGACGTCAGGCCTGGGACGTCCCCCTGGCATCACGCTTAGTCTCCGGGTTAGAATGCAGACCGGAGGCGGGTCCGTGCACATCGAAGGGCGTAAACACCAGGAATTAAACCCCTTTGGCGACTTACAACACGAGGGAGAAAGGCTGGCGGCAGGGCTGCAGCGGCCTCGTTCGGGGGGAGAGTGAGCTGACTAACGGGAGCACGGAGCTCGCTCGGAACTGTCACATTTTTCCTTTGATTGTGTAAGGCATTTTGAACTGGAAAGACCGCTTTCCTTCACACTCTTCCCATAATCAGAACTGGTGATTCAGAATACATGTAAGACCCCTTGGTCCCCGCCCGCCCCCATCGCTCCACACCCCGAGTCCATCAAGCACAAATCGGGCAATTGATTTTGTGGGTTGGGAGGCAAACCGAGTCCACTTGGGGGATGAGGCTGCGGTGCCAGGGCCCTTCTTAGGGCTCCAGCCCTGATCCTGCCCCTCTGGGCCCCCGGGGAGGCATCCGTCTTCTGAGCGTTTCAGCTGCCTGGGGCCCCGCCTCCCCAGCCAGGCGTCGGGACGGTCCTTCCACGCACCAGCGTCACGTCTGTTAGTGGGAGCGGGCACGGCCCCGAGACAGCACCGTCCACGTTAGTCATGCCAGACAGAGAGCAGAGAGGAAACCAGAGGCCAGAGAGGCGGTTTGGGAAAGGAGAAAAGAGCAGCTTCGGTTGCCAAAAAATAGAAAGGATGATCTTTTAAAAATAAAACGTGGGGACATTGTTTCTCTGCAATGCTGAGCCATTTTACTTGAGTCATAAAAAAGTTTTGGAGTAGTTGCTTTGCTTTCTCGTTTGAATGTTCGTGAGCACGGGCCGCGGTGCTGGGAGGTGTGTGTCTGGGTGGCAATGCTGCCAGGGGTCCTTCAGACCACGTACTGGGACGGGTCTGCCTTCCCTTGGTCTGGCGTGGCAAAGGGGCTGGCCCAGCCTAGAGAGAAGGGGTGGCCGAAAACGGCTTTCAGGTTCATCCATTTTGTTTTTTTAGCCCATCTTCTCTCTTCCTTTTTCAATTGCTCTATTCCCTGAAAACAAGAACAACCACACTTCAGTCACACGCTCATCGCTGTGGGTTCGGGGGAGGGACATCCACTAGCCTGAGTGAGCGGAGTCAAGGTCTCCTTCATAAAGCCACGGAGCAACTACACAACACACCTGCCTTCCCTTTCTCTCTCACAAGGTGTAAAAACACCCCAGGCTTTCTTGGGGATGAGCGTGCCAGGGCCCAGGGCGGGCGGGCCAGGGCCGGCAGGCTTGGGTACAGGAGCCTCAGAGCCGGCGATCTGACAGCCAAGGTGACTGCTCAGCTGGGACTGGTTCACAGGAAGTCTGCATTACACAACCACTTTGTAGACCAAAATAAAAGAAAGAAAAAGAAAATGAGTCTGGAGGGTGAGACTCCGCCGGGAAATCAGGAGCACAGCTAGAAGGTGGAGAGGAGGGACAGAGGGGCCGGAGAAGTCACCAGAGGAGGAAGGAGATGTTAGTACAGGTCAGGGCCACACGGACAGACCAGTCAGCCTCAGTCACGGCGAAGGCCTTCCCAGGCTCCTGTGGGGAGACGTGTGACCCATTCAGCAGCTGTCAGAGCCTGCACTCCCGTCTCAGAGGAAAAATGGGGGCTGCGGAGAGAGCTGGTCCCCCTCAAACGGATAGAGCTGGTCAGTGAGGGGGGGCTGGGCTTGTGCCTGGTCTCTGGTGGGGCTGGAGCAGAGGTGTGCCTGAGGGAGCACCCCATGCAGGCCGGAAGGGTAAAGGGGAGGGGAGGGCCCATTTCCCATGAGCTGTGGGGCCTGCCTTCCTTCCTTTCCTACGTGACTCCCTGAAGGGGAGATGGGTCAGGGCCCTGACAGCTCTCCTCGGGCTCCCCCAGGTTACGGCCTGGCTGGATCCCCCCGGGTCCTGCAGGCCTTCCACAGAGAAGCTGGTCATGTTTCCTGCCTGGGTCCCTAGCTGGATCTACTATTTTTATAGAAACTCCTTTGTAATGATGTTATTTCTTATAAAAGAAAAAGCTGCTGAGCCCCCAACCTTCCACTCCGAGGGGAACTCTCACAGGTGCCAGCGGCGGTGCCTGGGCAGCCGGGCAGCGAGCCCTTCCCTGCCCGCGGGAGAGCCCGACAGCGGAGGCAGGCACTCCCCTCCGTGAGCCTCCTCCCAGCTGCCTGCCAGGCCTGCAGTCCCCCGGGGGCCCCTGGGAAGCCAGGATGGACTCTCGACCTCGGGACTCCACCGCTCCCTCCTGGGCCCCTTACACGAGGCCCCAAACCCAGAAAGCGAAGCGATGCCCCCACCACAGCCCCGGGTCAGCACCTTGAGGCTTTTGGACACCTTAGGGCGGTTGGGAGGAGGTGGCACCAGGGGAGTGGGCTTGGGCCCAGCAGCTTCGAGGCTCCCAGAGGTGGAGCTGCGAGTCGGGGAAGGCAGGATCAGGGAGAAGCAGCGGACAAGGACCAGAGCAGGCCCGGCAGTGGTGACCGGGGCCCGGCGAGAATGTGCTGCCATTGATCTGGGGCTCAAGGTCCAGACATGAAGTCACCTCCTCTGGGAGTAGCTGTGCCTGGGCCACCTGGCCTCCACCCGCACAGGCTCAGGGGCAAAGGGTGTTATGTGGCCCCAGAGGGAGGTGTCCCAGTGCCCAGCAGAGCGGTGCACAGACAGAACCCTCACGGGAGCATGGAAGGGCCTGTGACCTAGGGGGCCTCTCACCAAGGCTGCTGGGCCCATTGCTGGTGTGACGGCATGCCAGCGCCCGGGGAAGGACGCCCGTGTGCATGGAGATCAGTGTCCCTGCAAATGGGGGGTGTGCCCGCACCCGGGGCCTGTGCAGGCCGCCCTCCTGCTCACCGTCTCGTCCGTGCAGATGGAGTGCACCTGGGTTCCGAACATCACCGACGTGAAAATGAGGAAGAGCAGCCCCTCGAAGCACAGCAGGATGAGGAGGATCACCGTGGTGGGCGGCGAGAAGTAGCTGCACTCTGCGGAAAGGAGCACAGGCTCAGGGCTCCGGCCCGATGCCCACCGCCCCGACCCCAGGCCCCCTCCGCCTAAGTCCCCGGTGGGTCCTCCTGGGTGTGTCTGGCCTCCGGGCCTCAGTGAGGCCCCCCGCCCCTCCTGGTCGCACCTACACTCCCCACGGGAGCCCTGTTTGACTGGCTGGGCCCCGCCGGGCCTCCCTCACACACACCGCCCTCGCTCACTGCCGCTTCGCCGGCAGGCCACCTGCTCCCCCCAGGCCTGGCTGACGCCCGCCCCGCTGAGAGCTCTGCTCTTGCTCTGCTTGTGCCGAGCAGCTCCGCCCTGCAGGCCCGGCTCAGGTCGGAACAAGGCCCTGCTCAGAGCACCCTGCAGGCTGCCTGGCTCCCAGGGGCGTTAAGGAAACGGCCCGTCTGAAGACAGACACGGCCTCACTGACGGTGACTCTCATTACTGCCCAGGTCCGTGATGATAACATGTCCTTGTCAGACCTCACCGGCGAGCCAAGGCCACACCTGGAGGTGACCTGGATCCCGGGGCCTAGCTGAATGCGGTCCTTTTAGAATGTCCACCAAGGATGCCGAAACCAGTTTGGCTCAATGGATAGAGCGTTGGCTTGGGGACTGAAAGGTCCTGGGTTCAATTCCGGTCAAGGGCATGTACCTTGGTTGCGGGCACATCCCCAGTAGGGGGTGTGCAAGAGGTAGCTGATCGATGATTCTCTCTCATCGATGTTTCTAACTATCTCTCTCCCTTCTTCTCTGTACAAAATCAATAAAATGTATTAAAAAAAGAAAAGAAAAGAATGTCCACCAAGGAACCTGCTAGTAGCCCCCGCTGTGCAGGACCATGACCTGCAGAAACCCGCTCTCATGCCCCCACCCCCCACCCCCTACTCACTGATCTCCGGTCTGGCTGTGCTAGGACTTCACTAGTCAGGAAAGCAGGGAGACGGGGCGCTATGGACAGAACTGTGCCCCCCTCGACTCCTGTGTTGAGCCCCAGCCCCCGGTGTAGTGGGCTCAGAGACGGGCCTTTGGAAGACGAGGGCAGATGAGGTCGTGATGGGGTTAGTGCCCGTTCAGAAGAGACACCAGGGCGCTTGCTGTTCCCTCCCTGCCCTGTGAGGACGCAGGCGGAGGTGGCCACCTGCGAATCAGGAGGCCCTGCCTCAGGAGCCCAACTGGCGGGCACCTCGCCCTGGACTTCCCAGTGCCAGAGCCCTGAGCAGTGAACGTGTGTGAGCTACGGTGCTGTGAGGGCAGCTCATAGGGTGCTCTTCTCCTGTTGGCATTTACATTTAAATGGAATACTTCTAAAGCAGCAAGAACTTGTCCACAATCTTAATGCAAATTGGTGAGGCCCAGCCAGAAGCTGGGCGGGGCGAGGAGAGCAGAGGGGGCGGGTGCAAACTGCGACACAGGGGAAGCCTCTTAGTATCTGGTTGGAGCTACGGATACTGTCCTTTTCTTAGCCTCACAAGTTCTTTTATTTTTTTAAAATATGTTTTTATTGATTTTAGAGATAGAGGAAGGGAGAGGGTTAGACGGAAACATGGATGACAAAGAAACATCAATCGGCTGCCTCCTGCACGCCCCCTGCTGGGGATCGAGCCCACAACCCGGGCCTGTGCCCTGATGGGAATTGAACTGTGACCTCCTGAGCCACGCCGGGACCATTGAGCTACACTGGCTGGGCGGCCTGAGTCCTGAGAAACAATAACAGCAAGAAAATGCCCAAGAAGTCAGCATGTGCAGAAAGAGCAAAACTTCTAAACGACGGTGAAATGAAAAAAGGGGCCCATTAAGGAAAACAGTAGAAACACAACGTTTCTGCTCAAGGCGTTTGTCTCACAGGGTGTGTGTGTGTGTGTGAAAGATCCAGCTCAGCAGGCGGCCTTTTAAATCCGTTAGCATCTAATCACTTTTTCTTATTTTTATTCTCCTTTTATTTTTCCAGCATCTATATTTTCCCTCATAATTTTGTATACTTTTCTGGTTGGCGTTCCTTCGTGGACAAGATCAATAGCACAAAATCACTGGTGTAAATTAAAACCAGACACCTACATATATAAAAGAGCTCTGCGCATGAGCGGACATTGAAGGAGAGAAGAAAAAAATAATAAATCCTGACCCTAGCTGAAAAACAGCCCCCAAATCAGAGGGCCTGGGCACCTAACCAAAGAGAGGAACCTTAAATCCAGCTCTGAGACACAGGAAGGAAGACGGGCTAATTATGATCCATTTAAATGGAATACTTCTAAAGCAGCAAGAATTTGTCTACAATCTTAATGCAAACTGCTGATCAAACAGTTAAAAAGCAACCACAAAAAAACCCCACAAAACATCTCCACACGCAGGCGGGAAGTTAAGAACGAGTTCCTGCCAGACGGAGTGGGTGACCTTTGAAGGCAGGGTCTTGGCTAAGGGCACGCAAACCCATCCCGGCCCGGCCCCTGCCTGGCCTGCTCTCCCCGGCTCTCCACTTTACCTGAGGAACTGACTTTTAGGGGCTGCGCTTTCTGCTGAAAGATTCGGGCCTCTGCTCTTCCTTCCCTGGTCAGTCCGTGGGCTTGCGAGAGATCTAATGCGGTGAGGGTGGCCCCTGGCCACGATGGGGTGAAGGGCCCGCCTGCTCGTGCCCCGCCCCCGAGGAGAGCCCTGCCCACACTCACTTGTCCAGTCTTCTTCGAAGCAGTGGAGGAAGTGGAACCCCACCATGATGAGGGCGTGCAGGGAGATGAGGGCTATGTACATCTGCGGAGAAAGCGGGACAGGCGTCACCGTGCGAACCCGCACTCAGGAGCACTCCGCGTGAGGGAGGACCAGGAGCAGGGCCAGAGGCACCTGGCCACCCCCACCGTCCCAGTCCCCGGCCCGGGTCTGAGAGTGGGGACGAGAACTGCCATCACCGGGCACAGTGACCTGGGCTCCCGGTGGGCGGGGCTCCTCGGGTCACTCCCTCACTGGGCAGTGAGGGTGCCGACTGCCAGTGGCCTTCCAGCCCTCACTAAACACACCCGCCTACCTGCGTCACCACCAAAGTGGCTCCTCCAGCTTACTCAGACTGGGCGCTGGCCCTCGCTTATAGCTAATCAACTTGAGTCCGTTTTGTGGGAGCCCGAGCGAGTGCCCAGGAGCAGTGGCCCTTGCTGAGCTGCGGCTGGCAGCGGACGCCGGGAACTTGGGGAAGGAAGTGCTCCGGGAGGGTGGGGCAGAGTCGGAAGGGGACTTACTGTAAACAGGACGAAGTACTTCTGGTTGTTCTCGCCCACACAGTTATTGACCCAGGGACAGTGGTGGTCCATCTTCCGAATGCACCGCTTACACACACTGAAACAGCCACAGGCGGAGCGTTAGGAGGCCTGCCTCCTGCCGGGAGTGGCTGCAGGGGCCTCAGGCCTAGTCACCCACCGCGGCCTCTGGTTGGACGTACAGTGGGTGGAACTGACGTGGCGTGGCTGCTCTCGACGCGACATTGAGCTGAGAGTGTGGTTTATTGAGGGGACAAATGAAGCAGCAGTTTCAAAAGCTTGAGGAGACGGGATACAGAAAACAGGGCTTCCAATCCTGCCTAAACCGGTTTGGCTCAGCGGACAGAGCGTCGGCCTGTGGACTCAAGGATCCCGGGTTCAACCCGGGTCAAGGGTATGTGCCTTGGTTGCGGGCACATCCCCAGTGGAGGGTGTGCAGGAGACAGCTGACGGATGTTTCTCTCTCATAAATGTTTCTAACTCTCTATCTCTTTCCCTTCCTCTCTGTAAATAATAAGATATATTTTTTAAAAAAAAGAGAGAAAGAAAAGAAAGAAAGAAAAGAAAGAAAAATAAAGAAAGAAAGAAAGAAAGAAAGAAAGAAAGAAAGAAAGAAAGAAAACAGGGCTTCCAATCCCCCCGAATCCAGAGGGTGGGGTGGAGCTTCCAGGTGGGCGGGGCGTCCGGGAGGGTTGGCTGCCGGAGGGAAAGCTGGAAGAGTTCAGAGCTGGGTCGAGTGCAGAACCTCTCAGGACACAGGATGCCCCCCTCTGAGAACCTTTCAGCCCCAGATAACACCCACTTCGCCAAAAAAGCACAAAAGTCACCACTTAAGCTCAAGTGTTGATCGGATGATCTAATAAATTTTCAAATTGCTAACTTTTATTGGGATCACTTTTGGAAGGTTAAAAGCTTATTTGATAGCAAATGCCCTCCTGAACCTTTGGACAATAGAAAGTAATAACAGGAAACAAGAGAACAAGGCTAAAGGGGGCTTGAAAGCAAGTACTTTCCAAAGTATAGAAAGACCCACTGGACAATAGATGGGTTCATCAAGATTGTTCCTTTTAAAACAGGCTCCTTAACATTTATCTCAGGGTATTTTTGTTTAAAACAGTTGGGCCTGGTCCGAGTGGCTCAGTGCTTGAGCAGCAATCCATGAACTAAGAGGTCACTGGTTCGATTCCCAGTCAGGGCACATGCCCAGGTTGGTAGAGGCCGTGCAGGAAGCAGCCGATAGAGGATGTTCTCTCATTGATGTTTCTCTCCATATCCCTCTCTCTAAAAAAAAGAAGAAAATCAACGAGAACATATTTTGGAAAACACAGTTGGAATTACTACATACAAATACAACCTCAGAAATAATACGATTCCTTTTTTGAAAGTCCCTTAGCTCTCACCAGCTTTTCTTCCCACCAGTTTCCATAACTTTATCTCTGGCTCTTACAGTGCACAGTGGGCTGTGGTGGGTGGACTCTGCAGGAAGGGGTGGCCTCGGGTTGCTGCTCTGAGGAGAAGGCTACATTGTTCACACATTGAGGAGTGATGCCCCTGCACCCTGGCCTCAGCCACAGGGCCCCCCCCCCCGCCCACACACACACAGAGCCACCAGGCCCATACTCACCCCCACAGAGCCACCAGGCCTCCCCCCTCCCCCATGGAGCCACCGGGCCCCACACCCCTCCCTCACGGAGCCACCAGGCCTCCCCCTTCCCCCATGGAGCCACCAGGCCCCACACCCCTCCCCCACGGAGCCACCAGGCCTCCCCCTTCCCCCATGGAGCCACCAGGCCCCACACCCCTCCCCCACGGAGCCACCAGGCCTCCCCCCTCCCCCATGGAGCCACCAGGCCCCACACCCCTCCCCCATGGAGCCACCAGGCCCCACACCCCTCTCCCTCAGAGCCACCACTTGGAGCCCCTTTCTGGTATGTCCTCTGGGACAGCCAGCTCTGGGGGTTCTTAGCCCCCTGCCTGGGAAGGAACTCCTGAGGGTGCCGCCCCCCCCCCCCCCCCCCCCCCCCCCCCCCCCCCCCCCCCGCTCCGGGCTCCTGAGCAGTTTCTCTTCCGTCGCACTTCTTCCTGAGAGGGTTTGAGTGGCTCTGAGCAGTGTTTGTTCAGCACAGAAGCACCACTGGTCGGCAGCCCCTGGAAGCTGCCCAAGAGCTGACACGAGCTCTGAGGGCACCCGGCTCTGTTCCCGCCCCTGCAGAGGCCGGTGCCCGGGCAGCCACGCCACAGGCCCACGTCTCACCGGGCAGCGCGTTAGGAAGCCCCTCGCCCGCCAGGAGCAGGGCGTCCGCCCGAGAGCTGCACAACCTGGCCCGAGTGCGGGTCTGTGCTTGCTGTCTGCAAGGACACGGAATGCCAAGATGGCACCTCTCCCTGAGCTCACAGGGGGTGTTCAGAAGCGGGCTCTGGGCCAGGTGGTGGCGTGTGAGTGTGTGCCAGGGTGGGGTGGGGGTCCTTCTAGGCTGGTGGCTGGAGGCACTGTGCAGAGGCTGACCCCCCACACCTCACAAAATGCCCAGCCTCAAAGGGTCTGGACTGGGGACAGAGCCCCGTGGGCAAGGCCAGAGGTGGGTCCGTGAGGGCACCCAGAGGCCCGGAGGTGACATTCTGAAGCTGAGGCCTCCCGCCCTCCCTGGTGCTGGCCCACCATGGAGGCAGCGTGTCCGTGAGGCCGTGTCCCCTCACAGTGCACTCACCAGATGGCGCACAGTGGACGCCTGCCAGCCTGGGGAGGCTGGGTCAGGGCCATGTCTAGTCCACCATCACAGCCCAGAGCCCGCCCAGGCCCCGCGGAGCAGGGCCAGCCGAGTGAAGGCTCTGACTGTGGACGGGGAAAGAGCGAGGCCGGAAGCAGCTTCGGCACAGGCTGGCTGCCCCGGGAAAGAGAAAAGGACACGGCCAGAGGCACCAAGTGGGTCGGGCGAGTTTTTAGCTCACCCTCATTCGCTGCCAGGAGAAGTACAAGCACCGGGCACCTCCCACGCCCTGTCCCGCTCAGGGGCTCTGGGTAAGCGGTGGGGAGGACAGTGCTCTCAGGCCCCGCTCCGGGCTCTGGACAAGGAGACCTGGCTTCTCCAGTCCGCCTGCAGCCTGCCCTCACGTCTCAGGGCTGAGAAGGTCTAACATTTGGAGAACACGAGAGCTGCATACACCATGGGGAAGACACCAAGGATCTGGCAGGCGCCCTATGCAGTCCACGACCGGCTCAGCCTCAGCCTCAGCCTCAGTGTGTCTATCGGGGCTGGCAGGGGGAGAGGCTTTGCCAAGGTCAGAAGTCTCCACCTCCCTGTCCAAGAACCGAATGCCGTGGTCAGCAAACTGCGGCTTGCGAGCCACGTGTGGCTCTTTGGCCCCTTGAGTGTGACTCTTCCACAAAATACCCCAGCCTGGGCGAGTGTATGATATTTTGAAGAAGTTCCAACCAGGACAGCAGCCTGGGGTCCCGCTGCCTCTCCTCACAGGGAAGACCATTACCGTGTACACCGGGCTGGAGGGAGCACCTACAGGCCCAAGTTCAGGGAGTACCGGTGGCGGCCACAGAGCTAGAGAACAGAGTTTTCAATTCCACGGGACCTACTGGGAGGAGAGGAACCGAACAGCTGGGCCCAAGCACCTTGCCTGGGTGGGCGAGGCCGACACCAGCTTCGCTAACGAGGCAGCAGGCCTCTGGCTCGACCAGTCACGCCCGACCCACCCGTGTGCTGGGGATTCGGCTTATTCAGGGCTGTGGTCCCGACGGCGTGGGCCACCACAAAGGAGCGGCTGTTAGGACGCATTTCCTGAGTCAGGAGCAGGCGGCGCACGGGCACCCTCCCGCGTTCATCTGAGCCAGCAGCCCGTTTTCTGGCTTTCAGGAATTCCGCCCTCGGTCCTGGGAGAGGAGGCGGCGGCGGCAGGAGAATGCCGGGTTCAGGGAAGAACGAGAAAACCACTCCACCTCACTCAGGGAGTCATTTTTGAGAGCGAGCATGGAGACGGCAGTCAGGGGACTGGCTGGGGACTGGGCTGAGGCGCAGGGACACAGCCAGGGCTCAGCAGCTGCCCGGGACCCGGGACGCTGGAGGGGGGCAGTGAGACCCACAGAAATGACCCCCTGCAGGCACTCGCATCCCCCGAGTGGCCAGGATGCCCTCCCGCCATCAGGAGCCGGTTCACTCCCTGAAACCTCCCCTGACCACACCAGCCTGAAAAAGGGACCAGCTGCTGTGTCTGCATTGCTGTAATTTTGCACTTACAGTCCCCTGTCATGGTCAAGGGCACTTTTTAGCTGGATGCCGTCAAGACATCTGAAAACCAGAAGGGCCAGCTCATCACAGAAGGAAGGGCAGTGGCTGTGGGCTGGCTCCCACGAGGCCGTGGCCTCTTGAAGTTTCGTTTTAGAGAAAAGCTTTCCAGCAGGAGGACCCTTCATTTCCCTGTAAACGGCAGGGCCCACCTCTTAAACGGGTAAAGGACTAGCCATGCACAGAATGCCCTTCTACAGCCTTTCTCAGGCGCCCTCACTACGCAGCAGGCTGTGAGGAGAGAGCAGGAACCTCCTGGATTTACAGACTCGGAAACGAAGGCAGAGCCAAGGGCCTGCCCCTTCCCAGAGGGAGACCCAGGGTCACTCGGCGCCCAGAGCGGGATGCTCAGCGTCCTGGTGCTGCCGGCCCGGATGGGAGCAGTGTGAGCAGGGGAGTGTCTGTGTGGCACGCGTACCTGCAGTGGTGCGCTCGGTCGGGCTTGATGCTGCAGCACTTGGGACACTTGTACACCACCTGGCCGGGCTTCAGTTGTAAACTCTCGATGAATTCTTTAGTGGCGTTTCCTTTGGGCACTGCCCCCTGGAGGAGAGAGGAAAGGCGTCAGGGTTGGCCAGGGGTTCCAGCTCCCCAGTCAGCACAGTCATTTCAAAGGAGCAGTTACACACACTGGGACGGGGCACTTCATCCTGACACGTGGGCTGTTAGGAATCACCCAGGGACGAGGCAGGGGCACCCCAATGTGTGGACTCTGTGGTCAGATTTATACCAACACCAATGAGTATATAGTGACAATTTCCCCAAATATTGCCAAAAAGTGAACAGATGGGTACTCATCATCTCACCATTTCATACCCTTTCAACTGAAGTATTTCTCATTAACAATTTTTCTAACAGTTAAAAAAGTAGTAGGAAAGAAATCTGGACTGCAAAATGCAGCCAGATGCCAGAAAAGCCTATAACAGAAATTTTAAGAAGCAAACAAACTGTGGTAGGCAAGGACTATATGGTATGTACAATGCTAGTCAGGATATAGTTTCACATTAAATATGCCATAAAGCACACAGCTACTGACATGGGAAACACCCATGATAGATTGTTAAAGGGAAAGCAGACTTCCAAACAGGAAATAGACTGTAAGCCTGTTTTGGCAAAGATTATCTATACACATACATAAAAAGATAAAGATACACGCAAAAGTATTAATGGTTATCCAACAAAGAATCACAAGAACATCTTATTTTCTTGACTACCTTCCTTAAAGGTTCTATTATAAGCATGTGACCTTTGCAATTAAAAAAGCTCATTAAATATACATGCAAAAAAATTTGCCTCAGGAAGGAGCTACCTGGAGTAGGACTATGACCACCTTTCCTGAGGTTTGTAACCACAATGCAGAGGCCGCTGAGGGTCCTTGAGGCATCAGCGGGAGGGGGGGCGAGGGTCTGGAAGTCTGGCTCACAGCAGAGGCGGGGCCCAACCCCGAGAGGAGCAGACTTTAAAGGGGCCTGTGGAGCACACGGGCAGGCAGAGGAGAGGGTCCTACAAAAGTCATAAACCAACCAACAGACAAAAAAACACTAGGCTATCCACCTGAAACCAACACAAGATTTAAAGTAAAAATCAAAAACAATTCTGAAATGTTCTGTGAAGGTATAATCCACTCATTATACAAAACGGAGACGAATGTGGAAATCTCCAGAGCATTTCCTGGCCCGGAGTCCAGGGGGGCCACCACAACCCGCCTCCTTACCGAGGCCCCAGGCCACACCCGGCCAGAACCCATTGGGGCCTTAGTAACAACTCCCATTTAATTACACCCCAGTTCCTGGAGGACGATGTCTTCCCACCTGCAGCCCAGGAGCAGGCATTAATAAACCCACGCTGAACAAGAATGATGATACCACAGACATTTACTGAGCTTATACAGGAGGCACAGCTCCAAGTGCTTTGCTGTCTTTTTTTGCCAGTTAATTCTGACAACACACCTGTGAGGCAGAGACTATGCAGTTCCTCACTGTAGAGAGGTGGTAACTAAAGCTGAGAAGTTAAGCAAGATCCCAAGATCAGATGGCTAGTAAGTGGCAGGAGAGGACCAGACCCAGGCCATCCAAGTCTAGAACCTATGCTCCATCAGAAGGCAGCAGGCATTTGTCAGATATATATATATATATATATATATATATATATATATATATATATATATATATATATGTATTTTTTTTAATATATTTTATTGATTTTGTACAGAGAGGAAGGAAGAGAGATAGAGAGTTAGAAACATCGATGAGAGAGAGTCATCGATCAGTTGCCTCTTGCACACCCCCTACTGGGGATATGCAGAAACGCTCTCACAGTCTGACAGACTGTGTCCCGGGGCCACCTGGTCCTCCACAGAGAGGCAGGAAGTGGCAATCCCCAGCTGGTCACTCTCCTCTCTCTGGAGCCAGAAGGCTTTGGGTTGGCATTGATAAGAGACTCAGTGGCAGTGTGAGAAGTTGCAGAGCATGAGGAGGACAAAGCACCCCACTCAAATGAACCCCGAGGCAAGTCCCCAGATCAAACAGGAAATGTGGCAACACCGTTAGGCAAGATGGGCACGGCCTTCTATAGCAGAGCCTGGCTGGCAGGACCCAGTGCCAGGCCTCTTCTGTCCCCAGGCCGACATCGTGCTGCCCCGCTCCTGGCCCCAGTAACTACCTGCTCCCGATTCTTCCCCGAGGGACCCCAGAAAGGAATACCAGCTGCACGTTGCAATGAGCCCTGAGCTCCACAGATAACTTGGTAGCAGAAATGAGAATCAGTGGCCTGCAGTGGGCAGAGATTGTCAAGTGAAGTCTGTTTACAGCCAGGAATTCACTATGGGGACTGAAGAAAGGAGGAGGCGGAGGAGGAGGAGGGGCAGCGGTAGGCAGGCAGATGGATTCCCTTTTCCTTAGCAATGAATTGCTTTATAGTCCTCCTTGACTCAAGTCTAAGGTTTGAGATAATTTACATGAGGTTAATAAATTATTAAGTCCACAGAATGGAAGAGTACAAAAAAATGCTGATTGTAAGGATATACACAATTGCCGGGGTTGTCTAGTGCTTGGCTTTGAGCTTCCTGGCAGTCAGGGCAAAAAGCAACAAGCTATGGCTCTTGGCTTTAAGCTGGGAGACAGATACCCTCCCAAATCTCCATTTTAAAGGGAATCAATCCCTCAGGAATTCACAGGATGAGGAATTCAAATGTGCTTGTAACTGGGAGAGAAAAAGTGGTGAGACTGGGAGAGAGGAAAGGAGAGAAAGGTACCAGACAAGGGTCTCTGAGCCCGGGCTGTCTGGGCAGGCGGAGCCACTCCAGACTTAACTGTTTCAGGAACACGGAGAGCTCCTTTGATGACATTCCACAACCTGAGCGGGGGAGGAGGAAGCACCTGACATCACCCCCCAGTCTGACTTGTTCCTGCCCACGCTCAGCCCAGCCCCCTGCCCAGCAAGTACTGGCCCCTCTGTGCGTCTGTCCCCTCCCTCCTTACAGGCCTGTCCTTTATCCCATTCCTCAAATGGGTCAGTCTCTTGTGAGTCACTCCCTTTTCTGCCCAAGCTCTACGTGGCCTCCTTTACTAAATGCTCACTAAATGGTCCAGAAAATGTGGTGGCCGCAATTGTTTTGATGTTACATTTGGGATAAGAATCTCAAAGTTGAAAGTGGTACAGTAACCATCTTGGGAAGATTATAAGATCTTTTTTTTAAAAAAACACAACAAACTAAGAATAGTAATAAGCCAAAATCATATACAATGTATACATCGTTATACATTGTTTATAGCCTTAGGGTGTAACTTTCTGAAAGTTATAGGCAGCATGAATCCTTGAGATACCAACATTGTAATATTTTTAGGGAACTTAGAGCCATACAGAAGCTCCTTTCTAAATAGAAACAGACTCCCCCTTTGGTGTTAATGAGGCTGCAGGCACTGATGAGAAAGCAGGAATTGATCTGCTTTGTGTGTGTGATCAGGGCCCCCAACTCTGCTCCAGGGAAGCCCGGGGTGCCCCAGGGGCGCCACGGCTGCAGCTCCCCTGTTTCCGTGCTGAGTTTTGCACAGGATGTCATGTGCTGGGATGGGGGTAGGCAGGGGGCAGCAGGAAAACCCAAGATGAGCCTGAGACGCGGCCTGTCTGTGGGACATGCTTTGAGTTGCTCCCTTTACAATGGTAGATACCTGGCAGATGCGTCGTATGTTTGCCCAGTTTTCTTTGGGGCCACCAGCAAAACACTCCCATGAGCAGTTGGCTGGAGTTTGGCTCCCATTCACTTGGGAATGGAAGCCCAGCAACATACCATAGTGAGGACCATTCTCTCCCGCCTCCAATGCAAGGGCTGGACTGAGGAGGCCCATGGGGGCAAAAGATCTCACACACACGTGAGGGCAGCAGGAATATCAGGGCCAAAGTGCCCCCCCCCCCCCCAATCCAGTTCCTGATTCACACACCTTCTAGAAACCAATGAGCTTTACACTCCACTCTGGTCCTGCCCCTCCACCAGCCCCAGACCTGGCTATACACTGCCTATCTGGCATCTCTGCTTACATGAAATACAGACACAGTTTGGCCAGAACAAAAGCCTTGCTTTCTCTTCCCAAATCTATTCTCCCCCGACTCTCCCCGTTCAATAAGTGGCAGCAGCAATCAATCTGCTGCTGCTCGGGCCAAGAAGACTCTGGAAGGCACACTCTTTGATCTCTTTCCATTCTGTCAGCGCCTCTGAATGGCGGTTCTCAGACTGGCTGAGCCCGAGGGACTCCTGGGAGCTTTAAAGCATCCCAATACCAGACCCCGTCCTGACCGATTAGCGGGGACTCTCTCGGGGCGGCCCGGGCATCAGTACTTTTAAAAGCTCCCCAAGGGATTCTAATGGACGGCCAGGCTTGAGAATTAGTGGCTTAAAATACACTCCCAATCCAACAGCTTCTCTCCAGCCTCACCGTTCCCACCTTGGTCTGAGCCACATGTCTTGTGTGGACCACAGCAATACCTCCTATCTTCTGCTTTTACTTATCCCCACCAAACCCCCATCCCAAGCACAACACCTGTTCGCATCAGGCCTCTCTGACGGCTCCCGCGACATGCAGAACACAGACCGGAGTCCTCAGGAGGCCCGCAGGCCTGCAGGATCTGCTCAGTCACCTGAGTCTTACTCCCGTTTCTCCTCTTCCTGAAGGCTCTGCCCTCCGATCTTCATTTGCCTGATTTGCAACTTCACGTCCCCCAGTTCTCGGCTCAAATGGCCCCGCCTCAGAGGCATTCAGATCGCAGTGATCTAAAGCAGTTCCCCTTCTCCTCCAAAGAGTCACCACTGCGTCACCGTCACTGTTTCATCGTCTTTACGGCACTGGGCACTTTCTGGAATTACCTCGGCAATCACATTGTTAATGCCTGACCCCCTGGGGGGATGTGAGCGTCAGGAGAGCAAGGGTTTTGGTCTGTCTTGCTCACAGCTGCATCCATTGCTCAGAATGGAATCTCTCACTCGATAAACGTGCCATTCACGTTATTCCACTGTCCGGGCGCCCTGGTCTCCTCCCTCACTGCTGCCAGAGTGATCCTTGTAAAATGACAATCTGATCTTGTCACTGGCTGCCCCTCACACCCCACACCCGCCCTACATCTTAGGCATTCCACGCACACTGCCAGCCCAGACCCACTCTCCACTGTGCCCGGCCTGCCGGTGTGCCATCTCCCCAGACACGTGTGTAAGATGAGGCACCGTCTGCACCGGCTACTGACAGTAACTGAGCTGGGAGAGGCCTTCCCTCGGGGCAGATTAACAATCCACCACCGGAACCGGCAGGAACCGGAGTCCTTGGAGAAGGGACCCAGCATCTGTCCTGAGCTTTCCCCAGAGCACACAGAACGGAAATCTGTGTGACCACAGCCACGGCCACCGTCACCGTCACTCGAGTGCTTTCCCTTCTTAATTTAAACACACTCATCTGAACAATGAAGCCCCAGAGGTCTTATCCCATAACGCACTCCAGCTTTCCCCGAGCGGTAATGAACAGGAAGGGAGGATCTAACACCAGGGTGCTTGGCATTCAGCAGCCGCTCGCACAGCTGGTACACCTAGCTAAGTCACCGGGGAGACCACTGCTTCGCTCACGGACGCTCCCCAGGAGGCACTGGCTGTGGCCGGACACAGGCCTGCCCCGCTTTCCAGGAAGGATGAGTCTCCCGCGAAGGGAAGGCCACTCAGGTGCACATTCCCGGAGCGGGATAAGGCTTTAAGTTCAAGCTCCCGTCCTTTCTTTGCTGCAAAGCCCTGTCCTGACCCAGCTCCCAGCATGCTTTCTGCTCCTCACCTGGCCCCAGGTTTGATGGCTATGTGACTCACCTTTCTCACTAGAGGCTACACTTCCCCCAGAACAAACCCTGCCCCAGCAACGTACACACCCGTGTGCGCACAGTGCCGTTCACCCCGGCAGGCAGGCTGAGGCAGACCGTGTTTCTGCAGTGGGACCTGTGTCCACTTCCCTCCTGCTCTCCACATTCCTAGGTCAGGCAGCATGCAGGCTGTGGCCACAGCAGGGCCAGGGAAGGAGAGAGTGGGCTGGTCAAAACAAGGCCAGACATACTCACGGGGTCCGTCAGCATGGCCCGGCAGTGGGAGGCCAGGGCCAAGAAGGCCAGCAGGTTGAACAGAATTCCATTGATGATGCTGTACACGTAGTCTCGAGATGGAATCAGCATGACAAAGAGGACCACAAACTCCGCGTAGAGGACCAGAAACCAGGTGACAATGGCACAGGCGATGCCGCAGCCATCGCGGATAAACCACATGGTTCCCGCAGGGCCAGGGTAGGGAGGCGGAGCGCACTTCTCCGGCTGCAGGTATTCTGGCTTCCGCTCAATGTCTCGGAAGTGGTGGTTGGGGATAAGCATCATAAGCTATTCTGTCCATACTGGCATCTGCAAGAGAGAAGACCCAGACATTTGGTGTCATCTTGTCATCAAGCTGATGGGACCAAACGACCTTTCCCAGTGAGGCCGGAGTGTCTTTGTCACCCACCAAACACAGGGTGGGGCAAAAGTAGGCTTACAGTGGGTCATACAGAGAATAATACAGTAACTAATAGCATAAGAATAAACTGTGTTTCTCGTCCTCACAATTGTAAACCTATTTTTGCCCCACCCGGTAAATAAGTGATCCACCCCAACCCCTGCTTCTGCAGAAGAGCAGGGTGTAACAGAGATGATCCGTGACAGCCACACTGCCCCAGCACGCCTGTGGCAGCATGACCCGCAGCCATCTGCAGCCTGAGGGTCATCTCGCCATACCCCCCGGTGCTCCATCCAACTGCCCTTCAGCGAGCCTAAATGGTGTGGTTTTCAGAAATGGAGGCCACTGGAAATAAACTTCAGAGCAATGCTCATGTGTAGATGCTTCCAATGACTGAATATCCAGAGAGGATGCCTGCAGTAAATCTGCCAGGTAACAGGCTACTTCCTGTCATAGGCACGATACCCACCCATTTATTTGGAAGGATTGCGAGTCATTACCAGGAACATTAGTTATGGGAGCATGTTAGGTAGCCATGTCCCCTGGGGGAACGGGACTCACTGGCCTTGCCGCTGCACACCGAGTGGCCCGTTCAGGCCATTATCACTGCGGCATCTCCTCCGTAAGGTTCTTTGTCTTCCCCCTCCATTCCCGCTGCTGTCATTATGTGCCCAGAGTTACCAATCCTCCCAGCATGCCCTCTATTACTGCTGCTAACTGGCTGTGGGCGGGAAGGCAGTCAAGTGAGGCCTTGTTGGATTCGTTTGTGCAAGGGCACTCCCGTTGGACAGCAGGCCTTTGGGGCACGCCCGCAATGCTCTCCCACATTCAGTGGTTGTGGGCTGGAAGCCCCGTCCTTCCATTAGCCCGGTGCCGGCACACAGCAGCCTCTCACCACGTGTCCATCACACACGTGCACGAGTAAGATGCATGAGCTCTGTCTGTGAGCCCAGGCCCACCTCGTGGAGGCGTCTGCTAACTCCAGGGCTAGGCCACATTCTGGATGGGGGGGTGCACCAAGTAGGACCATGAAGCAGGGAACCAGAACGTTCCGCCTTGAACAGTGTGGGACAGAGTGCACTGGGAGCTCTGTTTTCGCACCCCCCTCCCCTCACTGGTGGGTGAGAACCTGTGATCCGGGAAAGCGCCCGGCCCAGGGCTCACCTGGCAGAGCTGCACTGAGTGTTGAACTGAAGGACAGATTCCAGCCCACACTTTAGTTTCAAAACATCCCAATCAAAACCAGTCACGGCACACTGCTGTAAAGAGGTTTCCTTAGCCCCCAGGCCTCCGAAGGCAATGGAAGTAGCTCTTTAATAACCATCTGTTTTATTCAATTAGCCAAATGAAAACCTGAGAAATGAGGAGGGGGAGCCCACCTTGAAACAAATGATACACATTCCCTTCACTCTGCCCCCAACCACAGAAAGGGCGAAGCTTCACTCTTTTCCCCCAGTCCCTGGAGTGGAGGGATGGTTCTTTGTCATGGACACCACCCCCCCCCCCCGTCCTTGCTCAGAACTGGCTGCTCAGGCCTCTGGAGGCTGGCGCACCCGGAACCCAACCCACAATACCACTGCTGCCAGCCTCCCCCACCCTCAGGGGGCACCCTGGCCAGTGCCCTCCCGGCGCCTTCATCCCATTCCCTTGCCCGCTGGCTGTCTAACATGCCTTTCATCAATCCCATGACTCACACAGACATTCACAAGCAGCCACGACATGCACGGCACCGTGCAGGGGCTCGCACCCGGGGATGAGGACAATAACGTGTGTGTGCTGCCCTGCTCGGTCCTCTCCCGGATGCCAATCTGGTAAGACCAGTCTTACTGGCTTTTCCCTGCTGTTTAGCTTTGTAGCCTGGTATCTGGCATGAGTGTATGCTCAAATCAGTATTTGAATGAGTGGATATGTAAATCAGACAGACACACCCCACAATAATCCTAAAACATAGGCTTCTAATGAGTAGCACAACAGAGAGCAAACAGTATCCCCCAAAACAAACACATACCCCAAAACTCAAAAGTGAGATACACAGACTTTCAAGGACAGGACTTCTGAGGGGGCGGAGTCTCATGGGCATGGAGCCAGGGGAAGCGTACCACTTCTTAGACAAAGGCTGTGGAGTAAGTGGGCCTGGGAGGCAGAGTGGAGGTGCTGGTGGGGTAGCCATATGAAATATTTACCCACAGGCTGGTTTAATAAACTCAAAATCAGGTGTAATTATTTTCCTTTGGCTTAGAGAATAGGATAATGCAAATACTCAAAAAATAAATAAATAAATGAATATTTAACATTTTAATACATCTTGTATCATGTTGGATTGCTGAGGGGGGAAGCGGGGATCTGGTATCCTCTTGAACTTGCCCCAAACATGGGCTTCGCACCTAAACTACTTTATACTAGTTAACTCAGTAAATAATCACGTAATTTAACAGGCCCACTGAAAGAAGGCAGCGTCTCTTCTGCTATTTCCCCCGTGATTCTCCCTTGAAATTCATCCTACGGAGTACATCCATAACCTACGGTATAAATCCTGTGGCCTTAAGAATATGGTGTTTGCCTCTTTAAAAATCTTCTTCCATATCCAAGGAATTGACTAAAGTATCAGTGTTCACAGGCCAGCCACACAACTTCAAAGAACAGATGGGCTTTAAAAACCAATTTGATCAAGTAGGAAATTATTCTACCTGGGTTAAAATTATCTTAATTTGTTGTAAGAATCCAAAAGAACTATACATTTTATACCCATTTTAGGTGATTCTCAGAAAAACAATGAATGAACCATGAATTCACTGCTTAAAATGCCTCATAAAAAATATAGAGTGAGTCACTAAACGTTTTTTCAAAGGGTGTGGTCCAAAGGAAAAGGGCCTTATCTGCATCACCACCTGCCAGCCAAGGAAGGCGCCCAGACAGGCAGAGTGCTCTGGCTTTACCAGGAGCTTACACTGGTTCTCCCTCCTGCCTCCTGCCTGTCATACTTTACCTCCGACAAAAATTTAAACGTAAACTCTGTACCCCCAAACCAAACTCTATAACACAATAAAATTCATTGAGGGAACCAGGAGGTAGGAAGTTAAATTTGCCTTTTTGACTTGTAACTGGTCACCTTCTTATAAAACCCATGCATGTACCCACTGGGACTCCTAACAATGGTCTTCATTTCAGAACAAAGTCTGGTTTGGGCCAGGCTAACAGTTCCTACAATTACTACAACTGGCGCTTTTCCTACCTCCCAGCTTTCTAGAACTATTAAAAAATACACACACCCACATACAGGATGATACCATGTGTGATACAGACATCGGGGCTCATTTGGGTAACACATTCTCCTTTCCCTTTTTATAAATGTGCTCCATGTGTTGCAACAATGAGAAAGATGAATGAGACAACTTTAAAACAAGGCCACACATAAGATTAACGGTTGGAAAACAATCACGATCTGAGTCAGAACTGTAGAGGGGGAAGGAGCCTCAAAGAACACCTACTGCATTTCAGCCAAACTTTTGTTTTACATAAGAGAAAATCCAAGTCCATTTGAGATTTTTGTCTAAAGCATCAGTTTAGACAAGACAAGCAGTGCTGTCTGCAGGAGTGGAGATGAACCCCGACATTAACTGAATGGCTATTATGACTGCGGACTCAGAAAGCAGCTCGCTTTAATTCTTACAATGGCACAGTAGCTTTTATTATCCACTGGATAGATACAGAGTGAGGTGCAGAGGTTTTGGTTAATGTTCTCAAGGTCATACAAAGCGAGGGAGTGGTAAAGCCGGAATTCAAAACCAGCTCTGCTTGTCACCATAGACCGAATTTTGAACATAGCACGAGGCTGCTTCTCCTCCCTCCCCTCCCCTCCTCCCCTGCCCGCCACCAAGAGCAGAGGAGGAGCGCCCAAGCAGGAAACGGGAGTTCTACTTCCTATCCCTCTGACACATTTGATGGAACTGAGGACAAGTCACACTTCAACTTAGCTTTGTCTTCATCTCTAAAGTGAGCGGGAAGGCCTGGATCTCCAAGCTGTGATTTAAAAACAAACAAACAAACAAACAAATAAGGAATACCCTCTAAGTAGACTTTCCTCCCTCTGGCTACTGGGAACCTATAATGTCCATTCTTAAAGAGCACTGTTCCTCAGCTGCCTCTTTCATGGATCATATTTCCATTAGGCTAGCTGACCTCTTCCAAAGGCTGGCCCAGCCTGTTCTACAGATGGAAAAAAAGGAAACTCAAGCACTGGCTGGGTGGCCAGTTGGTTGGATGTCTTGTACACCAAACGGTTGTGGGTTAGATCCCCAATTGGGGCGGGAATGGAAGGCAACTGATCGATTTTTCTCCCCTCCCCCCTTTCCTCTCTCTCTAGAAAAAATAAAAGAAGCTCAGAGTTAATTGATGTTATAAAATGTTAGGAAGGTTGCTTACTTTCTCTCTAGTTCTAATAAATGGTATCTACTAGTTGCTTCTACTGCTATATGCCTGCATTACCTTCTCCTGCTAGGGAGTCTGCGGCCCAGTAGGAAAATTTTTTATAAAGGCAATAATATATTACTGACCTACCTACCCAATTAATATTTGTCAATGAGTGTGATACTCTCAGTACAGGAACCCTTTGTAAGTTTTTGGGAGGGGCCTGGCTGAACACCAACCATTTAGAAGACTGATCCTGATTTAACTTAGGAAGTAGGAGGGCTGTAATGCTTTAGCCAGGGGTCACCCTAAGATTGAGTCCCTAAAATCTGCTTCTGTTGAGGAACACTTCCTGTGGGGCCAAGTTCTATCACGCTGCTTTTCCTGAGAGAAAGCCATGCATGCTAGACAGAGACCTACAGCAAAGGTTCCCACCTAAGGATGTTAAAAATAGCACCTTCGCCACATGGTACCACGTTCAGACATTCAGCCACCGGGACGTCACCCAGAAAAGGCTTGGTCTTTTTTTTTTTTTTTTTTTAAGGAACAAACAGCAAATGTGCTTGGAGGGATCAGGAAAAAAAGACCTAGAAAAGAGAGTGAGAAGTTATTGTAACTATACCAGGTTTTGCAAAGGGATTCTTTTTGAACAACCAATGGGTCAAAGAAGAAATTAAAGAAGAAATTAAAAAGTTTCCTGAGACAAACTAAAATGGAAACACAATATACTAGAAATTGTGGGATGATGATGATGATGATGATGAGAATAAATAATAAAAACTATAAATTACAAGCCCACAACTAATAAAACTATATATTATAAGCCCACAACTAATATACTCAATGACAAAAGGTTGAAGGCTTTTCCTCTAAGATCAGGACCAAAGACAAGGGTGATCATTCTCATTACTCCTATTCAACATAGTACTAGAAGTCGTAGCTAGAGCAATCAAGTAAGAAAAAAAGTATCTGAACTGGAAAGGAAAAAGTAAAATTGTCTCTTCACAAATGACATAATTTTCTATATAAAAAATCCTAAAGAATAAACCAAAAAAAGTTAGATCTATTCAATGATATCAATAAAGTTGCAGTATACACAGTTAACATATAAAAATCAGTAGCATTTTTATACCATAACAAATTATCTGAAAAAGATATTAATTGACCCTACTTGCAATATTGTCAAAAACAATAAAATAGGAGTACATTTAAGGAGTTGAAAGACCTCTACTTTGAAAACTATGACACTGGCCGAAACCGGTTTGGCTCAGTGGATAGAGCGTTGGTCTGCGAACTGAAAGGTCCTAGGTTCGATTCCGGTCAAGGGCACATACATTGGTTGCGGGCACATCTCCAGTAAGGGGGTGTGCAGGAGGCAGCTGGTCGATGATTCTCTCTCATCGATATTTCTAGCTATTTATCCCTTTCCCTTCCTCTCTGTGAAAAATCAATAAAATGTATTAAGAAAAAAAAAAAAAAGAAAACTATATGACACTGTTGAAAGAATTAGAAGATAGAAATATGCGAAGGTGTCCCATGTTCATAGATTGGAAGAATTAATATTGTTAAAATGTCAATACTACCAAAAGCCTTCAATAGATTTAATGCAATCCCTATCAAGATTCCAATGGCATTTTCTACAGGAGTAAAAAAAAAAAAAAAAAAAAAAAGACACTCCTAATATTTACATAAAACCACAAAAGACCCCAAATAGCCAAATAAATCCTGAGAAAGAAGAATAAAGTAGGAGACATCACACTTCTGATTTCAAGCTATACTATAAAGCTGTGGTCATTAATACAGGATAGTACTGGCATAAAAACAAATAAATAGATCAATGGACCAAAATCAAAAGTCCAGAAATAAACCCAAGCATATATGATCAACTATTATTTGACAAGGGAGCCAAGAATACTCAGTGGAGAAAAGACAGTCTTTTCAATAAACGGTGCTGGGCCAATTGGATATTCACATGTAAAAGAATGAAACTGGACCCATATCTTACAGCACTCACAAGAATTAACTCAAAATAGATTAAAGACTTAAATGTAAGACCTAAAACCATGAGAACTGCTAAAAGAAAACAGGAATAAAGCTCCTTGACGTGAATCTTAGTAATGATTTTTTTTTTGATATGACACCTAAATCATAAGAAATAAAATAAAAAATAAGTAGGACTACATCAACCTAAAAAGAATCTGCACAGCAAAAGAAACCATCAACAAAGAGAAAGAAAACCTATGGAATGGGAAAAACTATTTGTAAACCATATCTAATAAGGGGTTAATATCCAAAATATATAAAGAACACATAAAACTCAGCAACAAAAAAACAAATAACCCAATTAAAAAGTGGGCAAAGGACCCAGAGTAAATTCTATGAGTTCCTCTGTCTGGGAGGCTATGCCAAGCAGAATGAAGATGGCGTGGAGTCAAGAGGCCAGAATTCTACTCTCAGTCCTGCCAGTCATTTACCTTATGATTCTGGGCAAGACAGTTACCCTCCCTGGGCCTCAGCTTCCTCATCTATAAACCAAGTGGGTAGATGGAGCTGACTGCTTGGGTTCCTTCTTCAGGGCTGAGATTCTGACTCTTTTCTTCTCTGGAACAGATTCAATGTTTCCTTTGTTAATTTCTTGGATTTTTATATATTTTTATCAAAAGCATCCCTTAAATTCTTTTCCCCATTCTTCAATATTTTTTTAAAAAACCCATCTGTGTTAGCAATTTTTCTGAACATGTTCAGTTTTTCAATCAAACATACCATTTCCTTTTGTACATTCATTAATTTTTTTGTCAGAGTTGAAAAGCACTATCAAAATACATCACATTTACAAAGTGATAAAGGAGAAGCCTTAAAATCCAAAGTTAAACATGATCGTTTTTCAATGTTTAAATATTTGCAAATATGGGATCTGTTCTAAGTTTTACAAACTGGTAAGATGCATTTGAGGGTAATATGAGGCTTAGAGAGGTTAACTGACTTGCTCTATGTCACAAAACTAGTTAGTGACAAAGTACAGATCATTGGCGTGGGTGCCCAATTGTCTTGCCACCATAGATCCTTATCTTCCCAACCAACCTGCCTTTCTAGATTCCCTGCTACTACTTGGCTTAGAAATGTATACTTTGTACATAGCAAAGTGAAAACTTATTGCAACGGGACTGGACTTGTCCCATTAGGCCCATTTTACCAAGGTGAAAAATCGATTCCATCCAAAAGCTTTCCATCCGTATGGACCCTGCAGAGGAGACATTCACGCCTCAGGTACCAAGAAGGTCCAGAGTCCAATCGCCAAGTCTCTACACACCAGGAAGTTTCCAGTTTGGAGAAGACTGTGAAAAGATGTGGTTTTCCTGGATGAATGACTATTGGGTGGGGCATGCAAATGGAGCCTTCTGGGCATGCAAATGACCTGGCTGTGTGCCTCTGGAAATCTGCTTCCAGAGAGGAAGGCAAAGGATTAAAAAACGCAAAAAACAACAACAAAAAAACAACAACCGGGAAGTAACTAGAGAGAAGTACTTAAGTAGATTCTTTTTTCCCTCTCAACAGGTCAATATCCTAACATCACTCCCCTAATTCTACTTCAGATTCTGTTACTTTCTATGGCTCTCAGGGTGTGTATGTGTTTAGATATTTACAGATTTGCTGATCACATGGGACCCCTTTTCTCACATGTGCCCCGATGCAAGACAAAGCAAGCACCCTGCCACCCTCTCAAAATGAAACCCACTTGTGAAGACCCTTCCTCTACATGAGAGTAAGTTTTGTCCATGTATTCCTATCAATTTTTCTATCAGTGTGATCGTAAGTTATAATTTCTAGGTCAGCAAGACAGACACAGGCCTGCTGGCTACGGTATGACAAGTTACTTACATTGAATATTCTTTAAGACAAAGTACAGGCATAACAAATGCATAGCACTTAAAGGAAACAGATCTACAGAGAAAACAGTAGCTAATTGTGAAAATGCAAAGGAAAAAGACTTAACATTTGGCTACCTCTTTAAAGGCTGGGAATAAAATGTTTGTTCCTCTGCTGGGCTTGTGGGAGCTTTCCGCAGCTTCAGCACCTCGGACTCTGCCCCGGAGCTCCTGTGACCGGCTGTTACTGCTTTAATGAACCATGGCTGAGTTTTTGTTGCCGGCTGGTGGCTAGCAGCAGCTCCTTACCTCTTGCCCTTGATGCCTGGCCAGCACAATTAGCACGTTATTATAGGCTGGCCTCTTGTCTAATTACCCCGAGTCTCAACTGAGCATTTGACTTTATTGTCTTGTTCATGCTCTAGTTCAAGTGCCTGGGCTCTCCAGCTATAGGTCCGGAACTTCTCTTAGGGAGGCATGTGTTTTCAGTTTACCTCTGCAGGCCCTGAGCACACTACTCACGAGCATGCAAACAACTATTTCCTGCTGGTCTGAAGAGCTTTCAGAAGTCTGTCCTGGGTGTAAAGCACACGGATGGCATCGGGTCTCCAAGCCTCTCTCAGTCCCCTGTACCACATCCATTGGCCCGCTCTGCTGTGGAGAGCTCTCCTCAGCTGCTTCGGGTTAAGCTCTGCTCAGCCTTTCAGATAAGGGAAAAGGTGTGTTTCCATTACCAACAAAGGCCTCCTTCAGCAAATACTCCTGTGAATGTAATGGGGCCTGGGGGCAGACTGCACGGAGGGATGGTTAGGTGTACAAGCATGGGAGCCAGATTACCTGGTCTCAAACCTTGGCTCTGCCACTTACTACCTTGTTCTAGTAACAAGTGGTCGCCAACGGATGGTCCAAGGGACCATTGGTGGTCCGAGAGGTCTGAGAGATTGGTGCTAACCTCTCTGCACCCCAATCCGTAAAACAGAGATTAACAGTAGCTGTCTCATAGTACTCTGAGAACCGAGTCAGATAATCTTTATAAAATGTCTTAAAACAGTTTTTGGCACAAAATAATCAGTAGGTAAGTTTGTGTTAAATAGAATTAATAGAGCAGAGATTTAGAATAGACAGACCTACAAAACAGTGTGCTCCCCAAAGAATCTGACAGTGATGGAAAAATTAGTTGGTTTAATGGAATGTGCTATCCCTGGCTTCTTGATTTTCTGGCTAACATAAATTCTTTAAATTGCTTCAATAAACCAAAAAAGAACTCTGAGTTTATGGGTTTTTAAAATGTTTAATGCTTGCCCTAGCTGATTTGTCTCAGTGGATAGAGTATCCGCAACCCAGGCTCGATCCCCAGTAGGGGGCGTGCAGGAGGCAGCTGATCAATAATTCTCATCATTGATATTTCTCTCTCTCTCTCCCTTCCTCTCTAAAGTCAATTTAAAGCCGAGACCAGTTTGGCTCAATGGATAGAGCGTCGGCTTGGGGACTGAAAGGTCCTGGGTTCGATTCCGGTCAAGGGCATGTACCTTGGTTGCGGGCATATCCCCAGTAGGGGGTGTGCAAGAGGCAGCTGGTCGACGACTCTCTCTCTCTCATCGATGTTTCTAGCTCTCTATCTCTCTCCCTTCCTCTCTGTACAAAATCAATAAAATATATTTAAAAAAATATATTAAAAAAAATCAATTTAAAAATCTATTTTTTTAAACGTCTAATGCTTTATCACAACAAATGGGATGAAAATATCCTGGTGGCAATGAAGTAGAACAATGAGGGAAGGTGTCATTGTTTTAGTAGAGAATTCAGAATGAACATTCTACTGTTTCCACCTCTCACCTACTTAGCCTACTAAGATGTCTGACATCATTCATAATATTACTTAGCAAACACTGCCAAAACCCTTCTCCATCAAGGAACTTTTAGTCAGTTGTCAGGGAAACAGTTCAGAGATGTTCTATATATTTTTTTTTAAGACTTTTATATAGAGATGATTCCATGGTATCCAAACTCAGGCTTTCATTTGTGTCTTTTCTGATCTGTCCATTTGCTTCCACTTTTTAAATCTTCAGTGCTCTTAGATATCCTAGCTACTAAGAGTACACATCCAGGGTCTCTCCTTTCTGAGACATCTCGAGCACAAAACACCCCTTTTAACCCCCGCAGTCCCTTGTTATCTCATCCCAGAGTTCCTCGCGTGGAATCCAGGCGTCCAGCCACACACAGGTGGGGAGCCTCTGCTTTCATTAGGAAACCCTTCCAGCGTCACCTTTTCCATTTCCCTGGAGGGCCAGGTCCTACCCTGCAAGCTGGAGATGGTCCTGTAGAGAACTACTATGTAGAGGCATAAGAAACGACCAATGTCTAGTCTACCGAGAAGTGATCATCTATGTATTTTGGGGGCTCGGCAGTTTAGTGCTTAACAATGTGGGAGGGTATTTTCTTTCTGTACCTTCCTCGGACCCACATCCCTATCCCACTGTGCTCATTCGGGCCACCATCACAGCTCCTAACCACCATGTTCTGTGGCTACTTTGGCCCTGGAGCCTTCCCCCCCGCCCTGGGGAGCATGGCGGGGCAGAAGTTGTTTCGCTTGTCTTAGGGTTCCAAAGCTAGCCCAAAGCCCATCCACAGTAAGCTCCCAGCAGTTATGATCTGTGTGAAGATAATGTCTGCAAAACACTTTTTGGACGACCAAGCCATCTTGTTTTGAAAAAGAAGATTCTTAAAAAAAAAAAAAAAAAAAAAAAAAAAAGGGGGGGGGACATTTGGACGCAGGTGGGTTGGTTGGGCGTCGTCTATACACCTGCCTCCATCACTGATCAGGGCAAGTGGCTGGGATCCCTGCGCAGGGAGCATGCACAGGGCATGGGATGGATGTTCTCTCACACACAGATGTTTCTCTCTTCCTCTTCCCCTCCCTAACCCCCTTCCTCTCCCTAGGCATGTCCTCTGGTGAAGAATTTTAAAAAGAGGGGATGCATTTGGAAAAGTTACCAGATGCCCTCTTTGCTTCTTTTGGTTAACTTTCCTGCATTCATCCACATGGCTCCTTTAAAATCCCTACCATCTCCTGTTCGCCCCGCCTTAATGGGCTCCTTCAGTGACCCCATATTCACCTTGCAGGAATCCTTTCTGGATATCCAAGGCCCATAGTCCTAAACGGCCATGGGCCATCGCCTGGGCTGTTCTCCTCTCCCCCCCCCCCCCAAACCTCCCACTCCACACACACACACACAACCTCTAAGCAGCTGTCCACAGCTCCCAGAATCACCCCCTCAAGCCAGGGTTCCCAGCCAGCCACCGCTGGGAACGCCTGGGCACTGCGCCGCTCGCCAGCGCCGGTTACCAAGACTCTCCTCCGCCCGCCCGGGACAAGGGATCCTGCAAAGTCCTGGGTCAGCGTTAGGTAAGCCCGAGAGAGAGAGAGCGGAGGATGGGAGAGGAGGATCCCCGTGGCGGAGTGGGGACGCCTCGGACTCACACCTGGTCCGCACCCTACCCACCAAGAACCACCGAAAGCGGGCTCCATCGCCTCCTCTTTTCATCCATCCCGGGGACCAGGGAGATGCAGGAACAAGGTGGTAGGGGAGGGGGAGGAGACAGCCCCCCTCCCCCGGGCCGATCACGAAGTCCCCTCCCTCCCTCGGGGGGTCTCTCTCTCTCTCTCTCTTTCGATCGCACATGACCGGCTCCTTCACACGCACACGATCTGCTACTTCAACTCCAGCCCTGAGCACACTGCGCCGCGCGCCTCTCCGCGGCGTCCACCGGCCCCGGCCCGGCCCGCGCCTCCCGCCTCGCCCCGGCGCTTCCACCAGCCCCAGTTCCGCCTCCCAACTGACCGTGAAGTCGGAGGCAGTTCCCCAGTCCCAGGCCCCCGGGGAGGCTCCCGCCGCCGCCGCCGCCGCCTCCCCCTGCAGTCCCCGACCCGGGACCCGGCCTCGGGCCGCAGCGATGGCTCCCGGGCACGAGGCGCCGCGGCTCCCTGGACTCGGCCAGACACCCGGCGGCGCACAGGAGAAGCCCATGGAGCTCCCGGCTCCGGCGGTGGCGCCTACAGGGGCGGCCGCCGCGCGGGCTGATGACGTGACCGGGGGCGCGGTCGGCGCGGCCTGATGACGCAAGGGCTCGGGGCGGCATGGCGTCCGTGTCGCTGAGCGAGGCGGAGAAGGTGTACATCGTGCACGGCGTGCAGGTAGCTGCCGCGGCGGCGCGGGCGACGGCCGCCGGGGGCCCTGGCCCTGGGTTCGCCCGGGTGGATCGGCGGGTCTGGGCTTCCCTGAAGCCGGCGGCGCGGGCGAGCTGAGGAGCGGGCGGCGAACGTCCATTTAGGGCTGAAGGCGTGCTGGCCGCCTTCGGGTCTGCCGGGTTCGGGAGCTGGAGGCCCAGCCCCCGAGGCTTTCGCGGGGGAGCCGCCTCGCCAGCCCACGCGGGGCGCTCTCCGGCGGGTGTGGGCTTTGGTCCGCAATCCGCCCCGAGCGGTGGGGAGTCGCGGGAAGAAAGAAGGCACCGGGGGTGAAGGCGCTTTGACAATGTACATCGACTTAGAAATAAAGGGGAAGGTGTTTAGAAAGCGGCCGCCCGGCCGGCAGCACAGCGCTGGCGGCTTCCCGTGCGCCACTGAAGTAGATCCCCAGAGGCAGCTGGAGCTACACTGAGCTCGTCTGCGCGCCCTCCTCACTCCGGGTTTTGGCCTCGCCAGACCCGGAGCCGGAGGATGCCAGGCGTGGTTATGGGCCAGCGGGGGAAGCCGAGTGTGGCCTTCTTGTCTGTAACCTCCCCAGATGGGAGACGTCTCCCCACATCCTAGCCAGAATCCTGTCTAGACCTCATCGTTTTGTATTTTACTTTTCACTTTTGGTTCAGTGTGGTCAATTTCAGCTCTCCTGGCGTCCCTTTAACCTCAGCCTTTTGATTCCTTTATTAGTTCAAAGAGGAATATAAAATAAAGGCAATGGAATATAAGGCATATATCAAGGGGATGCTATAGTTGGTGGGAGTCAAAAGAACTAAGGGATATTGGGGGCTGTAATGCTCTGAAGCCTTCCCCCAAGGAGGTGGAATTGCTCTCCTAAATCCGTGTTGAGTGCCCTTCCGTGTATCTCCAGGACTCGGTAGTTCATTCATTCCGCTTAGGACTGAGCTAGAGTGGAGGCTAGGAAATAGCCTGCCCTTGTATAACACCCGTGCTATTGAAATTACAGATCAGTTTGTGCATTTACATGTAACATTTTACCGAGTGCCTCGAAGGAAAAAAGGTCCTGCCTAGTCTGGGAAGTCAGAGGAGGCTTCCCTAAGGAAATAACATTTGAGCTGAGCTCTCAGCACGACCAAGAGTTGAGTAAGCTGCCAAAACCGGTTTGGCTCAGTGGTAGAGCGTCCCGAAAGGTCTCGGGTTCGATTCGGTCAAGGGCATGTACCTTGGTTGCGGGCACATCCCCGGTAGGGGGTGTGCAAGAGGCAGCTGGTCGATGTTTCTCTCTCATCGACTTTTCTAGCTCTCTATCTCTCTCCCTTCCTCTCTGTAAAAAATCAATAAAATATATATTTTTTTAAAAAGAATTGAGTAAGCTTGAGCCTTTCGAAAGGAAAGGATGGTGAGTCTGCTCACTGAGGGTACTGGTGGAAGATGAGGTTGCAGTGGTGACCAGAAGCTTGATCCTAGGGGTCTTAGAGGCTTCGCCACTGCGAGCAGTTGGCTTTCTGTTTCTCAGGCCTTGTGGTAGAAAGACTGGTTACCTCCCACTTCCTGGGGTCACATCTTGGCAGTTAATAATTCGCTTGTATGTATATACCTTTAAGGCCCTAGCCAGTGTCCAGCACTTGGTAGGTAGACACTTGGTAACATTGATGGAGTAAGGTAGTCCTTAAAGGGCAATGAGTTGGACAGAGTTTTCAGTTTTTAAATTAAACCTCTGACCAGTACCATGGACGTATGAAGGCCGAGATTGTATCTGTCACAGAGCCATGCAGACTGAAATGACCAAATAAACCGCTTTGTAAGGATTATTAACATTTCCCACAGATTGGCCCTGCTTATGGAGCAGCAAGATGGAATTCTTGGAGGAGCAAAACAGAATTTACACCGTTTGTTGTGCATTTATACTGTGGGTGAGCGAGCCTACCACAGATCTCACGGGCTCAGTTCTAACATCACCACAACGTTTGGTAGTTGGTTCCTGCGTGTCAGCAATGCTGCCTTAAGCAGTGCCTCGCAGGAATCCTGTTCTTGTCTCTGAAGACCCAGTCTTTTTGTGTTTTATTTTCCACCTTTGGTCCTGTTTGGTTAGTTTCAGCTTCTGGCATCCCTTGCCCTCAGCCTTTGATTCTGTCACATTTCTGGGATATTTCGTCTTGGTTTGGTGGTAATTAGAAGCAGTTGAAAGTAACCTCATAGTGTGTGTTGAGGAGTCAGTTGATAATGATGTTAACGAACAAACTGGCTCAAGCAAGAAGAGTAGATCTATGAGAAGGCTGTTTCTTCAAACATGCAAGGGCAGTTGAATCTTCGGACTTTCCCTTATTTGTCTCTGCTGTTTTTAATGGTTTTGCCGTGTTCTCTTCTCTCTGTTTAACGAAAGCCCCAGAAGTGTAAATTCAGGATCGATTCTGAAGATCTGGTGTGTGGCTTTATTCAAATTCATAAGAGCTTTAATAGGAGAAACTCCCACTGCAGAGTAGCTGCTCCCAGTGGTGGCAGGCCCGGAATAAATCCACCCCCTTCCGGGACAGGGCCTTGTGTTTTGTTTTGTTTTTCTTATAGGGGTGAATAGTAAAACCATATGGTGGTTAATCCTGTAGACCACCAGGAAAAACAATGTATTTCAAAGGTAACATAACATCAGGCAGTCATCACACTGTAACATTCATTAATCTCCTTCTGGGGGCATGACCTTTACCTTTGGGCAGCGTTCCAGTTTCCTGGGTAGTCAGTCCTGAGGCTACAAAGAGTTAAGAGCCCAACATTTCCCAGATGCCTTTGCTGCTAGAGCCATATTGCGTCTCTGAGTTTCTTTACAGTCTTTGTGTTGGCTTTCTGTTTCTTGTGGTTACCTCCCAGCTCCTGGGGTTACAGTTCCCTCTGTAAGAAACAAGTCTTTCTAGTTTAGTTCCAGACTCGTTGCTGGACAGAATCATTAGGCTCAGACATGGCCACTGTGGGAGGAGGTGGGGAGGGGAGTGAGCAATTTGTGGACAGGAAGATGAATCATTTTAGGCTCTGGCAGAAAACGGAGTTTAATCCGGGTAATTCAGGAGACTTTATGACAATGTGGGTGTATTTCAGGGAATCAACAAGAGATGTTGAAGAGCCCAAAGACCAGTGACCATGGGGCGTAGTGACCACCTCTAGGTCAAAGGGGCCCAAGAAGGAAATAGTGTTACCAGATCCCAATGATACCAGGAAGAGCTGCCAGCAGCTCTGGTAGATCCAAGCACTGTCAATAAAAATAATAATAATAAATGCAAGCACTGTCACAAATGTGGCCCCGGGAGCGGGGGTTAGGGGGGGCAATCTGTTTTCCTTTGGTAACTTCCATTGGCTAAACTCAACCAGAAATCAGCAGAGGGAGTCCAGGTGATGCAGTTTTGAGGGAGTCCACCTGGAGCACGGATTAAGGCAGGGAAGGATGGAGAATGGATCTGAGGAGGTGAGGCAGGGCCAATGGAAAGGTTGATAGATCAATATTTTAATATATGATTTGATTGATTTCTGTTAAGTCCCCTCTCCCCACTTTTGTTCGGTACATATGATATCAGAGGCTCAGAGCAGGCCACGGCCAATGATTAGCTCCAACAAGAAGCATGCCTCTTGGGGTCCCGGCAAAGCCATTTCTTTGAATTTTTCTTGGCAGTTGAAAGTAAGTGTAGCTCAACTGATAGTTTTAGCTTCTTTTCTGTGGCTCCAGCTTTAACTGGGAGCATTGTGGGGTTTTGGGGTGGGGGGTAATGAGGGGGGTTTGCAGCACAGAAGGAGAACAGGGCCTGATCTTCATCTGTGAGGCGGAGCAGTCAGAACTCAGCTGTGCAGGCGCCGTGCAGGGCACTGGATTTTGAGCCCTGTGCCATTTCCATGTACAGGCCCCTGGCACACGAAGGCTGTGCCGGGCACTCCCCAAGGTGAAGGGTACCACATCCTTTCAAAGGATGGAGGGGCGCTACTCAGGCTTGGCACAGGAAAAGAAGATCAGTATCTAGTTTTGCCCACCGTGCCTTGGGCCTGGGCCTGCAACGCCGGCCCGTCATGATCCCTTTCCTAAGTGTGTTGTGTTCCAATGGGGGAGGCGTTCTAGGCTCAGTTCTCGAGCAAGCTCCGGGGTATTGGACAAGTCAAAGCAAGGGCGTTCGGGGCATCCTCACCTCAGGGGACCTCGAGCTTGAAACCTTCCCAAGGGTGTTGGATTAGCAGAGCTGGCTTGTCGGCTTCTATTAAGGAGAAACAGGACTGGGTGACCTGGGTAAAGCAACCCTGGGCTGAGTCACATGTCCGTCCACTTGGTCACAAACAGAAGATTGTGGTACCTCAGCTCAATATCCCGGTCTGTAGCTCTCTGCAGGGCTGGCTGAGGATTCGGTGAGCTGATCCCTTCCCCCAGAAGCCGGAGAAGGGAGCTGCTGATGGGCTGTGCTGAAAATGATTTGGGGTTTTCACGTTCTCCCAAAACTCTGTAAGGTCAGGGTTAGTCCTGCTTTCTAGGTGAAGAGACAGACTCAGAGCTGTTGAGGAACTTGCTCCAGGTCGCAGAGCTGGTATGTGACAGCAGAGAATTAAATGCAGAATGGGCCCTGACCGGTTTGGCTCAGTGGATAGAGCATCGGCCTGCGGACTGAAGGGTTCTCAGGTTCGATTCCTGTCAAGGGCATGTACATCCCCAGTGGGGAGTGTGCAGGAGGCATCTGATCGATGTTTCTAACTCTTCCTCTCTATAAAAAAAATCTTTTAAAATGTAAATAAATAAATAAATAAATAAATAAATACAGATTGGAGGTG